AAGAGTACTATGTAAATCATATCTTTGAGCTTGCCATGAGGATTCCCACAAACTCTATGTTGCTTGAAGTCTATCCATACATTCCAATGTCTCAAGTATGAGTGAAACAACCTTGCCTAGAGACCTCGGGTTAGTCCAAGATGATTGAGGTGAACCGTCAAGATTTGCCGAATAATAATAATCTGGGGGCTAGGAAAAGGGAATGTCCCGAAGAATTCGACAATTTTTAATATGCAGAAGATCACTAATAATTAATAATCTTCCCATGGACAATCATCCATAGTACTCCGGACCCGCAGCTAAAATCAATATGGGCGCATACATGACTCAGAAGGTATCTTGTGCTCTGTCCCTTGCAAGTACCCGTGATCGTCACTTCCACATTGACTAGACTTCACAGACATTTTTCCAGTTCAAATGATCATCCCGAACAGCCTCCTCCTAACCAGCCCCTGAGGATCCCAGCCCCTTTCTCCTATCTATTATGTACAATTCAAAAAAATGTAGCGAGAAGCCTGACATCACACGTACAGACATTGTACTCCTTGTACTTCGTAAGGAGTACTCTATAGATATATAAAGATTAGGATCCCTCTTAGCACAATGACCGATCAATAGGTCATCTTAGTCAATCTGATCGTTTTTACTTGTATCGCCATCTGCCTTGGGTAGTGCAAGCCTCATGCTCTTGCAGCTTGTATTTCATGTTGATACGAATGGCGGTTATCGGAATCGAACATGAGATACAGGTCTGCTCCGTACTCTATATACATAGTCTATAGCGGTCAGAATTTAGGGTAAAAAAGCCTGCATCATATCAGTGGAAAGCCTGGTCAGTATTAAAATCAGTCCCGTGCAACGACCTCCCGAAGTCATATGAGACATATGAGAGAGCTTGAGATGTCGTGGATTTTGCGTTGAGTGAGTAGATGATATCCATGGGTAGCTAAATAAGGATCCAAGGCTCGGTTACGTCTCCACCCGTGGGCCTGCACGCTTCCGATGTACGCATACATTGGAAGTCGCTACCCGAGAGCTTAGCTATATCGAACAATGTTGGAGGTATGCACTTAATTTCCGGCTTGTATGCCTCTGATTGAGAATTTTGTGTCGTGATATGTATTGTGTCGAAAATTGTACAATATAGTTGTCTATGGGGCAACTTAGTACTAAACGTGCACTAATAAAATCTGTCTCAAACCTCTTCTTACGATACTACTGATTTTGATTAATTGATGGTATCTCGAAGATTTCATGTCGATTCGATCTCTGCTACATGTTATCGTAAAAGAATGGAGACCCGCGGCATGTTGAATTATCTCTCACTCGCCACAGCACCGGAGAGATAGTGGACCCGTTGCTGTGGGTCCGGCCTCGAACTATGAGACAGACCCGGAATCTGGATTGTTATTTCACTTCAACCCTCAATCAATTTGCACAGTGTGGTCACAACATTTATTTTTTACATTTCTACATCTCGGTAAAAGAAATTCCAACCGGATATGTTGTCCTTGAACATTCCATCATACTCAAAGCCATCGGGCTACCAGCTTTCTGAGTTGGCCAAGCCGGAGCTCCACAATCTAAAAAATGTGATAATGAAGGTTCTTGGGTACCTCCGGTCGTCAGCTCGAATAAACATCGCTAGGTGCAAGTTTGTGCATCTTGGCGTTTAGAATGGCTGCCTTGGTCTTTCGTAGCCTCACGTTGACGAGCCGCTCATTGCGCAGAAGGGGAAGACGTGACCTGGCTGAAGTCCCGTTTGTCGAGGTTTACCTAGCAACCTGAGTATTGGTGGAGCGTGCTAATTGTTCTGCATTATTGTATTTGAAGCAGAAGCTTGTTCCATATTAGTTCTATTATACATGGCAAATGGGTATACAATAGCGATAAAATGCGCACAGGCATACCAAATAAACTCCCTGGGACATGACAGGTATCTATGAAGTATTATGAGGGCGACGTCGAGTCATAGGGTTTTCAGATAAAGCTAGAAGACCCTAAGATGGACGTCCGCTCTGGCAGCTCGAAGGGGCCATGCTGAACTGCCCTTTTATGGTCGGTTTGAACAATAGGACTTTTCTCCGGGTCCAACTCATAGAATGGACCTCTCTCCGAGCGCATCTCGTATATTTGGTTGCTGTGGTCCAATTCGTTTAGTCGGTTCCATGGATTATCGGGAGCTTCCACAAGCCTCAATTCATGCCCTGAAGACCATTGGTCAACTGGCCCCTTGGTTGCACTATTCTGATCTTGATTGAGTGATCTCTCTTGCTGTCGACGGTGGCGAATCCAGAGCCCACAAGAAAGGGCAATTATCAACACGCCGCCTACAGTACTACCGACGATGATGCCAATCTTGACCATTGTAGAGAGACCCTTGCTGTCAGTAGTTGAGCTGCTTGTTTCGGTATCCGTCTTGGTCGTTTTCGAGTTGGTATTTGTAGGTATCAAATTCCAGGTGTTCTTCCAGGTGTCTTTCCAACTGTTGGAAGACCCCGAAATGGTGGATTCGTTGTCGCCTATTGTCATGGTATTGACAATGAAAGAGCCATCAGGTCCTGGTGCTTGGGCCAAAAACCACTTCCCACCAAGCCAATTAACGCCGACAAAGGCTGCTTGAAGGAAAGCGCGGCCTAGAGCAGGGGTGCTGTTGGTGGCCATGCATGGAAAGTATTGTGTCGGCGTCTTCACAAGTGGGGCCTCTAGTGTGAGATTCAGGAGAGCGAAGGGGACCTTGATCGTGATATCTTCGTTATTGAGGCTATTCTTGCTAAACCTGAATGCCAAATAACTTGGGGAGGTCACAATTTTGTCGTACTGCGAGTCAGATGTGTTCCAGAAATAGAGGCCATAATCAGGTTGGTATGTGACAGGCAACTCAGCGGCTATCGCGTCGCATGAGCTTTGAGGTAGATACATGTATGGATTGAGTGGATCCACGATGACTTTGAGACCCGGACCCAGGGAGGAATTTCCCTGCGCCAGGAGACCGGTTTTGTTGGAGTGTTTCCAAGGCGAGCCGCCTTCTGCGACTCCAATACTCAAATCGTACATTTCAATCGGAAAACTTCCACTTGAAAATGGCTGAGCGGAAACTTCTCCAATCACTCTATTCTGATCATAACCTCCCAGATGAAGTGAGCCAGGGATTCCCAGAGATGCGGAGCCAACATGCATTCCATAGGAATATGATGGTATGTTTGTGGAGCCCTCCTGCTCGTAGAGGTAGCTGGTGATAAAGGTGGTGTTGATTTTGATCGAAGCCCCGAATGTCTGATTGATATCTGGACTTCCAAGAGAAAGGGTCCCAACCTGCAAAGGGTATGCTTGTCCGCCAGGGTAAGTCTGCCATCCAGCAGATATGGTGATCAAGTCGACACTAGGAACATGAGTACCGTCGATGGTTATCCAGTCTGTTCCTCGTCTTGCCTTGGCATAAACAGGAACTGCGTCCGCATATCCCCAGTCCACGTAACCCCATGTTCCATATGGGGGCAATGAAATCGAGTTATTGTCCAAGGTGACTGATATGTCGCTGTCAAAAAGACCTGCTCTATTCCCATAGCATACAGACGAGAGAGACTTATTGTCACATATAGAAGGGAGTAAGATTTTACTTTCCCAACTACCTCCCGGGTACAACGCCACTACCGATGAAGGCATAACAGGTTCGGAGTAGTTACTTCCTATGGAAACAGTGACCGCTTGCCAAGGGCCATCAGGTCCAAACTTTTGATCAGACCAGGTCATCTGTCGGGGACCAGAACCGAGAACATTATCGAGGCAAAGGATCCAAAGGGTGAGAACATATTGTTTTGGGCCTCTCATTTCTAAGGGGAGATGATTGTTAGCAATCTTTTCTTAATAAAGTATATGATAAGGGTATTCTACATGAAGGGACTGACTTGAATCACCACTGAAAGGACAAAGTAACTTATCGATGTTTGAAGACCAATAGAAACAGGACTCAATGCAGTGAGTAATAAAGGCTGCAAAGCTGAGCTTCAAGTATCAGGCAGAGGAGTGATATGTTCTCATTTCCTTCTTACTGTCAACTCATAGAAAGTCTTGAGACAATGGGCAGAGTTCCGACCTAGAGAATTTTCCAGAGAGATCAACTCAGGACGATAGATATCCGAACACCGTACTGACGGTAGATATAACAGAAAGCCACCAAGGAACCATAATCTAAGAAAGCCCAGCATCAGGGCGGTTAAGCGCCGCTAGTATATTAGTTGCTGTTTTTAGCGGAGAGTCCCAATCATGGAAATTGCGCAGGAACGCACTAATGTACACAGCAAACAGGGGATGGGCTCACCCTAACATATGGGCTGATTAGGCCGGATACATAATCCCCATCTGATATAAATGTACGAAAAGCCTGTACCAGGTGGTAATACCACCGTATGATTTAATGCTATACTCGCAGGATAGATAGATCGTTAAAATATCTGCCCCTTTTGCCTCAACGAACGATAGTTAATGGTTTACCGTGGGGGCTGTCTAGAATCAAGAGGCACGTTTTTAGATGGCACTGCTAACCCACCAGATATCTAAGTATAGATGTTTCTTGTGATTGATCGCCATATTAGCGCTCAGTTGTGTGTTCAGTGATATATTTGGGCACGGACCAATACGCTCCACAGTTGAGGCGTTTCATTGCCAATCAGTAGTTGTTGTAGATTATAGTGTGTCTCAGATCATGCACGGACAGCGCTTAACCGCCCATTCATGTCTACTGCAATCTCCTAGCCTAAAGCAATGGCCAGCTGAGGGTCTGTCGTGAGAAGGGCCCCCATTTAGTCAACTGCACTTTTCAATATTCTCTTACCCTCTTGCATACTTTTTGATATGGACTAACAGCTGCGAGAAGACACAAACTTTCCTTCTGACAGATACGTGGAATTTAGGAATATTCCCTCCGGATGGCAAGCTCTCAATTTTCGCAAGCGACCATGTTAAGTATGGTCAAAATATCTCCAAGATTCTTTCGCTCCATGTTCATAGTTTTGTCCGCTCTATTCGGGTTTGCGACATTATTGCGACTTCCAAACAAATCGACTCCTCTGGGCGATTCTAATTCTTACTTCGGCGGTCTGTCCGGGAAACAAGTTAACTGGTCTCGATTTGCATACACCCAATATGCTACCGATAGATCATATCTGTGCAACTCGCTCATGATTTTCGAGGCTCTTCAACGCCTTGGAAGCAAAGCCGATCGTGTGTTGATGTACCCATACGATTTCCTCTTGTCTGAGAACGATAGTTCACCTGAAGCTCGTTTACTTCGCTTCGCAAGGGACAAATATGCAGTCAAACTCAAGCCAATCGAAGTAGTGAGGAAGGGTGGGGGAGGTGGTAAGTCATCCCAATTCATTACAAAACTCCAAACTAATAGTGAGCGCAGCACCGTGGTCATCGAGCTACACAAAACTCCTTGCTTTTAATCAAACAGAATATGACCGGGTTCTTAACTTAGATTCAGATGCAACCCTTCTGCAGGTGAGAAGATCAATCGTGGCTGTTTTTCATTGCAAACTAACGTGCATGAAGGCTATGGACGAGCTGTTCCTGCTCCCGCCTGGCTCGGTCGCTATGCCACGGGCCTACTGGTTAGATCCAAAGGATCGAGTCTTTACATCTTCGCTAATGCTCGTCCAACCGTCTAAAACTGAGTTCGGTCGCGTAAGGGATGAAATTGCCAACGCTACGTCTGACGTATACGACATGGAGATTATGAACAAGTTATATGGAGATAGTGCGCTCGTCGTACCGCACCGTCCTTACACTCTTCTGACTGGAGAGTTCCGCTCTAACAATCATGAAACCTACCTGGGCAATACAGACGAATTGTGGGATGCGGAGAAAATCCTCAAAGACGCTAAATATTTACATTTTTCAGACTGGCCAGTTCCTAAGGTATGTCATACTAAGTTTTGGTAACCTTTAATACTTTTCGTGTGGGATATGCTGACCACTTCCGATAGCCATGGGTTCCGGCCACTCATGATATGATCAACAAAACGCAGCCTCCTTGTGAAATAAATCCTGCGACTGGCCAACAAGATGACTGCCGCCTCCGGGAAATTTGGTTAGGGATATACAAGGACTTCATGGCCAGACGACTTGTACGTCAACCCCTCCTAGCTTCGATTCAATTTCTTATCAAGCTTACTAAATCTGAACAGAGTATATGTGGCACTGCTCTTCAAAAGGAATATCCATGACACGTCGGATTCTCATTCAGCGCCATTTTATGATTACCACAAATCCTCAACTCTCCTATAAGGCCACGCGGCAACTCTATATGCCTCCGTGCTGTCAAAATCCTCGCTCCAACATCTGCCCATGTTGAACGTTGACTACTCTCACTTTGCTGGGTTGCTTCCGTAATTGTGCTATCATATAGAAAGTCTTCATGTGCACGAGCCGAGACTCGGTGCGATGAGCCTAAGGTCTCCGCCTCATGCAGATCCCGAAGGGTACTTTCACAGCAATCGACTACACGAAATCCGACCCAAGGGATGTCATCAAATCTAGCGCTGTGGATTTCCTCTCCGACACAGTTCGCTCTACAATGGAGTACCTCTGTCTAATGAAACCACGATCTGGATGTATCCTGTTGGTTGCCACCATGCCATCGGGAAACCAGCGCCAGGAATATTCAATGATGGATCTGCCCGATACGCCGAGCATTCCTATTGCTTTTCGAATGGGACTTAATACTTTCGATTGTGTCCGTAGGCTAGGGGCATGGCGGTATGATGTTGAGTATTCATATATGTTTTTGGAATGGAACGGTCAAGAACTGGATGAGTTGAGAAGTCATGCCGAGAAAGACAGGCTGAGAGCGGTGGTTGGATACATTGTTGAGCTTTTCGACCTCGAAACGGTGCGGTCTGCATGTTTACAGTGGGAAGGGAGGTATTAGGAAGGTGGTTGTCAAGGTTGCCAGTTCGTAGCTTTGCTAACTGATATGTATCTCTGAATGAATATTTATCAAATATATGACAATATTGCTCATATCAAAGTGAATAAACATACTTGGAAACCACACGATAAACATAACTCAAAATCAACTAACTAGATAGCAACTTGGGCTAAAATTATGTGCGTGCCTACGAAGAGTAATACGCCAATCTCATCAGAGATTGGCCTTGGTAAGTTCCAATTCAGTCCACTCCCACAAGCGCTTCCCCATATCCTCATTACATACCCATTTGTTTCGACGTTTCAAAATTCCAACAGGCACATAATATCCTCCGTTGGTGAGATCCTCTTTCTTCACGCCAGCAGCAGCCCATAGCGAGTTACACGCGCCCTGATGCACTGTCGAGCCAGAGAAACGCAAAACCCTAGAGCAAAAAGCACCAAACGGAGATTGCGAGTTCAAAGCGTCATACAAATTCGTCACAATAATACCTGGATGGACCGCCACCGACGTTATTGACGGGTAACGCCTGCTGAGTTCCGCGGCAAAGAGAATATTGGCAGCCTTCGACGCTCCGTACCGAGCAATTGTGTTGACCTTCTTGAGCTTCTCTTGGTCCAAGATCTTCTCAAATGCCGGCGAGAAATTATGCCCCACAGAAGCAAGCGACACGACGCGGACATCCGAGTCAGGTTGCTCGGCCGTCTTGAGAAGTATTGGTAGCAACAACTTGGTGAGATAGAAGTGCCCGGTATGATTCGTGCCAAGCTGGATCTCATGGCCTATTTCAGTCTCACCAGGTGGTAGAGCAATCACACCAGCATTGAGGATTAGGATATCGAGGCGAGATGACCGGGCGTTCACTTGCTCCGCTGCATTCTTGACCGATTTACCCGACATCAAGTCCAATGGTAACCAGCTAATTTCAACATTATTTGAAACGGATGATTTGAGCGACTTTATGGCTTCATCTGCCTTTGATTTTGAACGCGCGCCGAGGAATATCTTCTCCGGATTGTGCTTAGCCAACTGGAGGACTGTTTCTTTGCCCAAACCTGCATTTCCTGTAAAGGTACATAGCGTTAGATGCGGCATTAATACACCGTTGATATACGCTTTAACCCACCGCCCGTGACCAAGATGACCTTCCCCGCCAGATCTGGGATATCCTTTTCGGGTGCGAAGCTCACTGCACCCGCATAGTTGAGTGCATCCATAACGGCTATCACCCATCCAGACATTTTGGTGAAAGGTAGGAGATATTGGGGCTTAGGTTGCGTTCGGCGTTGAATTGGTTAATGGCCGACGCTAGATGACTTAATAAACGTACCGGAGGAACTAACTCGCCGGCCTGAAAGTTATCACAAACGCGGAGACTTGAAGGTTCCAAGATCCCCCGAAGGTCTATTACTACTGGAGGTAGATAGTATCTCCCGTGGACTACATCTCAAGGAGCCCACCTGAAAAGCGATCTAGGGCCGGCGAAGTGCCTAGATAGGCATATGGGTAAGGTTTGCTTTATCTTATGCACTTAGCATACCAAGCCGGCCCCGTACCCTGGCTCTCTTCTATTACATTGTTGCAGGTCTTGGATGGAACATTGTTGATTCACATATGTTTATTAAATTAGATATAATATAGCCACATACATAGTATATCATGAATGGGCCAATACGGTAGCCAAAGAAGCACATAGTAGGCTCTAAGGAGACCGGGGACTCCATAGGCAGCGGCGAAAATTCCGAATGACAGCGATAAAAGGGTGCAGTTGCTTGTAGGGGCTAATGCTAATGCGAAAGTGTATAATATCGAGAGGTATTGAGACTGGCGTGGCTACAAAGCGCGTTGGGAAGCCTTTCTCCAGGCACCCAGAAGCGTGGCTATCCATGAATAGATGGTGAAATGGAGGCCTTGAGATAGACGTGAGGGTTACGGTGAAGTGCAGTAAGCGATTTTCGACAAGTGTGCGCGGGATTTTAATAGGACAAGTTGTGGTGGCAGCAGCCCTCGGTGGGTATGGACTCACTGTGAATGATCAGTGATCCTTAATAGGTGAAAACTGGACGAAGAGGGTTATGCCAGCGAGATACTGAATGAAAGAAATAGCAATCAATGTAGAAGGTGAGAAGCTAAGAAGCTAAGAGCATGTATGTAGTAACAAAAAGGTATCAGCCTATACGAGGTGAGTAAAATCTGAGTAGGATGTAAATGCCATCCGAAAATTGAACTCAAAGCATCTTGACGTTCAGATGTCTATTGGCTTTGATATTTCTTTTTTTTGACAAGTGACCGGTGAATGATATTTTGCTCCTCTCTCTTACTCTTTCTTTTCTCTCCCTTCCTTCTCTCAATTATCCTTCGTCAACCTTTCCTTTATGAATTTTTCACCATGACACCCCGGGTTCCTCCCAGCAACGAGGATCATCCGCACCATCCAGGTGACGCTAGTGATGATGACATTGCAAAGGTAAGTCTGTATGTGGACAGTACATGGTGTCTATTTCACCATGCCTACGCGCTTCCTATGATATTGGTTGTGTTGTGTCGTTGTGTATATTGGGCCTAGAGCTACCCATGCCTATTGGCATACACAGACACAGTCCGTGCCATGCCACTTCACAATATTTCTTCGATCCTTGATCACTAACTAATATTATACATGTATATATCTAGAAAGTGTCTCTTGATTGCAAAATCTGCCATAGAAGCAGCCATACAGGCGCGCAATGCCCGTTTCTTACCTTCCTCAATCTCAGACATGGGATAATGACCTTCGAGGTAAGATAGAAACCGGGGGGACGCAAACAGACTTTCCGAGTACAGTTACTAATGCAGACTGAGTAGCGCCAGCTTAGATCTTCTGACCAGCCACGCTTTCACACCACCTTCCCACGTCCTGGAGATTCTCCTGTCTATCGCCCACCGGTGCCGCTCGCACCTCGCACATTGCGATACGTAGAACCAACGCTCCCATTGCTTGTTCCCCCACACATAGCGTCGCCACACGGGCTTCCCTCGAATGTGCTGGGGCCTGATAGCCATCCTACTGATAGTACACAGGGAGCTCACTCCACCACCGCCATGGGGACTGAAAGCACAAAGTACGTTTAACAATTCGAGCTAGTCCCATAGGGACCTGATCTGACCCTGATTTCCATACATAGTGAGACTGAGATCTTGAAGGGTGAGAAGGATGAGAAGGATGAGAACAAGTCTGAGAAGTGCGACGGCTGAAATGTCACTTTCCGATCTAACCCTGGGAGGCGCAATGGAATTTCTCAGGAAGGGTTGTGCTTGCATAGATACACCCTGATCATATGGATAACTGAAATGTGATTCAAATTTGAATGGAAAGTGAGGAGTTACTCGCACACTTTGGCGTTAGGTTGCCATAAATTACACCTGTGTTTGTAGTCAAATCCCTTCTACGTCTAGAACTTGTACCCTTTCTTTTTTATCTTAATCCCCAACCACTAGGAACGATTTATCGTTAAAAGGTCTCCAACTGGGGTGGGTAAACCAAAGTTTTACCGAACGGACGTCGAAGTGCATGATAAATGCGGTAGATAGATACGGTAGCTAAGAGCTTGTCTCGAGACATGAGAAACGAGAAATCAGAAGCGAGAACGCATCACTACATCACTTGAGTGGGCAGAATCTGGGTATGATGTGTGGTTACTCTGAAAATATACTATTCTTCGAAAATCCCAATGCACCCTGAGGCTCGGATACCTGGACTTTCCCTTTTTGACCGAAGTTACGCCTGAGATCTTGCTTTCCTTTCTTTTCTTCCTCAGCCATTTCTTTAATCCCTCTCTCCAACAGTCATAGTGGCTACCCCGGTTGCTTACAGCGAAGAAGAAGCCCACCTGCGTAAAGCAGAAGACTCTTTTGAACGCAATGACGCAAAGGTAGGTCTACATTTGGATACTGTGTGCATTATGTGTAGCCAGGCTTGGCCTCCTATGCCTTTCGTTTGACTTCTTCGTCCCGCAACTTGAGACTGGGGATTCAGATAGTGACTAACATGATATCTGGATCTGCCTGGAAAGCGGCAGCTTATTGCTATATTTGCAGAAGTAGCAGGCACGCTAGTTTCAACTGCCCTTTTACATCTCTTTTCTCTCTTAGGAATGGCCCAATGACATTTCTGGTAGGACACACCCTTAATCATGTTCCTGGAAGGGACTATTCTTTCTACCGATCTCTTGAGTTCCAGAAACCGAAGTCATCGCCATTGGCTCAGAATTCCGAGATCTCGATGGTCAGCGAAGATGTCATTTATACCATCCCGATCACCACCTCCGCTAATTACACTGGGGGAACTAAGTCAGTTTAAGCCATTCCAGATGCAGCTGAGGGTTGACCTGAGGCATGGATATGCCCTGGTAAGATTGTGAGGACAGGAGGATGACCTCAGAGGCACCTCAAAGACCTTACCGTAGGTCTTGACATGATAGTTTTGAATCAGAATACGAGGCTGAGAATTGCTAAAAGTGGACGTAAACACATATTTTTATCAAATGTAGACATGCACTCATTGTCCTGGTCCTCGTCACGATGCAGCGCTCCTTTCATTATCACATGGCTGCCCCTAAAGTACTTGATGGGCTGCACTTTCCATATCCCATGTTCTTGCCCAAGGCCATACGTGTGACTCTGATTCACATCGATTTGGGTCCCACCCCCGTCACAACCCTGTAACTATGACCTGACAGACCAATATACTTCTCACGGCACCAGGGTCAAACAAATAAGTGCATAGTTCGCGTTATTATTCATTATGCGGAGCCTTCATTGCTCTGTCAGGTCAACATTATCAAGGAGTCGTTTGATTTTCCAGAGGGATATCATCGCATCAATACCAAGCTGATCCTCTGGTCGGAAGAACAGTGCAGTGTGTTGGCACTGGCCGTGAGATTCACGGAGAGTTTTGATATCAGACTCAGAAAAAAGCACTGTCAGGTCAAACACAGGAACTTTCGACCCGGTTTGCGTGAGGGTCACCGAGTCCAAAGAGGCACTGACTTGAGACGTATTCCCGGCAGCCGCAGAAGTCTTTGGACCAAGAAGCAGGATTCCGCCACATTCCATGCGATTGAATCGCTCCAAACTTCCCAGAGCTCCCTTCAGCGCAGCATCCGAGTACTCGGTTAGATCCAGCGCCCTCCAGACCCCATTGGACGTGCCGACGCGCTTGTATTTCTCGAGCACAGCACCCAGCTTCTTGACCACCACACCTCTCATACCCCGCAACATAATTTCTGGCGTGTTCTCCGACCAAATGATTCTTTTCTCTTCGTGCGCCGTCACAGGGCCCTGTGGATGCTTCCATCTGAACGGCAACAGCCGCATAATCGCTGGTCTTTTCCCGCCCCTCTTGGAGAGTGGCACTGAGATAGATCGAATAAGTGGAAGAAGCTCAGTAATGCGAAGCACGAGCTGGCGTCCAGTCTGCTTATCTGGGGACGTTGGAATTGGTGATGCGTCCAAGGAATCCCCTTCCCCACTTCGTATCTCCATCGCTGGGCTTTCAGACTGGCCTGGAATGATTGGCCCTGATGATGAGCCGAGGTTTTGGGCCTTATTGCTTTGCAGCGAGTCTTGTAGCAGGCCCACAGGCATCATATAAAGTTCGTCTGTATTTGGCTGTCTAACAAGCCCCCAAGTCCCCAGCAGGGCGGATGGAAGCCGTGCACCAGTTACAGAGCACATGCGTGCTGGCGAAGCCAGCATTAAGGCCCATGGGTTCTTGAGCAGGTCAGCTTCCTCCTGTGTCGTGGGGCGCCTCTTGCGATTCTTTTCCGTCCCAGAACGAGGGCGGGTGATTAAAGGAGACTGTGGGAGCCGCTGCGAAGGAAGTGCGGAGTTCGGATTCGCATTGCCTGTCTTTGTTTCCAAGGTAATTTCATTGAGTTGGTCGGATTGTCGCGAGGTCGAGATGCCCCGACTTGCTGCCTGATGTGAAGTTGCTAGCAATTGTCGGAACGCACTCAGACGCCATTTGGCGTACGGGATGCGCGTGCCCACACACTCCATTGCTTAGGCGGTTGGGGGAATAGGGTTGATGGTGAGTCGGGTTCAGCCCAGGGCGGAAAAGATGATCTCGGAGCTGTTGCAGGAGCCAATCGGAGCCCCTTATTTGCGGAGATGTTGTTGATCGATCAGTGGTTGTCGAATAGCGGTATGGGCTGTGCAAAGACCTCGTTTGGTTCTCAGATACTATATCAAGCTTTTTTCCTAGAAGCGTCCTCTTCTCCAGAGAAAGTTGTTACTAGGAGAAGACGGTCGCTGACAGCGTTGCTGCCGCTGTTCACCTGAGCTCCTTATCTTAGCGTCGCTCTTATCGTATCGGACGGTTCACTAGGTATCTGGGCAGGGTATCCCGACTCTGCTTCCCACTTCATACGACTACAAATTGCTTTTGCATATTTTTGAAGATGCCTCCAAGAGTTCCTCTACGCCAACTAGGGCGGTCTATCCAAAGTTCCCCTGTTGCTATCGCCCAGCCCGCCGCCAGACTCGCAAGATGCTTCTCCAACCAAGGGCCATCGTTTGCGCAGCCCCCGCGGAGTTGGACACCGACACCATTCGTGACAGAGACAGTAGTATGTCTGATACATTCTACGAGCAAGAAAGTTCTCAATGTGCATATACTAATCGCATTGAACAGGGAGGCGGCTGGCACACTTGTATGTTGCACAATTGAATCCGTCGACGAAGCTTGCATATGACCCGAAACATAATCAACGATCAACCTACTAATATCGTGCACTGCAGATGATATATTCTCTCGGCTAATGAAGGTAACCCAAACCCAGGAGCATACCCCCTCCGCAGCCTACCCGTGCTAATCAAGCCTCCAGGAACGCATCATCTGCCTTAACGGCGAAGTCGACGACACCCTCTCCGCATCGATAGTCGCACAACTCCTCTTCCTCGAAGCCGATAACCCTGCGAAACCAATCCACCTTTACATCAACTCGCCTGGAGGCTCAGTAACAGCCGGTACGCGGATCTTCTCTAACGGCTATCCCCGACCTAAACTAACTAACAATTCCACAGGCCTCGCGATCTACGATACAATGACGTACATCGCCTCTCCTGTGAGCACAATCTGCGTTGGCCAAGCCGCCTCAATGGGCTCTCTCCTTCTTGCCGGCGGCGAAGCAGGCAAGCGATACTGTCTCCCGCATTCCTCGATCATGGTGCACCAGCCCTCGGGCGGCTACTTCGGACAGGCGTCCGACATCGCTATCCATGCGAAAGAGATCCTGCGCGTGCGTACTCAGCTCAATGAGATCTACCAACGCCACCTTACTGGCAAGAAGCAGTTGTCCCTCGATGAGATTGAGAAGCTTATGGAGCGCGATTACTTTATGGGTGCCAAGGAGGCACTCGAGCTGGGTGTTATTGATGAGATTCTGGACCGTAGAGTCCAGGGGAAGGATGGCGCTGGGGAAGAGTCTAAGCCTCCCACTGCGTAAATTGTATAATGTGTCTATGGGACCTTGATATATATTAGTGGTTCTTGATGTCTTCTATTAGCCCATAGAACTCTATCAGCTGCTTTGTAGGATCATCTGTCAATAAAATTGGTCATAATCATCTTCTCTCGCAAGGGCCAAGGTTATATAACATTGTAGTATCCAGGGGCACTGTGATTGTAGAGTCAAAATTGAGGTCCAACATTAGACAATGTACGCCATGTGTGACGATTCTAATGTGGCCCTAATTGCCCCAAGATGAATAAAAAGTCGTCCACTGGCCCACAGATCCAGACCCCTGAAGTAAATGTACGTGTTGATGGATATGAATCATTGGAATGACGCAACCTGTAAGCATCGTAGTAAAAGCTTTTGTTCATGGGAATTTACTAGTACATATATATACATAGTTTACTACCAGAGGAGAAATACGGATTTGCATCATGTTGCATTCGAACGCTCAATGCGACCATTAGTCCCAACCTGGAGACCAAAGCGCTGCCGAAGGAACGTTGCCGTTTCAGGGGACGGTACAAAGCCCGACGTCGGCCGTGCCTGCGCATTTGAATGGCGCCACTGATCAAGAATTGTACCTAGGAAGCTCACATTGACAATGACAGCCTCGCCAGCCGCAAATGTATCCATCGGGTGCTCGCCCCGAGCACCACTGCCAGATTCGGCGTCGGCCGGGTCCGCCAAGAGCGTTGTGCGTTCTTCTTCAACCTCTTCGTCGACCCCGCTACTGTGGGGTGAATCGGAACCATCATGAGCGCGGGCCATTGTTTCAACGCCATCATCTTCTCGTAGAATGCCACGCTCTTCGGCGTCATGATCTTGTGGCTGGGACTCCTCCGCGTCTGGTGTTGCATCTGTCGTTGCAATTGTGGATGCATCTGTGTTCGATGTTGTAGGCGCCGGGGTGGGGGTTCCATTAGTCTTCACCCGCTCGATAATCAAGCCCAGCATGATTAGATCGATTAAAAGGATTAAAAGGTCGAACGAGAGCAGCTGGTAAACAGAGACGGGAGCCTGCCCTATGAAATCGATGAACAGCCCCCCATGTAGGTAGCCGCGTGTTTCCTCGCCGGCTTCTGGACGAATCAGGAAGGCATGCAAGAGCATGCAGATGAGGTTACTGCCGATGATGGCCCCGACAAACGGCTGATTGCGTGTGGGCTCAAATGGAAGTGCTTTTGGCGTGAAGAATATTAATTCGACGATGGCGCGTATGGCAAATAGGATAATCGAGCAGCTGTACCGAAAGAGACCCATGTTAGGAGGTTGTCGTGGTGGAAAGAGGGGTGGGGATCAATGCTGGAGGTGCTGAGCTTACTCCATGTAATACAGCGCGGACAGTTGACAATAAACTAATATGTCGAGATCGCGCAGCAATCGATCAATGAAGGCGACTTTGGCGGCCGACTTGACTTTCTTCACACGCGCGTGTTGGCTGCTGAGCGTGCCTGTTGGCCTTGGGGGCTCCGCATCGTCATAGGATATGCCGGACACGTCAGCGATGTATTCCGCATCCCGATAGGCATCAACGTCTGTCATAGAGGGTCATGAGGGCTTGGATGGTATCCAACAAGCGAGGTATAAGGAGTCGAGGTGGAGACTCCCCGTTGGTTTGGTGAGCTGGGGTAACTATGGGTGGGTTGGAGACGGCCCCGGGATATGTGTCGATGCGGACTTTCCTCGGTCCGGACCACGTGCTTCTCCCAAGTTACATACATACACAGTAGCATTGTGTTTTATTGTAAGATGTTCGGGTAGTACATATGTCCAATCAATTCAACATCTCGCTCTAAAATAGAATAATACTATGTTTGAATATAGTTTGTTGTTTGTGCTACTTCATATACTGGTTCACGGCAAGCTCAATCCACAAGGATCGTCTTCGACAGCTCTGAGTAATGCTTGAAGAAGCCAGTGAACAGACGAATGGAATGGGCAACATCATAGGTGCCACCTGTTTCACGGATACTGTGCATGCTGAGCTGGGGATTTCCCAGATCCAGGGTCCGTGCGCCCAGCGCAGCAGACAGCATAGGGCCAATGGTGCTGCCACAGCTGGAGTCATTGCGAACTACAAACAGCTGGAGAGGAACGTGTACGCCAGTCTCCTTGGTGGTCTTGCGGGCTATCTCCTCTAGAAGGACAATTCCAGGAGAGTTCGTAGCATAGCGAGCGTTGGCGTTAATCTTAATCACCGGGCCCTTGTTCATCTCTGGCTTGTGATCCGACTCGTACTTCCCCGCATAGTTGGGGTTGACCGAGTGGGCCATGTCAGCAGAGACAAGGAAGGAGGTGGACAGGGTCTGCTCATAGGCAGTTGACAGGTCGGTGCTCTTGGAGGAGGAGGACGGGAGGACGGACAGACGGCGAATGATCGACGGAAGAATGTTCGAGTCCGCACCCTGTGCTGTGCGGCTTCCGATTTCCTCGTGGTCAAACAAGGCAATAAGGCGGATCGCATCTTCGTCATCGAGGGCTGACTCGTCGGCCACAGAGTCAATCAGACCAACTGTAGCACAGAAAGTGCTGTTCAAGTTGTCTAGTCGAGGGGAAAAGATGAATTCCTCAAGCATACCTCCGAGGCAGGATTTGTGAGTGTCGAAAAGTATCATTTCGAAGTCCAGAATGTCACTAGGATTGACGCCAGCCTCAGCAGCAATAAGTTCAACAAAGTGAGAGTGGTGACGTTCTGTGACAGACTTCAACGGTGAGAATAATTCAGCACCCTTGTCTGTCTCAGGGGTGTCAGTTCCTCCATTGCGGTTGAGCTCTGCAGCAATAAGGCCAGCAATAGGGAACAGTTGTGTTTCCTTGTTAAATGCAAAGGTCTCCTGGCGGTCTAGATGGATGGCCAGTGTTGGAATACGAAGGACTACTATGTTAGCAAGGTACATTTATCGGCTCAACATTCAACATACTGGGACGGTCGATCTTGACCAGTTTCTGCACGATGGATCCGTCACTTGCCCGAGTCATAACCCGGCCAGCGACACCCAGATCGCGATCAAACCCTGCATGGAATTAGCGACAGTAATAGTTTGAGGGTGATCAACGGCACGTACAAGTGTGCCAGAGGCCTCCGCCGTAGGTCTCAACACCGACCTGCACGAAACCTTCTCCGCTCTTTTTGCTAACGGGCTTGACCCTCAACACCGGAGAGTCGGTGTGGGCACCGATCATAGAGATGGAATTGCCTGGCTATATTCATGATTAATATCCATGGTTAGTTGGAAGATTATTTATCCAATTCCGCAATCGATACGTACCTGCCATTTCTTGCCGATCGCAAAAGCCACAAGTGTAGTAGTGTTGCGAGTCAAGTAGTACTTGCCTCCCGGCTGGCAGGTCGACGCCCAAGAGTCTCTCTCCTATTGATGAATGAGCCACCATTTCATTACTCTGGTGTTCAATTTGGACAGACCTTGATTTCTTGAAATCCAGCCTTACCCAGAAGCTCCTTGGCTTCGTGGACGGCATGGAAAGCTGGAGATAAGACAGATCAGCCACATCCCGCATCTTCGGATGAGGACTACATACGGGTAGGAGCAGAATTCACAAAGGACAAGAAGTCCAGAGCAGATTGCTTGGCAGCCATTGTAGAATAACGTTGAGAACAACCAATGATGTCAGGATAAAGACGCCTGAGGACCATTGCAGGGTGCACAAAGAGAGAAAGGTTGGCTTTTGCCGCCGGAGGTTTGATTGGTTTGGCGGTGACTGCGGATGGCAATGTCACGTAACAAAGCCACCAGTGAAACTAGTAGAATTGATATTCAGGTACGGAGCATTTAGATAGACATTGTAGCTTTAAGTATTATTATGTTTTGTTGGTTCTATACGGAGTACAGAGTAGTCAACCCCACCATGGAACTTGGAAGCTGGGCACAATTTATTGGTATTGTCGTTGCCATGGCCCAGGCTTGGTCGCGTCGCGTCGAAGCGAGCGCGCATACCAAATCAATCTGCGGATTTCGCGTCAGTCAAACGGCCCATACAGATCCCTCACGTCCCCCCCACTTTCAGTGGTCCAGTTAGACTGGTTTGGGCGCGTCCCTTCCAGTAAACAACAGGACTGAGAGTGTGGCATCAGTCTCAATTGTAACAAAGCCATGCTGACACAGAACGTTTCCAAGGTTATCGGCAATCAGCATGAGATTTTGCCAGAGTAAATTAAGGATCTAGACTCCACTTTTAAGACAGTCAATGAAATATTAAGTGTGGTCAAAGGCCAAGGATTAAGGACTGATTTGACCTGGTTGATGGGGCCCGATTGCTTTCGCTAAATCGGGTTAGCGTACCCGACGCGTGACCCAGAGAGTCGCCCTGCGCAACTCCGTCACTCCCTTGAAGACATTCATTCATTCACATGCCTGTAGCTCAGACACTTCTTTGTTGATCTGCCTGGTGAAACAGGGTCTACTTGTGCTTCATCCTGGAACATCTTTCATATTCAGGCGTCAACGGCTAGAGCCACCATTCCACCTCTGGATCAACAACAACGGACCCTCTGCGAATCGCCCTTCAAATACCCTTGGCCCTACACCCGAATATCTGAACGTTTGACATCCCCGATTGAAAGACACTTTACTTCCATCTTATGCAACTCTTATCTCTGTCTTGATCGGTTGCACTTGTCTCTGGGGCTCGGACAGACAACCAGGCATTGCCATGGCGGACAGACCTCAGAATTCGGAGAAGGGTGGGAATAGGTCGGTAACAAGATCTCAAATATCACAGATCTCAAACATTGCATCACCACCTGGATCGAAGACACCACCAAGCATGCCGTCAAAGCGCACGATGTATTTCCCAGACAATTCAAATTCGGGCAGCCGGCAACCGCAAGATGCAGCAGAGCCAGTCGACCCTAGTGCGCTTGCAAAAGCATTGAAGGACTATGAGGCTGCTGGGAGTCGGCGGGACAGGACCCCAGCCTCCAGCCCATGTCGCAAGAGACAACGGGTATATGGAGATCGGTAAGCCACACTTCTGATCGTCGTTGATCAGAAAGCCTGTGACAAACAATGGCAGTCATATGTGACTCAGCTACTGACCGTAATCCAGATTCATTCCCAATCGTGACGGACAAGATCTACAAGCGACTTATAGCTTGTTGCATGAAGACGGTTGCCCGTCTACTCCTTCCAAGGCCAAGAAACGACCCCCTCATTCTGAGCTCCATTTCCAAAAAAGTGTGTTGCATATCAGACCTCAATTCGCTGTACATTTGAACTGACCCTTAATCCCAGCCGAGGAAGCCAACCGTACATTTTCCCGAGTCTTGCGCAGCGAGCTGTTCGGAAACACGGTCCCGCAGCCCGACTTGAACTCTGCGCCACCCGACCCTTTGCTCGGCTTCAGCAATGGAATCCATGACAAGACTCGATCTCATACACCTCCCGCTCATATCGTTGCAAATCTCCCTCCCGCTAGCATCACACCCACCACCCCACACAAGAACCTCTTCAACTATGGACCTTCACGGCCCGGATCGGGACATCCGACCCCCTCCAAAACCCCTCGAAGTGTCCATGGCCCCAATTTAGACGTGCGATCTGAGCTCTACAGCCTTTCTCCTATCCGATATGACAGCCAGCGTATTCTCGAAACACCTCGAAAGCAGGCCCGGTATGTAAATAAGGTGCCCTACAAGGTCTTGGATGCGCCAGATCTTCAGGATGATTTCTATTTGAACCTAGTGGACTGGGGCAGTAGTAATGTTCTTGGCGTTGGATTGGCGAACTCTGTCTACATGTGGAACTCCCACACGGGTGGAGTGACAAGGTTGTGTGAGCTGAAAGATGATACCGTGACCAGCGTGAGCTGGATTCAAAGGGTAAGCAAGGAATCTGCATGTCACCTCCCCATACATGATACTCACATCAGGGACTACAGGGCACACATCTTGCAATTGGCACAGGTAAAGGTCTGGTCCAAATATGGGATGCTGAGCACTGCCGGCGCCTACGAACCATGATTGGACATACCAACCGAGTTGGTGCTTTGGCATGGAACGATCACATTCTCACCTCGGGATCTCGAGACCGTCTCATTTATCACCGTGATGTTCGGTCTCCAGACCAGTACGTTCGAAAGCTTTCTGGCCACAAACAAGAAGTCTGCGGTTTGAAGTGGAATACCGAAGATGGGCAATTAGCATCTGGTGGAAATGACAACAAACTGATGGTTTGGGATAAACTGAGCGAGACGCCCCTCTACCGTTTCTCTGACCACAATGCCGCAGTCAAGGCCATTGCATGGTCTCCTCATCAACATCATCTTCTGGCTTCTGGCGGTGGTACCGCTGACCGCACTATCAAGTTCTGGAACACACAAACCGGCTCAATGATCAAAGAGGTCGACACTGGCAGCCAGGTCTGCAACCTCTCTTGGTCCAAAAATTCAGACGAGATCATCAGCACACACGGGTACAGCCAGAACCAAATCGTCATTTGGAAATACCCGCGTATGGAACAAATCGTCTCTTTGACTGGCCACACTTTCCGCGTTCTTTACCTCGCCATGAGCCCTGACGGCCAGACCGTCGTAACAGGGGCTGGCGACGAAACATTGAGATTCTGGAAAATATTTGATAGACGAGCTACAAGAGACACTCGTCGGGAAGGCAGCAAACTGGCCGAATGGGGCACCATCCGGTAGTTTGGCCAATCCTCTATTCTTTCTAATTTGTCTCTTCATCTGCATTCGACTGGCGTTTTTCGGTTCACTATTTCGATTTGGTCACTGGGGGGAAATCATTGCATGGTCTGAGGGGGATCTGACTCTGCATCTTTTTATGCGTCGACATCTATTGCATCTTTCTTTCCATCGGTGGTTCAAAGAATTTCGCGGGTGGACGTCCGGCGCTTGGTCATTCAGAATGGGTACTTGTTTGAGTTTCTTTCCTTTTTCTTTTTTCGCTTCTTCTTGCTTTCTTTGATTTCTTCCTTTGGTTCGTCCCTCTCTGGCTACGATTTAGGATTGCCATACTGGCCGGATGCCTTTGAGTGGAGTGAACATTTCTACATCCACGTTTCTTGAAGGCTTTGAGCGGCGGCGCTGGTGGTGTTTCCTGGTCGCCGGTATGCGGCGTTGCGCGGGGATCCTCATTGCAATTTGTCATTTGCGAGGTTTCCAGGTTACTTTTGATGATAACATGACCCGTTCTTCTTTTCCGGCACGACTTTGTGCCTGTGTTCCTATTTCAGGGAATCTAGCTATGCCGACCTTCATGGGATCTAAACCATGCTGGAAACGAAATGAGAATTGAAATTGATAAAATACCTTTGTTTCTTGAACGTCCAAGTGCTTAACTAGCTTGGCTAAGAATTTTTGTTTTTTTAAGTGAAGTAACCCAATCAAGGAAAGATCTGATTATGATATACTGTATACATTCATGATTGAGCTTCGCCTGCCCAGGTTTTGGCTCAGATGACCGGGAACAAACAAAAGAAGAAGCTGGAAGAAGGGGGATTTCAAACACCAAGGAAAATTTAAAGTACCAACCGCGCTGGCTCAACTGAGAGAAGAGTCTTGATTCGCTCCAGGAATGCCTTAGCGCGGACCTCCTCACCAGCAGGGACGGTTAGGCTGAAGACATTAGCAGCAACACCAGACGAGCTCTGCACCGAAGCCGTAGGTACAGACTTCTTGGATGACTTGGCACTCAAGAAATCGATCAGGTCCTCGGTGACAGGCTTAGAGAGGACAGTCTTAGGAGCTTCGAAAGCATTCAGCTCAGGAATGTAATCTCCGCGTGATGTGTTGATCGGCTCGGCGCCGAGAACCTCATCGAAGAGCTCGTCGGCAGAGGGCTTGGAGCTAGCCAAGCGGGGCAGGTCGTCGTTGGCAAGGTCTGTAGCCACGGCAAGGAAGCGGGACAGCGGGATCGTCACACCCAGGTTATCCTGGAGCTTCTTCTGGGTAGACAGCACGGCAGCCAGGGAAATGGAGATGGCGACCGAAGTCATGGGCAGGGGCTCGGCGACAAGCTCCTCTTCGGCCGCGGCCGGCGCGGCCGGGGCCGGGGCTGGAGCGATCTTGATGTTGCTCAGATCGAGGTGGGAAAGTTTAGCCAGTGTGGCGGCCTGAGTTGACGGGTATTCCGCGGGGATCTGGCCGATATATGCAAGCACGTCACCCTTCAAGAGACGGCCCTTGGGGCCGGAAGCTGGGATCTTGGAGACATCGGACTTGGGGATGCCCTTCTCACGAAGGAGCTGGGCGACGGAGGGGTAGAGCGGATAGGCGGGGTTCTGGATTGTGTGAGAGGTGGATTGCAGGCCTAGAAGGGACGGTGTTAGCACATTCTTAGTAATGCTTGTAGTATCGCAAGTAACTTCCGCCATAGAATTGAGCTATGAGGAGCGGCTTTCAGTTGCGGAGATATTTCTTCGCCATGAAAATAGATTGGAAACTCACGTCTGCCGATGCCGAACACCTTCTGTTGACGCCGAGCAAACATGGCCGGAACCTGGCCGACGGTGATCTTGGTTGCCATTGCTAAGTGATTCTGGAGTTTTGGAAGATTGGGAGCGCTGCGGTGCCGATTGGGATCTTCGGCCGGTGTCGCAACTCGCCGCGGACGCTGGATTCGGAAGGAACGAGCAGGATCAACGAAGAGCCCACCACCAAGTCGAAGCGCACAAATCTCCGATTTCAATTCTTTTTGAGGTCGTGTGTTTGGAGAGATAATCCAAAGCAACTGTTGGAGGTGTTGAGGGCGTTGGGAGCTTTCACCGGCGGCCGGGACGGGAACATTTTTCTGCCGCATACTGTTTTGGACATTGTCGGCGATTTCCGAGGAGAACGACGCTCAATTGATTCTTGTCCTAGTAAGTTACCGAATGAAACTACTTGGTCATTGTTGCTTTGCCAATTTTCCTCCGGAATCATGACTGTCAATTGCCTGCGTGTCATGGCTTTGAACACTTTACTAACTTGAACGTCCATAGGCTCAGCGCAACCATGTCCGTCAGACCACCCACCTTCTCAATATTCTGGCGCCAATGCCTCCAAAGTCCAATGCGACCTGGCTTTCAGATGAATTCGACATCATCCTCGCGCTACTTCAATTCTAGTGTGCCTCGTTACAAGACCAAGGGCGTGGCCAGAACTGTCGATTCACCGTGGCAAGCCGCAAGCCCTTATGGGAACAAGAACCCCCGTGCCCTTGCGAAGTTGCAAGCGAAAGTATTACAAGCCGGAGAAGTGCTTTTATTCAAGGCTCCTTCTCATCGACCATATGTCTTGACTGCATATGGGTTGTCCGCGTTTTGCTTCGCCTATTCCGTCTACAACTCGAATGCTGTTCTCCTAGATCCTCTGATTCCTCTTCCAATGTGGCAGAAATCTCTATTTGGTGGTATCTGTATCATGATGAGTGTTGGAGGCACCTTGTTCATCTCCCGAACTGGCTCCCTAGTCAGAAATATCAAAGCGATCAACTCCGACGGTCGTATGCGCGTACTCTTCACAGTCCGAAGCATGGTCCCCTTCAAGAAGCCTTACCAGGTCGAAGCGGCGCCGGGTGATCTCTCTTTCAAGCGCAGAGTCTCGGTCTCCCCGGAAACCATGAAGCGTTACGAGGAAAGTACCAGACTCGGCCGTTCATTGGAGACCGAGCCAGCCTTCTTGAGAACATTGAAATCCATGCCCCGCCGGATTTTTCAGAGCATGCGGCAACTTTTCACGAACGAGGACTTCATCATTGTTCAGCTGGCGGGTCACAAGACCCATTTCAGACTGGACTCCAATGGATACATCTCGGATGATCTGCTGCATTTTGGGCGCATGGTGAATGTGAAGATGCCGTTCAGAGGTTGATTGGCAATCATTGTTCAAGTCTCACTAAAGCCTTTTCGTGTTGTGTCGTATGCTGTTGAGTTTTGTACATCATTTTGCCTCGTTTTCTAGATAGCGAAACAGCACTTGTAATACCAGTCGGAAACGCGGTTTGAGTTGAGAATCACAATAAATTATATTATGAGATTACCACTCTATAATAATTATCATAATAGTATGTAATCTATATGCTCTTTACAATGCATCACTGCATGTACATAGTAAGTTTGGGGAGCCACGTGATGGCCCCGGCGCGTCTTGGGTGGACGCGGTTCACCCGGTATCGCGCCCCTCCCACATCTTGCCCACAAACCGTGGACTCAATCTATTGCTTAATTAACAGGGTCCTTGAATTTCTCGGCGCGTTGCTCCCTCAGGGAAGCCGCTGGCAAGATGGGAAAACTCATTCGTTTGGAGCTTTTCAGTATGTACGACCAGAATATACGCCGCAGGCAATAGCTAACTGTGTCACTAGACTTCAAGTCCTACAAGGGACACCACGTCCTCCTATTCGGAGATGCCTATTTTACTTCGATTATCGGCCCGAACGGGTCTGGCAAGTCAAACTCGTGAGTGCCTCTTGGCCTTAGTCCAAAAAGTCTTAGGCTGATGCGCATTAGGATGGATGCCATATCTTTCGTTTTAGGAATCAAGTCTTCTCACCTACGATCGACCAATCTCCGTGACCTTGTGTACCGAGGCCGTGTTTTGCGCACATCTAAAGTGGACGGAGAGCCTGCTGCTGATGGGCAGGATGGCGAGCAAGAAGAGGAACCGGAGAGCATGGATGTCACCCAAGATGCCGGTGGAAACGACCCGAAGTCCGCTTGGGTGATGGCAGTCTATGAGGATGATGCGGGAGAGGAACAGCAATGGCGCCGATCTATCACTAGCCAAGGTGTTAGCGAATACCGCATCAACAACCGAATCGTATCCGCCCATCAATACAATGAGGCCCTGGAGGAGGAGAACATCCTGATCAAGGCCCGAAATTTCCTTGTGTTCCAGGGTGATGTTGAGGCAATCGCATCACAGTCACCAAAAGACCTTACCCGGTTGATTGAGCAGATCTCTGGCAGTCTGGAGCACAAGGCCGACTACGAAAAGTTCAAGGCAGAGGCGGAGGAGGCCGCAGAACAGCAAACCGTCCAGCTCAACCGTCGACGAGGCATCAATTCCGAAGTCAAGCAATACCAGGAACAGAAGCGCGAGGCCGAGAACTATGCGAAAAAGGCCGAAGAACGCGACCAGGCCATTATCACTCATATCCTGTGGAAGCTGTTTCACTTCCAGCGGCTGATCGACGACTCCAGCGCGGATATCCAAAAATACCAGGATGAACTCAAGGAGTACCGCCGTGGCGTTGAGAAATATGAGAAGAACGTCGAAGACGCCAAGAAAGACCATGCTCGAGTCGGAAGAGATGTTGGCAAGGCGGAGAAAAACATCACGAAAAAGGAGAGGGAGATTGAAGAACTCAACAACTCGCTTGTGCCTGTGGACGAGAAGATCGACATCACCCAGAAGAAGGTCGAGAGATACTCGTCAAAGATTACGGAGATCGAAAAGGAGCGCACATCACAATCAAACAATGGCAAGCAACTAGAAAAGGATCTCAGGCTTGTCGAAAAAGCCCAGGCTCAGTGGGAAGTCGAATGGCAAAAGACGATGAGCAAGAAGGGTGTCCAACTGAGCGAAGCCGATCAGCAGGAGTACCACAAGCTCAGAGAAGAAGTCAACCGGCGTTCATCGGCGGACTCCTTGAACCTTGACAATCTGCGCCGGCAGAGAAAGACCGAAGCTGAAGCGGTCAACAGCTTGAAGGGCAAGTTTGAGAACACTGAATGGCAACTGAAATCTGTTGAATCCGATGCCCAGAAAATGAACGAGCGCAAGTCGTCTCTCAATGACACCGTCAAGTTCACCTCCAAAGATATCGATCGTAAGAAGAAGGAGCTGAACGCATTGACTTCCGAGCGGTTGAAGGTCTCGCAAATGCGGACCGAGCTAGAGGAAAAGCTTCAGGTCGTGTTAAGGAAACTTCTCGAGGCCGATGATGGTAAGAAGCAGACCGAACGCGAACTCAGGGCCAAGGAGTTGATCTCAGCCTTGAAGCGCATCTTCCCCGGTGTCAAAGGCCGTGTCAGCGATCTTTGCCGACCGAAGCAGAAGAAATATTCCGATGCAGTCAGCACGGTACTTGGTCGACACTTTGACGCCATTGTTGTGGACAACGAGAAGACCGCAAAGGAGTGTATTCAGCACTTACGCGACCAACGGGCCGGCCAGGCCACGTTCATCCCGCTGGAAACCATTCAAGTCAAGGCGTTCAACTCGAACCTGAAGGGCATGCATAGAGGCATGCGCCCTGCCATTGAGACCATTGACTACGATGATTCGGTTGCGCGAGCAATCAGCTACGCGTGCGGCAACTCTATTGTTTGTGACGATCTGGCGACGGCCAAGTACCTTTGCTACGAACGAAATGTGGACGCGAAGGCGGTCACCCTCGATGGAACTGTCATCCACAAGGGTGGTCTCATGACTGGTGGACGTGGTCCTCAACAGAATTCCAAGCGCTGGGAAGATTCCGAGGTCGAGAACCTGTATAAATTAAAGGAGAAGCTCATGAGCGATCTCGCGAACCTCCCCAAGAGTCACCGCCGAGGCTCCGAAGAAGAGACACTGCAGGGCGAGCTCGTCGGTCTCGAGCAACGCCTCACTTACTCCCGTGATGAGTTGAAGGCCCTCGAGAGGAACCTCGAGAGCAAACGTAGCGAGCTGGACTTCGTTAAGCGCCAGATGGAGGAACTGCGACCCAAATACACCGAGCGTAAGGAAAACCTTGACGAGCTAGACGAGACAATCGAAACTTCGCAGGCTTCGGTCAGCACCGTCGAGGATGAGATCTACCGCAAGTTCTGCAAGCGCTTGGGTTATGATGACATCCGAGAATATGAGGCCCAGCAGGGTTCTGTGCAGGAAGAAGCCGCACAAAGGAAGCTTGAGTTCACTACCCAAAAGAGCCGAATCGAAAACCAGCTCAGCTTTGAGAAACAGCGTATCCAAGCAACTGAGGACCGAATCAACGGCCTGAAGGCCCAATACGAGCGCGACCAGAGCTTGATTGAAGAGCTGCAAAGCCAACAAGAAGAAATCCGCAACCAGCTCGATGAATTCGAAGCAGAACTTGAGCTCCTCCGAGAGGCCCTTGAGAAACAGAAGGAAATCTATGGCCAATCGGCAGAAAACTTGGCAGAGCAACGCCGTGAACTCCAGAAGCGTAGCAAGCACGTTGAAGCAGCGTTAAAGAATGTCAACGCGCTTGAAGCCGAGATCCAGAGAAACTCTTCCAGTCGTTACACTCTTCTGCGTCGCTGCAAACTTGAAGACATTGATGTTCCTTTGACCGAGTCTTCCAATTCTCTTGACAAACTTCCCATCGATGACCTTGTGCAAGCAGCAGACCCGGATGCCATGGAGGTGGATGAAGGAGATGGTATGGACGAGGCTTCTGCGGTGCACGATTACGGTATTGAGGTCGACTTCGATTCTCTGGGAGAGACCCTGAAAGAGGTTTGTGTTTGCTCCTATCGCTTTAGTTTCTCACATGCTAATTCAATTTCAGGAAGCCGATGACAAGCTCGAGGATGAACTGCTCGAGAAGGTCCGTGTTCTCAACAGTGACCTTGACAAGATGGCACCGAATGCTCGTGCCATGGAGCGTCTAGAGAGTGTCGAAAACAAACTTCGCAGCACCGAAAAGGACTTTGAGGACGCCCGGAAATCTGCACGAAAGGCCAAGGAAGAGTTTGAGTCTGTGATGAAGACGCGATCCGACCTTTTCAATAAGGCATTCACCCACATTTCTGAGCAGATCGGGCCGATTTACCGTGAACTCACGCGCAGCACCAATTACCCCCTGGGTGGTCAAGCGTAGGTTTCTTTTCCAGCTTCCCACTCTAAACCTTCCCACTCTAAAAGATCACTAACATTTCAAAAGCTACCTCGATATTGAGGACTCGGACGAGCCCTACTTGGACGGCATCAAATACCACGCCATGCCTCCTCTCAAACGTTTCCGAGACATGGAGCATCTTTCAGGTGGCGAGAAGACCATGGCCGCACTCGCTTTGCTGTTTGCTATCCACTCGTACCAACCGTCTCCATTCTTCGTGCTGGACGAGGTTGACGCAGCACTGGATAACACCAACGTCGCCCGTATTGCCAACTATATCCATGACCACGCTGCGCCTGGCATGCAGTTCATCGTGATTAGTCTAAAGACCGGACTGTTCCAGAACAGTGAGGCTTTGGTCGGTATCTACCGGGATCAGGTCGAGAACAGCAGCAAATCATTGACACTTGATGTGAGTTTTGAAGAAGTTTTTAGTATACGCCAATGTAGAAATATGCTGACAATGATCGTTCGCAGCTTCGGAAGTACACCTAAATCATCCAGGTGGGATTTATGCGGATTGTGTGATGACCCTTTGTTTTTGCTTCCTATTTCTTCATTGTAGATTATTGAGTCTTGCTGGTTTGTTTTCTTCCGCTTCTACCGGAGTCGATAAGGGAGTAGGAAGCCCATTTTCTAATCTGAGCATTATTTCTATTGACAAAGCTGTTAATTGATACCAGTTTCTGTATTGTATTTTTTTTTGCAATTGTTCCAACGCTTCTCATATATCATACCTGCGGGTGACCCTAAAAGTCTCCGTTTCCGAACGACTACATGCCCAACTGTCTATACTACAGATTTTGGACAATGCTTATAGGGCATCTCCCGAAAGTAGATATGAATAGATTCAATTAAGTCCATATCACGAGATATGCCGAGGCCACCATGCTGAAACCCCCTAGAAGATCCATCGTGGCGTAAGATAAAGAGATACGTAGGCCTCACGAAAAACAAAGCAAAGAAACGACCACCTGTAAAATCACAAACCAGCCGACTTCAAGTTCCTGTTTCTGTACTTGTTGTGACAAAAGAAATTCAAGAACCTGACTTCCACCATGCAGAAGGCATGGCACTTGTTGAAAGTACCGGTGAGACGAGACAGATCAAAGTCGCAGAAGAAGAAACAAGAAAACCAGAAGAAGCACCGAAAACCGAGAACCGAGAACCGAAGAGACTATCATCTGTGAGAGACTTGCGACCTGGAGGTACCACAACGAGAGGCAGATCCAGACCCAATAGGTCAGATACCTACTAGTCTGTGGCTGGCTGTGCCACAACCTAAACCTCCGGTGTAGGCTTGATCTTGGGAGTGAGCTTGATTCCAGAGACACCCTTGGCTAGAAGCGCAGCCTTGGCTTGAGTAGTCTTGGCCTGGGTAGCACCCTTTACCCCAGCAGCAGGCTTGACCTGAGTAGCACTCTTGGCCGCAGCAGCAGCCTTGGCCGGAAGAGCAGGCTTGGCTTGAGTAGTTATCTTGGCCTGGGTTGCATTGGCCCCAGTAGCATGGTTGGTCTGAGAAGTAGTAGTATCGAGTTGAGTTACTGTCTTGTCCTGGGCAGCGACCTCACGCTCAGTAAGAGGCTCAGCTTTCGTATGTGTCTTATCCTCGATGGCCTCGGGAGGATCCTTGGGGGAGGTCTCGAGAGGCGCGGCAGAGGCAGAAGCAGGGGCAGTCAGAAGAGTATCATCAGGGGAAGGCTTGGACCCATCAATCATGTCGGTGGAAGAGTTATTCGCACCCAAGCTACCGTATTCACCGACATCAAGTGGTTGCGGGACCTGGGCAGGGATGCTCACGAAAATGTTGTTGACAGCGTCAGCATGTTTGCGAATGTGAATTGACTGCTTTATCTTGTCCTTGATCTTAAAGTCGCAGGGAACCAGACGGTAGCCGGGCTCTTGGTCACGGTGGTACTCGTAAAGGCAGACTTTGAGGCCACGGATGAGGAGGGCCCAGCATCGCTCGCTGGGAATCGGGGCACTGAGCAGGCGGGGCACGTGTTGATCCCATGTTTCTTGGATTGGAGCAGATGTGTCGAGAATAACCTTCACGATGATGTGTAGGGCCCTGTCTTCACCAGTAGCTCTCACGATGAAACAGTTCGAATGGTTGTTCTCCTCGTCCTCTTGCCACTTGAGAACCCAGCCATCATTTGAATCGAAAGCGTAAGTGAGGAGACCGCTCACCATGATCTTGGCATTCTCAGCGGTTGGTTTATCCTCATACGCGTTGATGAAATCCGCAATAGCGGGCAGCGAAAGATAATTATCGCTCATGGTTTCCATGATGAAGTCGAAGGAAAGTGTGGTGAGAAGGAATAGATTTGCGGAAGAGGAAATGTGGCAGGAGACAGGAAAGAAGTGAGTAACGTTTTGTGATTGCAAATGAGATCAGGAAGCCTCATGTGGAAGTGCGCGTAGGTGATCAAATATTCAGGCACCTAAGCAAACATTTATACTTGGGCTTCTACTATCAGAAAGTGCGAGCTTAACACCATACTCCGAGGCAAACAGTTGTCCTTATTGGTATTTACAGAGTGTCTACTATTAGTCTACTACCTTATATAACGCGAAAGTGCGAGTTAAGTAAAAGGCCTGTCGGACGTAAGTGCTATCGTTTACTTCTATAAAGATGTGTCTCTTAATTGTTTTACCTTAATATTAGGCCCCGGATTAAAACTATAAAGGAAAGTCAGCCAGGGAGACAGCCCTGGAGATATGTAAGGATATCCCTATATTTGTTCTATCTAAACCGCAGATACACGCAAACATATGCCCTTACTAGTATTTATATAGGAAGGTGCCTACTATCAGTCTACTACCCTATATAACGTGAAAGTGCGAGTTATGTAAGAAGCCTATCGGACATACTACACATGTGTCAATTATTGTCAAGTTCTATTTCTGTGGAGCATTTGTATATGTAAATCTGCCTTAATGTTATGACACGAACTGAAAAGGTAAAGGGAAAAGGGCCGTTCCCTAAGATAGTCGTTAGTAGACTTCTTCTACCTCTAAATCCGTGAGTATTTGCCCATACTGATCATGTTATATAGGCTCTATAGTATGCAATGCGAGAAGCCAGATACTGATAGTGTACAGATCAAAAGGTGAAATGGGTGTAATTGACCAAATGAGCAAAACCTCCGCATCTTATCCCTCGAGGATTTACATAAAAGCCATAGTAGAATATGTCAAACACTCAATAAGTCCCAATAGATACGAATAAATGAGGTCTTCGCATTTTGGAAGTCTGTCAATTGGCTCATATGTCGCCCACCAAGACAAGCAGATTTGACTCCGATTACCAGGTGCAAGCTCCGCTAGTCATCCCAAAATAAGTTACATGAGCATCATTCACCCCCTGTCCTCCTTGAGCCTCGCAGCACTGTACCTCGCTCCCCGAGCAGACAAACGTGCTAGAAGCGCTGTGAGGCTCAACACTCCAATATTCAACACCAGAGTGGACATAGCCCTGTTCAGCCGGGGGCAGGTTTGGGATTCCATCGTCAGCATGGGTGACCCGGAAGAGCCGGGTTGCCTCGGGGCTCGCCACATCGAAATTTTCATTCATATATGATGCGTAGGCCAGATTGCCAGTCCGCGGTTCGCCGAAGGTGTACAATCTGACTTGGTCATGTGTAGCGGACAGCTGGCCGGCAGTTATCGCTGCCATCGATGCACCCAGACTAGAACATGTGTGTCAGTTGAGCCAAGAAGTACAGTCAATAAAAGGCAATCAATCGGTGGAAAGAAGGTAACACTAATGTGAAGTTGTAGACAGGGGAAGGAGAAACTGTCATACCTGTGACCCGTGACCGTCAGTGCATACTCCGGATAATGCGTGGCCTGCTCTTGAACGAGTGACTCGACTTGGTCTTGGACAGAAATCCATCCAAGATAGTATCCGCCATGCACGGCACAACCGACACATCCAGGCAAAGTGTCAAAAGGAGCGAGGGTGTAATTGGTGTCAAGCTGCAAGTTCGTGTCACTGCCAGTACCGCGAAAGACGATGATGATTTCCTGACGACTATCATCGCGGAGCAACCATCCGTTGATATCCGTTTGGGCGTTGTATATCTTCTCCACCGTGGTTATGGTTGTTGGAATGTTACACAGATCTGCATAAGCAGCTTGGGAGATGGTGGCCATCTCAACCAGACGATTGTAGACGTTGTCAGTGATGCCCTGCGTGACAGTAGCTAGACATTGTCCTACAGTCACACACAAGCTGAGAACGCGTGTTGCGGAAAAGGTTTTCATCTCGACAGCTTAATTCCTGGAAATTTTTAATGGATGATGGTTCAACGTGGAGAGATTGAGTCCGGTGCTTCGGTATATCTCTTGGAGCATACATATGTATCTATATATCCTGTATAATAGGCTAGAAACCCATCTTTAGGATAAAAAGGAGAAATTGAAGATCATATCCCATCAGGGCCATGAGGCCTCACATTTTGCCACAGATGCCTCTTTCTCAAAATAATCTTTAACCGGAAGAATTGCCAGATTACGCAGTCAATGACCCAAGAGCTCATGTGTTGGATGAATTTATGAGAATCAAAGTGAGTCCACCGGGAAATGTCCTGTTTTAGTTTGAAAGCCTTTTCCAAAACGTTATAGCCTATTACACTTGGTCTTGGGAAAGGCCATAGGTTGAAGATCCCTTCGGCATGTGTCGATACTCAAACTACCGTTGCCAAGTCAGGAAATTCGCCCGTTTGCCTAATCTGGGAAGTCACCGAAACGGAGTCTCGGGGATAGTTTGATCCAAATTATGTTTGGACCCTGATCGGGCCGTTCCGCAAGGGTCAAAAATGTGTAATTGGTATGTACCTACCTAGGTACCTAGGTATACGGAATATAGAAATACTTTCCTACACCGTCTTAAATCCTAAATAGAGCCTAACATGATATCCACGGGTCCAGAAAGGGTGACTCTTTGTCTGCGAATTCCACCAAAATCTAGAATGCATCACTATGGGCAGTGCCAAGAGCTGTAGACGAGCCAATTCTCTAGTCATGCTCACTTGCACCTTTTTCTTAATTACGTTTACGGCAGGGCGACAAGTTCTGTAGAACTGGAAATGAAATTGTAGAGTAGTTTAGTAAAGCGAGATTATCTCTTCCAAAGACAAAACTCTTCGATGACAACAACAGTCCACTTTCCTAGAGTCTTTCATTGCCACGATCCTTGTATGTTGCAGTCTTCATATCATCTGGCTGATTGGATCTGAAGTGTAGCCTATCCACTAACAGAATTCGCAACTTCGCATGGAGATCGAGGGTATTTCCTAGAGGGCTGCGATAGCGTTATATGCAGGCTTTGGGCTGTAGTTCCCGTCAAAAAGTAATGGGCTCGACTCAGAGCGCCACGAATCCTAGCAAAAGATCTGGTATTAGTATCAAGTCTGGTTTAGCTGGGGATAAATGTGAATTTACTGGGTCAGCAACTCCCCAAACTGTGATTCCGATACACTTTGGCTGGTTCAGACAAGCATTGGCAACCTATAAAAATAGAGATTTAGTGAGTCAACGGTACTAGCCATGACACTGTCCAAACTCACATCGACGTAGTCAGTAGAGCTGGCGCCAGCAATATCAAGCTCAGTGACAGCGATCTCTTCCGTTCCTGCACTGGCAAGAGCATCAAGAGCTGTGAGAGGCTGTCAGCTAATTTTCAATCTACAAGAAGCAAGGGGGTACTTATCCAGCAACTCCAGCACCGCCACCGGCACTTAAGTGGGTTTGAGAGCCTGTAAATGACTGAGCAATCATATACGGTGAAATGCAATGACAGTTATCTTACCGATTCCGTCGATTGGGACACCAGCAGCAATCCATTTCTTGACATGGGTAACCATACCGCTCACTTTGGGATAAGAGGCAGAATCCAAGCTGCGTAAGATCAGAATCGATTCAAAATGAAAAGATCAAAGTGCTACAACTCACTTATAGTCATTGATATAGAGCTTTGCACTTGGGTCTGCAGCACGGGCTGTTTCGAAAGCGATCCGCACATAGTCCTCACCGATAACTTTGTAGAAGACACTATCACGAAGGGAACCATCCTCGTTGAAAATTTCATTCACAACGTCCTTAGATCGATCAGTAATGTAGCTTCGTAGAACTCATGTTACGGATACAACGTACCCAGGCGTATATTTTGCCCTTGTAACGGGTCACCATCGTGGTAATGTGATTCTTCATGACATCGATTAGGGTCGTTTTGTCTGAGATAGAAGTGACCCAATCTGGGAGCTGGGAGTGCCACACTTGACGAGTTTAGCTTCTCTTGGGGCATGCTTTGTAGGGCTGCAAGCGAACTTACCGAGAGTATGGCCACGGATCAGTTTCTCATTTGACTGGGCAAAGTCAACCTAGAGGCTGTAAGAACCAGGAAAAGAAGTGATTGCCGTCAAAAATGCCGGGTACATACCAGATAGTCCGACCCTGTGAAGGTGAACTTCCCTTGAGTTGCTATTTTGTAAATCAGCTTATATTACTCTAGTTAGCCCGAGCTAGTTGTACTCACGCTCAGTAGCATCCCACTTCATACTATTCTCCGGAGTCAGTTGACCGAAGTTGGCCTTGATGATTGCCGGGGTCTTTGCGTTCTTGTCGAAGGTGTACTGGTCACCAATACTTCCCAGATATTTTTTCTCGTGAGCCTTGAAAACGGCATCAATGCTCTCAGAGGCTTGTCTGGATTGAACTGGTCCGGAAAGCACTGGGCTGGCGAAAAGTATAGCTAGAGCAGCAGCCTTGATTGGAATCATATTGGGAAACATGTTGGTTCTTCAAGTCGATAAATAGAAATGAGAGTGGTACACAGAAGACACCGACGGGAAGGAATGTAGACGATACTTATATACTAATACAGGACAGGAGCCAAGATTTCTTAGGGAAGAGAAGTTCGTAGTTGAGATGGTAGTTAAAATGGAGATCCTTTCCTGATGGAAAACGGGGTCTTCATCATCTATCTCTTTCACTGATGGGGAACGGACATTACCTATTTTACCCAAGATTCTAGTAAATAAGAGTAATGGAACAATTTTTTAGCCTAAATGTTTCATATAGAAAACTTCAGCCTAGAAGATATGTGGAGTAGCAAGTTGTACTTAGAATATTATCAAACCGCCAAGCTCCTCCCAGGTAGGCTAATTGGAAGCTCTAGCCTATGTAATGAAAGAACAAAGCTTGACCTGTGTTGAAGGGTAATAGGATGATGTGGAAATGAAGAGGGGGTCATCACGCCTGATGTCGATCACCTTCACGTTTGAGGTCCAAAGTGGCTAGCTCCAACTTCGCCAAGTAGGGGTAACCCCCATTTTCAAATATATTTCCCGAGGCACCTCCGAGTGGGATTACTTGTAAGGTTCTTCAAGCTATCGGCAAGGCTTAGGCAACACTGAGAACACAATATCCACCAAGTAGAAATTGTTAGAGACTAGTCTGTTTTATAGTGAAACAGCCGTATCAAGATAATGTATCAGTAAGAAACCAACCCCTCTAGCATCAACAATAACCACGACTATATGCATGATCTCTTCGATGCATTGACCCAGCCTCGGTCTGAAAACAGGGTTGCAAGCATGTTATTGTGAAGCTCGTGTTAGTGCCTATTTCCAAAAAAGGCAATAGTCCGACGGAGTATAATGTTTCTGGCTAATGTAGTTTACCCCGAACCACTTCTCTGGAGGTAGCAAATTAAGAAAAAAGAAAAAGTCTTACCAAGAGTTATTTCTTCCCAGTTGAAACATGGTGGGTTATTTAAACAACGTCAGCTCCTGCCCAGGTGCTCTGACTTTCTGCTTCAGGCCTTCAATCAAACAACCCGTCGCAGACTAAAATCTTAACGACAATGAAATTCCTCAAGACGCAGGCTGACCTCGTGTCGTCTGGCATATTGTTTCTTGCATCACTACCAATTGTCGTCGCCGACTGCTCGCTTCCGTCGACTTATAGTTGGACATCAACTGGCGCTCTGGCGAATCCCAAGTCCGGATGGACCTCACTTAAGGACTTCACCTCGGTGGTTTTCAACAACAAACATATTGTATATGCATCAACCAGTGACGCAAGTGGGAACTACGGCTCGATGAACTTTGGCGCCTTTTCGGATTGGTCTGGCATGGCAACCGCGAGTCAAGTCGGAATGAGCTTTTCAGCCGTTGCGCCAACTCTTTTCTACTTCCAGCCAAAGAATATTTGGGTCCTGGCCTATCAATGGGGCTCGAGCACGTTTACCTATCGAACATCAACCGATCCTACCAATGCCAATGGATGGTCATCTGAGCAAGCTCTTTTTTCAGGAAAGATCACCGGCTCGAGTACTGGTGCCATTGATCAGACCGTTATCGGTGACTCTACGCATATGTACCTTTTCTTTGCGGGAGACAATGGCAAGATCTATCGCACCAGCATGCCCATCAACAATTTCCCCGGGAACTTTGGAACAAGTTCAGAGGTGATACTAAGTGACACTCAGAACAACCTATTCGAGGCAGTTCAAGTGTACACCGTCAAAGGTCAGAACAAGTACCTGATGATCGTCGAGGCAATTGGATCGCAAGGGCGGTACTTCCGTTCATTTACCTCCAACAGCCTTGGCGGTTCGTGGACAGCACAGGCAGCAAGCGAGAGCAACCCCTTCGCTGGAAAATCCAATAGCGGTGCAACCTGGACCAACGATATCAGTCACGGTGATTTGGTTCGAGCCAACCCTGACCAAACAATGACCATCGATCCATGCAACCTGCAACTTCTCTACCAGGGACTAGACCTGAACGCCGGCGGTGACTACAATACCCTACCATGGAGACCTGCCGTGCTCACTTTGAAAAACTAAAGGAGTTTTTTTTTGGTATTTGGAGAGCTAAGGGAGGACGGAGCTGTGAAGACGATATTGTTAGAGCCATAATATGAATTCAAATCTAAATACAGTCTCTTCTATTCGTTGCATAACACAATAAAGTCCCGTTGAAAGAGCGGATTGTTGGGCAGTTGGGCGAAGCCAAGACCGGCCATAAAACTATTCGGTATATATATCGTTCCCACAGTTCTGCTACATTAAGTGACGAAAAGATCCGATTAAAGTAGAAAAGAACTAAAAGATCAATAGGAGGGAGAAAGAAATCTTTCGGACTACAAATAGTTGTTTACAAAGGCCTATCGCCTACTAGAGTGAAACTGCAAGCGAAGTGAAAAGGAAATGACCAGAAAATTATATTTAGGCGAACGATGATCAAAGAATCTACGTTGAGAAAGAGTATGTCTGCTGCACCCGTACGTCAATTATGATTAAATGATATCTAGGACTCGCCGTCCTGGTTTTGCTGGAATTGCCTGCTGCAATGTCTAAAGATTGAGAATCGAAGAAAATGGGAGGGAGAAAATGAATTGAGCTACGGTGCCGAAAGCGAGACAGGACAGTGGCTATTGGGAAATCAGAAATGAGCTGTTTGTTCAAAACTACTTCATCAAACTGTTTGTGGCCTGTGGATTAGATAGAGAGCGACTAATCGATCAAGTGGCAAGCAATGGAACGATCAGATCAGCCGCCTCACGTTGTACAATATTTGACTACTTCGGCGCAGCCCTGTGGGCCTATGCTTCGACCTCTACTGTGCCTCGCAGACAGTCGGCCAAAAGCTCCCTGCACAAGGAAATATACTATCTTGATTATATCATGGATCATGGCAAGTAGTTCAAATGGACAACCAGTCGGAAACAAGGCTCCTATGGAAATTCCGCGGTCGAGGTGCTGAGCAGTGAAGATAGGGTATCCATGTATACAAGTATGATGAGCCTTTGAGACAAGGTAATGTCATTGACAAATCAATAGGCGTGAGTAGAGGGCGTAAACTTGAGCTTCCTTGGTTAGGTATGTTCTACCAAATTCATGGGGATTGGAAGGGTATTTGGAAAGAAGAGCTTATCGAATCAAGACCTGATGGGGTTAGAGTCAGTTCCCGGCAGTAATTCTTTTTCTATACCCTCAGGGCTACTGTGACTGGTATGCTTAACTCCAACTTTCTATAGTCGGTTACATCTGGATAACCTCTTATCTATGATCCGAGGTCGAATTGATTCTAGGCTTTCCCTTGACAGCCCCCGAGGTGGCGATATTTAAATATAGCGCTTTGCAAGTATAAGAATAATGGCCGAAAGCGAGAACGACGGAACCAGTGACCACTACGAATAAAAGCGAAGCTTCGAGTGCGGAGAACTTAGCCCATAGCTCCAATCTCATACCTAGAGATCCGACGCCAAGTACGGTGAACAGAGCAACGGAGTCACCAGGTGCAGTTTACTTGGGTATAGTCACCGCCACCATCCAAGTAATTGGCACTGTAACCCCAACGAACATTGCAAATCATGCCCAATGTCAACCACCCCCGGACACCAGGAAGACCACCCGAGGTCAAAGTTCCAATAATGCATGTTTCCTGCACCAATATCCTGGTACCAGGATGTAGCCATCTGCATCAATATCCTGGTACTAGGATTGAGCCATCTGCACCAAGCTAGCAATGGCAACGGAATGTTAACAAGCGGGAGTACCGGGTGTACCACCCGCGGAGACGCACATATTCCTACCTGGTAAATGACTTTTCGCAATGTAAGCATACAGCAGGAAAGCTGGATTACAGACGAAAATAAAGCGAAGCGGTTTCAAATATGCCATCCCTCGAGGTGTTGTGCCACGGTAACAGTATGTACTCCGTACATGTACGAGCACTGGCGTCCACGGGCAGAGGGTGATCTGCTCATGCGCATAATATGGCCATCAGGGGGAAATATTCTGTCTATAATGTACAGAATTGGAGTACAATAATAGAATTAACCGTAATATTGTACTGCGTATGTATTCCGTTGATCATTTCAAGGTGTTACGGTGCTCCGCCCCGCACATATACGCAAGGGACGCATGTCTTTTCCACGCCACTGACTGAGAGACTTTGTATTCGAGTCTTTTTGTGGGGTTTGTGTACCCTTGGGTATCACAGAGTTTGGAGCCCATGCGGCTCAGGGGATGGTAATGTACATATGTTTGCTTTGCTGCTTGGCATCTAGGTGCAATGTATGTACTCCGTACGGAGTGCCTAGCCCTGTGTTATTGATTGCGTGGAATTAATATTACTTTTTTATTCCTGGTTTCTTGCTTTTGCCAATGATAATAACGCTGCCTGGAAAGGAGTGTCGGCAATGGATTATCCAATAAATTTTAGATGTCGAGCCATAGGATATATAGGCGAAAAGATATCAGGTGAAGAGTATAAAATTGGCTGATACTTACTAGGTCCCTCTCAGTAGTCAAGTGCTGACCTCAAGATCGAAGGTCTCGATATCTCTCGTTGCAATATCAAGTGAATTTGCGAGTCCCGGTATATCCCACGACCCCTAAAGGCTCATCGAATAGCATCAATTATAGTGATACGGTTACATTTTCCGTGTTTGTGCGGGCCTTAGTCCAGATAGCAATAATACCAGCCCCCCTAAAAAAAGCAAAAAGAAAAAGAGACCAAAGAGACGGTGGAGGAATACTCCCTCATAACATTGGGCCTTGCTACAGCTGCAGTCCGCTGCCGCCGCAGGCCGAGATCCTGGTGGCGCTACTAATCATGACAATTTTTCAATTGTTGCTACATCGTATACCATCGAGCCACGAAAAAGAAACAAATGCCCAGAACGACAATGGAGTTGATCAAATTCGCAATGTTCGGCTTCTTGGTCTGCGATCCGCGGTCCCCCGCTCCCAGTAGACACTGTCGATCCGGGAGCAGGGAACCGATCCCAATGGTAGTTCAAATTCAATTAACCTCGGGGCTCTTCCTCCTTATGGATACAGAGAACTCTCCCGTTCGAAAAAATGCTTCGACTCTAGCTCCGGGTTGCCACGTCCGGTCATGCACGATGCCGCAGGACAGCAAAATTTGGAATCGCCGACTGAAGGACACATGCTGGTGGCGCTTCGATACGGAGTACGGAGTACATACCTCGATTTTACACCGTGTTGGAAAGAAAGGAAGCGATCGCGAAAGGCCAAAAGAAAAGACACAATTTGGTCCATTTTTTAGGTATATTCTCGGTTTTCGTATCCGCACGTCCGGAACCACTAACCAGCTTCCGCGAACTTGAAAATAAGCTCAAGATTCGATGGTCGCGTCTATGGCCTTGACCCCTTCAACTTTCACAGGAAAAGACTTATCTCCAGGTCTTCGGTTTCAGATTAGGTTGGAAAATGGCACGGACAATGGACCAAGCGCCCGGTGGAGATAAACATTGTGGTACTCCGTGTGGAAGCTTTACTATCTTACAAATTCTCGAAAAAGAAAAGAAAAAGAGCGAGAAAGAAACATTGAATGGAAAGACCTGCGTGTAAGATGTAGTTGAAAAAGCCCACTAGGATGATGCCGAGCAACGCAAGTAAGTATCCATACGGAGTAGATCCATAAATGTTAGAGCCCTGGAGAGATTCACCTAGACCACACATTAGTCAGTGATCCATTAGCCTCTCTTGGCTTGCATGAGATGATCTCAGAGGCGTCGAGGATGACCGCTCTTCTTTATCACCTGTCGTGGCTGATGTGGCCAAGCGATCGCCGATGAATTAATACAATTGGATAGATAAATGTTTCCGTGGGCTTACTGGGTATTTTGGATTAGGTACCCCGTACTCCGTACAGCTTACATCTTCTACGATGCCTCCTATTCCTTGAACCGGAAAGATAGAGGGTCAACTCGGTGGTATTGGAGCGGGAAGATATGGATACAACGGCTTGCTGCAGAAAACCTGCAAGTAGTTCAGATAGCGGAGACATTACGGAGTAGTTGGATACGATTTGGATAATTTGATTTCGAATTGATCCTTGTGGCTGTTTTCTAAGAAGTTGAGACGTCCCAAGTAGTATTTTAGGCCGATCTCGGACCCGCCGACGGAACCATGGATCGAACAAGGTTATGTGACACTCATCCATGGATCACAGCCCTAAGCGTCAATGCGCAGAATGGACTCGACCCATCGACTACCCATTGCAAAGGGGATGTGGTCGATCCAATCAACATGCAGGAAGAAGTGACACGGAAGCTTTTCGTATTGCCACACGCTCGACTTTGCAGCTATTCATTTTTCCTTGCATTAGCACCAAGCCGATTACTTTCAGGGGACATCATGTGGAGATCTACCAATACTCGGGGTTTGGGAGATCACGGATATCCCGTATTATCAGTATGGAGTATATTTATCTCACCTGGACCCTGCCCCTGATCGAATGGTCCCGGATTTCTTATCCATCGGCAAGCTGCGTTTACCCTTGTTAAGAGGGTTATCTCTTGTTCCTATTAATTAACGCCGTGGGTCGTTGAGGTCCATTGTGTTCTTTGTGCTTTTTGCTTTGTGTTTGCAATTTACTACGTTGGACAAGCGCAGTGAGCCCCCGGCCCGATCTTGTTCAATTTCCATACCCTATACAATCTCACTATGGATATGAATCGTGGATATCCATTTGGCGGAGAGGTGCTGGAGCGAAGACACTCTGATACGTGCATCCCGCAACCACCACCGATGAACATGGTAATAGAGAACTTCCCAATTGCGAAACAGAAGGCAACAAGTATCAAGTTTAGCTAACAATCAAATAGCCGATCACTCCTAAACCGAATACCAACGAATACACACACCCGCACTTCGCCATGATATATCTCGACCACAATGGTCAATGGCAACTACAAGCCTCGCCCTCAATTGCAGGCTGTGAAGGCGCCATCTTCACACCAGATGTTACAGACCGATTCATAGAAATGACTGGACAGACCCCACAGGCCAACCCGCCGTTTACAAGTGAGCCAGGTTCTTCCAAGTTCCAGAGCGGCAAGACTGATTTTCTTTTGCCTCCTTGCAGATCCAACCCAAGCACCCCACTCCCCTTGGGATGAGCAACCATCTTCCGGATGGGGGCCATCCAGTCAGGCGAGACAGGCCGAGATGATTCCGTTTCAATGGTCGTCACAACAAAGCCGAAAAAGTCAAAGCGTGCCAGCGGCACGCTCAAGTCTCGACCTAAATCTAGCTCACCGCCACCTACCACACCTCCACCTGGACGGACTGTTCTTCGTGTCGGTAATCGGGCGCTGCTGCGACGGTACTACGAGAAGGCATTCGAGGATTTCCAGCAGCTCAACTGCCGCGCTATTGCAAAATCCTACATCAAACTTGTCGAGCCGAGGAAACAAGTCCATTATCCGTACAATGGACGCAGGGTCATTGCTGGTGTCTCTCAGCGTGTTGACCCGGAGTTCACCAAGCCTGCGTGGTGGCCCACTGGTGTCTTACATAAGGAGCCTGATCATCTGCTCAAGCCTGGTGAGTAGATCCTTTCAGTATCATTGATATGAAAGTAGTAATACTGACCGACGATAGACCGACTACGACTTCTAGTCCATATCCTCTGTGAGCTAAAGGATAGCCATGGAGTTACAACAGACAAATTGCGAGATGCTGGCCAAGACGTGAGACGCCAGATTACCCCTGCCCACAGGCTGCAGGTTCTAGACGAGATCTACTTTGTGCGACAAATGGAAGAACAGTTCCTGGACGGTAAAATCGGTACGTGCCGCTCTATCCTAATTCAAAGCCTAATCAGCAGTTCCACTAACCATGTCTGTTTTTGTCACTATAGACGCCAGTACCTTGATTCAGGTAACACAAACGCATCTACCAGAAGCAATATTCCAAGACAGCGATGAACTGTCATCCCGTGCACACGCAGCACCGGTAACATCGTCTGTGGTTGAGGCTCAACGTGACATGCGCGATGCAGGTGATGAACCCGGCACTTCCACGCTGGAAGAAGAAGACTCAAAGCTACACCCGCATAGTCTGCCCCTCTCGCCCACCACTAGCGAGTCAAGTGGTCCACACAGCCCGACAGGCAGCTTCGGCTACCCAATGGGCATGGCACCATCGGTGCATGTAATTCCCCCTCTCGAATCCTCAAATGTCACGAAATCTCTGCATCCAGATCCGAGTTATCTCTCTGGGTACTACTCGCAGCAGTTTGTATCTGATAAAGGGCCCGGGTTCTGGTCACATGCCAACTCTGCATCGCAGTTTGGATATTGATGTTCTGCTTTATTCCCTCTCTTGTTTTCACCAGTATTGACCTGGAGTTTGTGAGCGTTTGGCTGGGCACGGATATGGGGTTTTGCTGGTTGATTTTCCTATACTATATTTTTCTTTACTTGGGATAGTTTGTCACCTCGCTTTCATATACGAGAAGTCAGAGAGAATGTGCAACAAATTAATGGAGCAACTCAAATACGATCAACCCTTAGAACAGTGCAAGTAGAGAAAGACCTCGGGAAGCAAAAGAACTATAAGATTTGCTGCCTCAGGCGTTATCCCAAGACAGCTGATTGGATCCACATGACGATCCCCCAGCGCAGCTCCGGCCAACCACCTCCCATATCACAAGCACACGTCAATTTCTCAACTTCTCGCTGGCTCTTGTCCGAGCATCTCTCACCTTTGTGACTGCCAAAGTAACAGTTCTATATCGCTGTTTTTGTGTCATGCGCCTGTGACTCTGGAGTATACTTTGTGGATCGCCAACCACATTTCACCATCGCCTTGTGAGTCCAAGGTGTGATCTACCGAGCCGTTTATTTAATTGCCCCTCATGTCTACCTAATGGTTGTGTGTTCTGAGCGAACCTGTTTGGCCACATATCTACTAAGCTGTACTCTTTGGGCTTGTTTGCAACTATGGGGATGCTAACATTCAATCGTTTCCTCAGTCGACCATATCCTAACACTCGGGACGGACCGACGATACTCTCTTTTCAGCAAAAGTTCTTGATGGAAAGCACCAGCTCGAGAAGAAAATCCGATCCCACAATGTCAGCCGAGCCGCTGATCTCCACGCCAGGCCTGGACGAGACCGATGTGCCCTTCCCTTCAGACGACTTTGCCGACAACGATGAATTTGGCTCTGCTGCCACATCCCCAGGCAATCTGTCGCGCAACGGTTCCTTCTCAAATAGTAGCTCGTACCAGGAGGACTGGGAGTCATTCCCGCCACTGGATAAGCTGACTATCTTTGACCTACTCGACAACATCCAGCTCTCGCAGCGCTTGGAGAAATGGCAGCAGACCATCGCTATGCAAAAAGAAAAGGTGCGCAAGCAGCGCGAGAAGCTCAAGTCGTCCTCCCTGAACGCCAAGGATCGTGTCATGGGTGAATGGAAGCGCCGGGCACCGACTGCCGATGAGAAGCTGGAAAAATACCGGTCTAGAATGAAGCAGGGTGTAGAACGCCTGGGCAAGCAGTGGAGTCAGACGGCGACTGTCACCCTTCGGGAGAAGATGTCTTTTATTGCTGGTGTGCTCAATATCTTCATCAGTGGCTACCTGATCGGTGCTTGCCCGGAGTACTTTTACATCTGGTTTAGCGCCCAGCTGGCATATTTCATGCCCATCCGCTACTTCACGTACCACGCCAAGGGCTACCACTACTTCTTGGCTGATCTCTGCTACTTTGTCAATTTGCTCTGCATGCTGAGCATTTGGGTCTTCCCTAACTCGAAACGGCTTTTTATTAGCACCTTCTGCTTGACCTTCGGAAACAATGCGGCTGCAATCGCCATGTGGCGCAACTCTATGGTCTTCCACAGTATGGACAAGGTTACAAGGTACGTGAGATATCGAAAGGAACCAAGTTCGTTTGCTCATATTGTCTCTGCAGTCTCTTCATCCATATTATGCCACCCGTGACTTTGCACTGCATCGTACACCTGACTCCGGTTGAGAAACTCAAGGATCGCTTCCCTGCTGTCTACAGCATCAAGTTCAGTCAGCCCGGGGACCCAGAGCATTATGGTCTTGGCGCCATGATACTCTGGTCCACGGCTCCTTATTTGGTGTGGCAGCTCATGTACCACTTCTTGATCACCGTGCGCCGCCGCGAGAAGATCGCAGCGGGTCGCCCGACCAGCTTCACCTGGCTGCGCAAGTCATACTCCAAGGCGTGGATTGGGCGATTTGTGCTGAGTCTGCCAGAGGCACTGCAAGAGCCATGCTTCATGTTTATCCAGTACGCGTTTGCTCTGTCCACAATGATCCCCTGTCCGATCTGGTTTTGGTCCAAATGGGCCAGTGCTCTGTTCATGTCTGCGCTGTTTGTCTGGAGCATCCACAATGGAGCAACTTACTACATCGACGTCTTTGGAAAGCGCTTCGAAAAGGAGCTGGAACAGCTCAAGGCAGATGTTGCACGTTGGCAGAGCTCTCCCGAAGGAGCAACTAGTCCTTCCCTTATCGCTGAGCCCAGTCCTCTCAGTGACGCCATCAATGAACACAGCGAGGGGAAGCGATCCAGCATCGATCGAATCCCTTTGTTGGACACTGCGGAGGCTTCGTCTACTGATGTCATGGAGGGAAATCCGAACCAGGACTCCGTTCTTCGAGAGCGAATTTGAACCTTAGGGGAAATCCTCTCTTGTTCCCATCGTTTGTGCAGTCTTTATATACCCTAATTGTTGGTTTTCTGTTTTGCCAAGTTTCAAGAGCCTTCATGTTGAGCGAGTTTTCTGTTTAGTATGAATGTACAAAGTTGGTGTAGATATAAATAGTACGGAGTATATTTGCCACGAATCCCTAGAACCGGCTATCTGTTTAACCCCGAGCAAAACCCGAGGCGGTATCGGGCTGTCACGTGCAAGATGACTGCGGCAGTACATCACAACATCTCTCATCGGAACCGGTTCCAGGACATTCCAAACTTTTTGTGACCATTTACTACTGTGATTTTTTTTTGGTTCATCCCGTGGACATTAGGATTGATTATTTATTTCATTGTTGCACCTACACCCTCATTGCTCGTTGCTCCGAGCACTTAACTTTTTTTCGCCTAACATTTCCGCAAATGTCCGCCACGATGAGATCGACCGGATTGGTCCGCGGAACACCTGCTTTTCGGTCTGCGCTGATCAGTAAGTGTTGAAGACCCTCATGGAACTAGATACCAATTACGGTTACTGACATATTCCTCCTGGCAGACCGTAGTCGTTCCAGTGCACTAAGCCCGGCCTCCGTTGCAGCCCGAGGCCTTCTGCGAAATGGCCGCGACCTACCATCCCAAGTGTCGGCGCTTGCCATTCTGATCCCCCAGCGTGGATATGCGACCGAGCAATCCACATCGAACAACTCTTCTCAGAACTACCCTCCCCCGGGTTCAATGCCGAGCAAGCCAAGAAGCCGATCTCGCAAGACCAGAGCACGCAGTCACAATCTACGGCTGCGAAGACCCAGCCCGCCGAGACACAATCAACCGTTAGCAAGACCTCCGCTGGAGTTACAAAGACAACCCCGGAGGACCAGAAGTTGGCCGAAAAGAAGAGCGCGAAAAAGTTGACGCTTGGACAAAAGGTCAAGAAAGAGTTGCAGCACTACTGGGACGGCACAAAGTTGCTCGCCACCGAGGTCAAGATTAGTTCGAGACTGGCATTGAAGATGGCCGGTGGTTATGAGCTCAGTCGCCGAGAGCACCGTCAGGTATGCTTGCGCCGCCAGGAATATTTCGATATCTTGTCCTATTTAGCTAACTTGAGCATTGTTTATAGCTCCAACGTACCACAAAGGATCTCGGACGCCTGGTTCCATTTTCGATGTTCCTCATCGTTCCCTTTGCCGAACTCCTGCTCCCCGTCGCCCTAAAGCTCTTCCCCAACATGCTCCCCAGCACCTACGAGGGGCAGAAGGCCCGCGACACCAAGGCCCTGAACCTCAGCTCGACCCGCAAGGAAGTTTCTGGATTCTTGCGCAACACCCTACGGGAGACCGGTCTACCCTTGACTGCTACCACTGTCAAGAATGACGAATTCACAGACTTTTTCCGCAAAATCCGCACCACCGGTGAAACGCCCTCTACAGAGGATATCATCAAGGTTTGCAAGATCTTCAAGGATGACTTGACCCTCGACAACTTGTCCCGACCCCAGCTGGTCGGCATTTGCCGCTACATGAACCTCAACTCCTTTGGTACCGACGCCATGCTCCGATACACCATCCGACACCGCATGCGCCAGATCAAGCGTGATGACCGCGCGATCTTCTACGAGGGTGTTGATTCGCTCTCCGTTCCAGAACTACAGATGGCCAGCGCCTCGCGCGGAATCCGCACACACGGCGTCTCCCCCGCGCGCCTGCGCGAGGATCTCGGCATGTGGCTCGAGCTGCGTCTCAAGCAGGGTGTTCCCTCAACTCTGTTGGTTTTGAGCAATGCCTACCTGTACACGCAGGCAGGCAAGGAGTCTGAGATGGCCTCGCAAATCGATGCGCTCAAGTCTGTGCTCTCCAGCATTCCCGAGGAGTTGTTCCACGAGATCGAGCTCGAGGTCCACAATGCCGAGGGTGCTGCTACCAACAAGCAGCGTCTTGAGGTTATCAAGGAGCAGGAGGACCTGATCCAGGAGGAGAGCAAGCAGAACAGCGAGAATGAAGGCAAGGGTGTTTCCGCGCCCAAGGATATCGATGATATCGACGAGAAGGAGGAGGCCAGGATTGAGGCCGCTGCCGATGGCGCTAGACAGTCTGCTGAGGCTAATGAGGCCATGGCGGAAGGTGAGCGCGCCGAGAAGATCCCCGAGTCCAAGGACGCCAAGAAGAGCGAAAGCGTGTAGTTGATATGAATGTTGTATTCTGGCGATTTGTGTTTCGATATTACGCATGTTTTTTTTTTTTTTGGTTTGGGTTGCACTTGTCATATAGATGGTTGCTTTATTTTGTTGACTCTCACTCCCCCTTTCAGTTCTCATCCTGTCTTATTTATTGCTGTGTTGATAGACCATATCCCCGCCTCTCTACCTTATTTTATTGCTCCCTTCTCCATGTGATTTGGCTGTCTGGCTGTTATACTCTATTCCCCTTGGCTATTTCATATACTGGACTAGTACAGGACGATAGAGCAAGCACATAAAGTGCATTCTACACTAACAGATCCCTATAACACTTATTCTCCGTCGGTTATATCATTAGTCACCGAGATATTACCTCGGCTAGGCCAAACCCCATCCCCAGTATAGCTCCAACATAGTTACGAACTTTTGAAATGCGACAGCTCAAGCTTCAGACACTTCGATTTAGTCCCCGAAGTCAGCCCAGATTGTTCCACTTCAAGTCACAAATTTCCAAAATGGCGCCCCTAAATCCCACATCTCAGGTATGTGTAACTCGTTCTCTGCAGCTACCCGAAATGACCGCGTGTCCTGTGAATCTGCTGTGTCCATTTTGCCATGCATACTATCCCTACCGTTTTGACCCCCTTTCCCCCCCTTTTAGCCAGTCTTAAATTGCCATCTTTTTGAGGGCGATCATACCTGTATATTTGGCCATTTGAGTTTCGGCTTTGAGTCTCACATCTTTGGACTTGAAACCTTTCGGGGAACATTCTTTTCTTTGATTCTAAAACAGAATCTTCAGGTGTTCTAAGACATATTCCCCGTGGTTGTCCATCCCGGTGTTGAAACCCCCAAGGGATACTATACTTATGATGTATCCATAGGAGGCAATCAGCAGGCTCCGAAACTATGTTCCCCCGCCAACAACGTACGACATGATCCCGCTCAGCAGAAGGGCGGCTGTGCTAATACTGCTGTTCGCCGATGCCAAGGGTGACCTTAAGGTCGTCGTTACGATCCGGGCCAAGACACTCAGTTCGTGTGAGTCTAGAATAAATACGTGGATCAGCCCTGTTTTCAGGATGACATTGGTTGTTCGGGACTGAGCTAATCTTATTCGGGTGTAGATGCAGGAGATGCTGCGTTGCCTGGAGGTAAGACAGTATCCTTCAAAGAAAAAAAGAAAAGAGTCAAATTGGACGCCTTAACGAAAATCAGAAAGAAAAAAAAACATAAAAGAAATATAAACTGATTCTTTTAGGCCGAGCAGACAATATGGAGACAGCCTTCCAAACGGCACGCCGCGAGGCAAGCGAGGAGATCGGCCTCCCCGACATTAACCAAAGGCTTCCACCCCCATTCAGCGTAGAGCATCTCTGCGAGCTCCCGGCAAATCTTGCCAGAACGGAGGTGGTCGTGCGTCCCTGCGTTGCTCTCCTCCACGGCTATGATCCCGGCTTGGGGCTGAATGCCGATCCTGAAGTGTCACTTATTCCTATTTTGGATGCGAGAGAGGTTGCGGCTGTTTTTACTGCGCCTTTTAAGGATTTCTTGAGTAAGAATGTACATGAGGAGTGGTATCGTGGATCTTGGGGGACATGGCATAATTCACAATGGAGGAGTAGGTTTTTCTTCTTTTTTTCTCTTCTAGATGTCCGATATGTTTATTTCACTCTCTTTGTTCCAAAAGGGGAAATAGGGGGCCAATCCCGAAAAGGAGAAAAGAGGAATCATGTACGATGTACTAACGACGCCACTAGTGCACCAGTTCTTTGTCCGTGAAGATCAAGGCTATCGCATCTTTGGCATGACAGCAAGAATTCTTGTTGATGCAGCTCGTGTCGCATACGCGCAGGAACCGGAATTCGAGCATAACAGTCACTTTGGAGACGAGGAGATGATTGCCAAACTGTGTCAATCAGGTCAATTGAGTGAAAAGGCCAAGCTTACATAGAGGACTGTGCGGGAAAACGGATCTAATATAAGTTATAGATCTTTAGTCCAATCAGATCATCTTTTAAGCGGAGCAAGGGCGATCCAACATGTCCTTGCGTCGATGGTTCGTTTGACGATGTATATATGATATTACCGTATATTATAACTGTTCTCTCCTTACTCCATACTGTTCTATACATATATTCTATCTTCTTTGTCCCTAGACCTTCACATTATTTTTCTGTGGCGGTTTCCATTCTTTGTCTTTTTATATTGTTCAAATCTCTCGAATCCCGTGGCTCGAAATGCCCTACCACAGTCGAATGGCACCCCCCGTCCGACCATCTCGTTCACTTGAGGGACTTGAGCGAGTAATCCCACCACTCTCACCTCAAACCTTCTCTACTCGGTCCGATCTCAATAAACCTCTTCCCGCAAAACCACCTCCCGAACAGCCAGAATGTTCGGTTATGTGGAGTGACTCTAGCGACAGTGAAAGTATACTCGATAGCCCTGGATCAAGTGAACCCCGCAGCTCAGCAGATAGTTATCCCATCTTCGTCAGTTCTGGCTCCGACTTTGACGATATAGTCGATCACCCAGCTCCATCCGATCAACTGGAATTATCCACACAGAAACGAACAGACTCTATCGATATCAACATACCAATTGTCGAGCCCTCATCAGTTTCGTCTTCATTTTCTGACACACCGTACGGGCGTCCATCGAATTGGATTCCATCTCGCACAGGCGCAAATCACTATTTCCGCGAGAAGAAGTGGGATTATTTCCCTGAATTGGCGCCTTCTGCTCTACAGGCTAGTGGGCGCATCAGCCCAAATATGGTTGCACACAAAGCCCGCAAAATGGGCAACCCACTCGAGTTTGCCAAGGGCAAGTGCCGCTGGCATTCCCTCGATCGCGGTGGTCTCGGCGGAGTTCGCAACTCAATCAAGACTTACGTCCACCGCACTCTCTCGCGCGACTCGACAGAAAATAAATCGAAGGAAATTCCCCGCCCGGCGACAGCGCCCATGGACCACCTCAATGATGTAGGAGGTACACTCGCCAGTACAGCCCCCGCACCACAGCAATATTCCTTGGCCTTGAACACAAACGTCGCCGAGCGAGCTTCATCCGTGGCTACATCCTCGGGCAGTGAGTATGACTATACCAACCACCAGTTCCATCTTCAAACACCCATCTCACCAACATCGCCTACTTCGATCTCAACCCCCACAACACCCCGTCCGAAACAACTGGCAGTTCCGCTATCTGCGTACCAGAAACACGGCCCTATGATCTGGGAATCACCCAAGAAATCTAAGCGGAACGTTCAGTTCCCGAGATATAAGTCTCCGGGCTCTGCAGAGTCATCTTCATCTTCAGCTCCCGACTTATCTTATGCAAATGCTATCCCTTTGTCCTCGCCGCGAAAGCAGTCCCAGCACAATACCCGAGGGGTGTTTCTAGGTGCGAAGAAAAAGATTGCAGACTCAAAGAACGATCGCAGAAGGGAGCAGTTGAAGGCTCAGATCAAGTTTGTTGGGCCTGTCAACCCGCATACTTACACGCAGGCCGATCCATGGGTTTGAGGCTTCGCTTTTCCCTTGCTGAAACTTGGCGCTTCTTTTCTTTTTGTTTTTTCAGCACACATCTCACGACCTCTCACGACCAACATATACCTATATCCTATATCTATACCCTCTTCTTTACAATTTTGGTTTGGCTTGGACTGTGTCATTCTGTCTTTGTTCGTCTATCTTCAATGGCTCTCCACTCTCTAACCGGTTTCCCTTCTACTCGGGTATTCATCCCACTAAGCTCTCCTTACATACCACTTTGTTCTATTTCTTTACATATCCTCCTTGACCTGTTGGTTTTGTACTTTCAATATTATAGACTTCTGGCATTTTCCTTTCCCTATCTTTCTGGTTTGACATGGGTTGAGCCGCTGACTTTTTAATCTGATCCTAATTGGATTCAATGCCAATACCTTTCATATACATCAGACTTCGGTACTCAATCTGCATTAAACTCAAGTTACAATTAAACTTATCTGCACACCTATATCATACCACTTATACGTATGGTTTCTTACATGTATGCATGTATACACGCACAGATGCAGACGCAGACGCAATCCAAAATGACCAACGTGGATCCGGCAATCATTCCGGTCTTATTTGATACACGCCCGCCTTTCAGATGTTAAGTCCACTCCGGTTCGCCCACATCTATTAGACTTGTATGTTCCCATTGGTTATTGTAAAGGGTCTTTATATTTCAGACCTGTCTACCAAGTAACAAACTAAATTGTAAGTGGGTAAACGTGGCATATTTGCTTCCAGTACGATGAAAAATATTTTCCCAAGTGTAACCACATTCTCGTGTCAATAGCTCTACAACTAGCGGTGTCCAACTATGAGTTGTTTGTTGTCTCTAAAAGTACTGTACAGGACAAAAGTCGGGTTCTGGAGTCTCCCTTGGCTTTAGGCTACTCATTTGGGTCATTGTCACCGACACGGTGCTGTGCCTCGCTCCATGTGGACACGGTACCTGTGGGTATTCCGATACACTAAGTGTGTTCTGCATCACTGAGCTGCTGATGGGTCATAATTCTACGAAGATCTAGATCTTCGAGATATGTTTGCTTCATGTGGCTTATAGTATTGAAGATTAATATTGTGTACGCATAGGTGGCTTGAACATTGTTGTGACTTGGACAAATCTACGAATTGCCTATGTACATTTACCTTTATGGGACTAGCCACACCATAGGGTGTGGAAAATAGGGCTTCCAGTCGTATTCCTGGAATATTGATTTTTTTCCACTTGTGCGACTGTGTTCTCTACGTAGGCGCTAGAAGTCCTTCAATCAGTAAAGCAGCTTTCGGGTTCGGTTTCTTACAGTCTTCCGCCTATTCTGAGATGATGTGTTGCGTATTTATTAATTCTACATCATGAGTATTTAGATCTCGTTTCCCACCTGAGAATGGTCAGAAAATTGACACAACTGTCTCTTTATTGGCGACCTACAGAGAAAGAACTCCATCTTAGTCTTCAAGTGATAGCTGACCGCCGGGTCCGAACCGCTGACAGATAGAAACATAATATGACGGTCTTTTTCTGTTTTCATCTAAAATGTATCGTTTTTCGAAATGGAGATGCTTAGCCAATGTGCTGATAGCAACGGATCACAAAAAAACCTAACATAGCCTCTACAATAGCGAGAGATACACGAGGAGAAGTGACCTCGTACGAAGTTTATTAATACATAACATATCGTGTCCAATGGCTTGTTTAGCTGAACAACCAATAGATAAAAGGATATCATTGAAGGGCCTGCCATATCAATATAGCCATGCCTATAGCCAATGGATTAGTGAGCGAGAGACCGGCAGGCGCAGAATTCTTGCTGCTCGGAGTTGAGCCCGCAGCAGCGCTAGTGGTTGAGCCCGGAGTAGTGCCTGCAGTTCCAGTGCCACTCGAGCGTTCCGTAGTAGATGATGAATGGGAGGATGATGGTGATGGCTTGGGACACAAGTTGTTATACACAAACTGCTCAGGAGCGCCACTACAAGCGGTCGCAGACTCAGCGTTGAATGTGCCGTTTGCATACATCCAGCAACTCCCCGAGGCATACGGCGAGTTACTTGGATTTTTCGGATTAAAGACGACATAGCTGCAGGAATCGGCCTTTGCACATTGACTCAAGCAGTTCGATACATCCGTACTAGCAGTACAATCGCTAAAGCAGTCATCAGGCGTCGGGTACTCGCAGACCGAGGCAATAGCAGAGGGAGTCGCGGTGGCGGCGCAGGCCCCAGCAGTGGTGGTTGCGCTCCCGCCAGTACACTCGGGCTGGCTGTAGGCGGACAGGTAGGGATTGGCGCAATCTGAACTGCCTTTGCTCGCATCAAAGGTTTTACCTGGGTACAGCCAGCACGTACCGACACCCGTGTGAGGGTTGCCGGCAGCGAAGATAACAAAGTTGCAGGGGGGATGGGCGTTACAGTAGTCCCAGCAGGAGGCCCTGCTGTCGGTGGCGACAGCAAATTCTGGGCCAGGTTCCGGGTAGCTGCAGAGACTGGCGATGAGGGAAGATGTACAGCTTGATGCTGCGGCGGTAGAGGTGAGCGTAGCAGATGTCGCTATGGATTCAGTAAGGACTGCTAGAGCCCGTGGAACTAGGGCGACAGAGACCCAGAAAGGAGCGATCTTCATGGTAGCGAACGTATGTAAGGAAATAAAGTCCAAAAGTGGGAGAAGTATTAATTTAAACAGGAGCCACTAGTACCCTATTTAGTATAACGTACAACAGAAAGGGGTAACAACCCCAGTCAAAACTAGCCGCAAGTAGAGGTTGTTAGCGTGTTCCAAGGTTTTCTGGCCAAGACGCGATTATTAATTACTTTACCATCTTAGGAACTTGTACGCTCCAATTCAAAAATTATATATTTTGTACAAAGATACTGTCAGGGCTATCTCGTTCTTCAACCTGAATTTCATATATCCAGATTAAACAGGTGAAGAGCGAGCTGGTTCTGGACCGTATAGGCGGGGCCAGGTTTTCATGTGAAGTTGGACCGGTGGCTCGACCGCCCTCATAGGAAGATTCCAATCAGCGGATGGCAGGAGTTCGAACGCATGGCCCTATTCAAGAGAACGGAGATATGACTGAAGAAACGACCATTCACATAAGAGGAACTCTATAAGAACGTGAACCTGAAGCTCAACCCAGAAAGCTATCTCAGCAGAAAACGTCTGAAGTAATACAGTCCGCTAAATCATCACAGAATTAGTACATCCTTTGGTAGACGTTTGACCATGCTTGTATTCTGGGTGCCATTATCCCTCAAATTCTGCCACAAAACATGTCGCTTGCAGCGTGTGCGCTTTTCGATCAATCTTTCGTTGATGTCTAGGGCCCGATGCTAATGTATCTCCTCAAGCTTTCCCCAATTGCACTCCGCTCATGGTCGTACTGACATACAGCTTGGAAACCTCGAGCCTCGACCATCCAATCCATCATCAGCGGGCGATTTGTGTTACCATCTGGGCCCATTTGAAAGACACGGTTCAATTATAGCAGTGTCATTGACATCTTCATGGGTGCAGTCTGTGAGTTCATTTATGCCTCTTCTGTGGACCGGAGATGTCCTAGAAAGAACGAAATGAAGAAGCCGAGGCTCTACATTTGGTGTGATTGCGAGCTCGGAAATTGGGCATCAATTCCGGAAACAGGGTGGGATAAATGATGGGCACACAAGATAGAGACTAATCAGATCAATATTGGCTATAAAATAAGTAGATATATTGTATGTTGTCTACGGGCATGTTGTACATGTAGTTGACGATATCAAATGCCAAGAAAGATAAGCCCCGCGATTCACCGGAGATTCGCTTCGGGTGGTACGGACTCGGTCATTGCTCCGACTTCAATTCTTCTTCCCTTGTCTTTACCTTGATCATCGTCTTTACTGTATACCTGTTCCTCACTCTCTCGGTACCATGTCACAAGAATCCTCGCAAGTCGCGCCCCGCTACCTGACCGGCGATAGGGCCGGCCTCCGGGAGTTCCTGGACAAATTTGATGTTAGTACACGTGTTTGATTGCATTGATGTACCAGAGGGAACAAATTTACTAATTGGACCATGTACAGGTCTTCCTTTTCGACTGCGATGGTCTGTCCCCGTGCTCTGGCTCGACTGTCCCCCGCAGAGGTCCCCCGCAGCGACCCAGCCGCGTCGCAACAACCGCTGAGGCAATGATAATCTAGGCGTTTTATGGTCTGGTGACCACCTCTTCCCCGGAACAGTAGAGACACTCGAGCTTCTCCGAAATAATGGTGCGCATTGAATATTCAAGTCGGCAAAAAGCGGAGGTTGATAATACCCAGGAAAGCAAGTGGTTTTCGTGACGAATAACAGCACCAAGTCGCGCGCAGACTACCGCAAGAAACTTGAAGGCTTGGGAATTCCCAGTACAGTGGTCAGTGACACCAGTGATTACCATGTTTAATTACGCAGTGCCCAGTGACTCACACCCAAATAGGAAGAGATCTTCTCCTCCTCATACAGCTCCTCTATATACATTTCTCGCATCCTCCAGCTCCCCGAAAACAAGCGCAAAGTCTATGTGATTGGCGAGACAGGCATCGAGCAAGAGCTCCGCTCCGAAAACGTCCCATTCATTGGCGGCACAGACCCTGCATACCGCCGCGACGTCACACCCGAGGATTACAAGAAGATTGCGGCGGGCGATGAATCTATTTTAGACCCTGAAGTTGGTGTCGTACTTGTCGGTCTCGACTTCCATATGAACTACCTCAAGATCGCATTGGCATACCACTACATCAAGCGTGGAGCGGTCTTCCTCGCCACCAACATCGACTCCACCCTGCCGAACTCGGGGACTCTATTCCCTGGCGCTGGCTCTATGAGCGCACCCCTGATAATGATGCTGAATCAGGAGCCCATCGCGCTTGGCAAACCCAGTCAGGCGATGATGGATTCCATTGAAGGCAAGTTCAAATTTGATCGTAGCCGGGCATGTATGGTTGGTGATCGTGCGAATACGGATATTCGCTTTGGGCTTGAAGGAAAACTTGGTGGTACGCTTGGTGTCTTGACAGGTGTCGCTTCTAAGGAAGACTTTGTTTCCGGTGATGTTAGGCCTCATGCGTACTTGGATAAACTTTCTGATCTGCTTGGCTCTGAGTAGAGCGAATGTGAATTAGATATAATAGATGTTGGCTTTAGAAAGGTATACAAATCAATCTATATCTTACCTTTTCTGGAAGATCCATGGATTGTTACATGGTTCAATTCTATACATTTTTTCTGATTGGTCCAGGTCCACGAAATTTACATGTCATATCAATTTAGGGAAGGTGCAAGGGAAGTGTCCTCATTCGGAAGGCACGTGGGAGTATTAGCCCCCCCTCGCCCTCGACTTTCTCTTTCTTCTCTTCTCTCTTCCTCGCCTTTACAGCCTCATCGCCTCGGGCATCCAACACATCTACTTGTGTCTCAGTATCCTGTACTGGATACCATCTAAACGTAGGGCAAGCCGATGGATGATTTTGTTCCGATGACTATGGATAATTCGCTCGACAAGATACGGCTTGTCCTGCGTCAGGCTATATTTGGGAAAAGAAGCAATGCAAGCCGAGATAGTTTTCCTTGGATGATATCGAGCCCTACTGGTGAGTGTCCCTATGAACCGTTGGGTTCTTTTCTTTCATTCTACACAATAGATCGTGTTCCATAGGGACTTGACAATTGAGTAAAATGGGACTATGTTCGTCATTATACAAAAGTCAAAGCGGCTGGCAGGGAAAGGACCGCGAAGGCCCTCTGATTAGGAAAGACCAGTCCCAGTTTGAATCCGGGCCTATTCGAGAAGAAATTCTCGGCTTATATGGTCAGAGAAACTCCGCATTCTCGAGTCTCGGAAGGTGCTGGAGACAAATTTAGCAGGAAAGAGGCTCCAGAAGATATGGAGTCGTCCACAGAGAAACTTCCAAGGAATTACGGGCTTTCACGTTCTGTTTGGCAGTGTTTTGCGAAAATGTATCAACGCTCTCTGAATTCCAACCGAACAGAATTTCCAAACTCGGCTACAAACCACGAAATCTCCAATTCTGGTATCTCGATTTTCATATCATGGCTACTCTTCGCACTACTCTTTTTTCTTTCTTTTTTTCCTTTGCTTTTTGACTAACTCTGCAACCATTGAGGAAGGTCGTCTAGCCAACTGGTGGGGTCTAGTCAACTGGTGGAGTCCGGCCAACTGGTACGATCTTCAATCTTCGGTCCTGTACCGAATAGCCGTTATAAACACTTTGCATGCTTCTATGGTTGAATGTCGCAGTGAAACCTTGAAAATATGGATATACGGCCAGGCTTATCCCGACCAAGAATCTTCACCTTTGTCATTACAATTGCGGTTACAAGTACGATCGCGGGTTCACTATTGAGGGCCCTGTTGATGCTTTAAAATGTTAGAGCATGGTTTACCTACATCCTTACAAAGTCCCTTTCATTGTATAGAAGCCATGTACAAAATCTACAGTTTATAAAACTAGATATTCTATTGAGTATGAGGTTGTATCGTGTGTTGCGTTTGAAAAGGTTGCACTTGGTTGCTTTGTAAAGGGAATTTATCTAATATTTATTTACAAGACATCCAGGACCCAGCTTCTTCGGTATCGTATGGACCTATCGAAGCACCTTCAAGGTCAAAGTCGTTCAATTCCAACCAAATATTGAAATTCGACCCAGCCACATATTCGAGGGACTCGGGAGTCAGAGCCAAACTCTCATCCACGGTGTTCTTGTCCAATATGCTCTCCCCAATCTGATGACACATAGGCGAAGAGTACTCCATGTTTTCTTTCTTTTTTGTATCATCTGATTGCTTTTCAGAGGCGCAATCATCAGTTGCCGGATGGGCGATGGGGACGGATGACCCAGAGTGTGCTGAAAGCGAATTGTGCATGATGATGACTTCAGTCAAGATGTCAACAGCCTGAAGCAACTTTTCAGAGCATCTCTGGTGGAAATGTTCCGCATTGAGTCCATCAATGTCGCGATGGGGCCTCCAACTTTCTTTGGTAGCACGTTGCTCGAGCTGTTCTAGAACGTTTGGCGGTAACATATCCATCCAACGCCCAACTTCATTGTTCATATTGTGTGATAAGACATCATCAGGACGTTGTCTTTTTGAATTGGTATGTGGAGAATCCAAGCTTCGAGGCTCGGTTTTCCTTTTCCGTGATGATACGCCGGTGCTATTTGACTGGACATTGCACTTAGGGTCTGGTATTGTGGAATGTTGTGACACAGGTGGCGACAGTGGTGTTTCATCTGTCCTAGCTTCACTAGACGTATATTTGCTTGGGGCTGACTTTTTCCTCCTTCGTGGTGGAGCAACACATTCCTTCATATCAAGTTTGCAATTGGTACACGATGTGCCTTGATTTAGTGCGTCGCAACGCACTTTTCGTTTGTGGCAAGCAAAACAAGCCCATTTGGCTCGCCTCGGCCGGAATTCCTTTTTGTTTTGTTGGCATTGTATTGCTTCGTTCCCACTGGTGGGATCCTGTGTAGGTTGAAAATGGTATTCGGTATCCATGATGTGTTTTGATATTTGTCACTGATCTTCCCTGCAAGTCTTCAAAGCACCTGGCTTTTTATGCATTATTTATCTACAGCCTCTATGGGATTCGCGTTATTAGCGGGGGCGTAAACCTGTCCTTCTTCGGTACTCGGTTGCCGACTACCGGGATTGATTTTCGTTCCCTTGAATTCGCCGAGGACGCCGAGGTATCATCATCGATGTGATGAACACTTTATCTTCTTACTATCAATGTTATTGATTGCAGCGCGTCATTATTAGGTGTTGATTGAACCTGAAAGGATATGAGTCTATTAACGCAACGTAAAACAAGTTCAGCTTCGCACAAATTTGTAACATGGACATAGAACCAGTAGTCGTCTACAACTAGGAAAAAACTTGCCAGGTGACAGTTAGTGTAAAGACAACCAAGTGTGTACAACTACCCTTTTAATGACACACTCGGCCCGTGAAGGACATCTCGGCATATTCGGCTATGGTAAACGCCTTCATATTATTCGTAGGTCCAATTAGGCATTTAGGAATTGGAGATCAGTAATATATCTTACCCGAGGCAAGTGGGATCCCCCGCACTCAATCAGGGCCCAGGAACTCCAGGTAGAGCTATATCCTTATACGTAAGGGATATATAATGGTCAAAACCAAAGCCCTAAAAACGAAACCATCTTTGATATACTAGCTTATTAACAAATAGGAAGCGCCCTCAAATACCGAGGCATTCAATTGGGTCATTCTGCTATTCGTTAAAGTAAAAGTCACTATTCATTCACCTTTTAGGGCTTAATTATCGCTTCCTCGCTTCCTAAAATTCGAGCCTTCGGTTGACCGGACAAGAAACTCCTGATAGAATGACTTACTGCATAGGGATGTCACCATCCCCATCGGGAAGAGCTCTAGCTAGGGCAGTAACAAGTATCCCCTATATCGATAGGTTAGTGGTGAGACAAAAGGTTCTTCCAGAATCAATATTCACGATGTCGATTTGTTCAAGAAGGCTCACTGGGTCAATATTGCGGTCCTTCGGGATATTGTGTCAGCCATGAGCCTAAGAATTTCAGCTGGGAGGTGATTTGTACGCGGCAAATTGTCTCGATGGCAGATCTCCAAAGGGCAAGTAATGGACAACTCCGCTGAAGGTGCCTGGTGTTGTGGCAGAGATAACAAGTCAAGATAATGCTGCTCTATAACAACACCTCATTTGTCAGTCATTTGCCAAAAGGGATTCATTCACAGACTGACATATACAATATGACAGTAGTACATTGAATAACAAGATGAGAAGGTAGAAGGGCATCAAATGCAGTGTAAATATTATCAAGTATACTCCCCAAGCCAATTCTGGCGGCAATACAGTGGGTGCGACAGTACACAGCGGTGGAAAGCATGTATTCCTGTAGAGTATGGCTTACTTGGTGTTCACTTTGGGGCTGGTATTGTTGGGTTCGGGGGTAGTGTTGTCGATCAGCATGACCAGCTCCTCGGTTAGCTCTACCAGCACGGCGAGGATCCCGACTAGGCCCGTAGCGTTGTCTGGCAGGGTATGTAGAATCCATATCAAGATGAGCAAAATATGAGTCCTGAGGTTGAATCAGCAGAATATGTAGAGTTAATGAAGACCTTGAGATTTCAGGCTTTTGTCAGGAGAGAGTTGGTAGGAAGTGAGAATCCAAAGGCAAACATTTAAAGAGTATCTGAGTCATGGTTGATTTACAACGTTGAAAGATTCAATAAGGATTGTAACGTAGAGAGAGAGATGAGATCCTCTCTGCTATGGTTCTCCATTATCTAGCCTTTTGTTTAATATTGCCTGTATTTATCTCTTGCTTTATTGCCAAATGAAAGAAAGGCCACAAGGCCATAATCGCTGTCTATAATTTAGAGGAAATTACTTCACGCCATTATCGGAGTCTGCGTTGTTATTGGCGTCAGCTCAAGCCCAATATCCCAAGTCTGCATTCAAAATCACTGCATCACAACTTGGCTGCCTGCTATTCGAACAGCCAAACTCTAGAACGCGGTAATATATAATCGCTTGCTATGTGTGTACACAAATCACTCGTCGGAGCAAAAGCAACGTGGAAGGGTATCATGATCATTCCATTCGAACAAGATCTAAGTGCTAGAAAAATCCGAATATAACGCCTCAACCGTATAGGCCGTCGTTGTCCCAAACGCCATATTTCTTTTCAATCAAGTATTCGGGGAGTCTCGCTGTTGACCATGAGGGTGTAAGCTTGAACCGAGATTTGATAAAAGGGAAATGCCTCTTAATTTCCACGCAGGACTCCGGCAATGCGTAATGCCAGGTCCAACATGGAGAGATGCTCGTCGGACCCGTCAACCAGCCGCTTGTCCATCTCCGAGAAAAGCATGACAATCTTATTTTTCTGGATATCGGGGATTGCCTCGTTGAACACTACACGTCGGTATAACTAGAGAAGGTCAGCGAAACGCTCTGATAAAACAAAGAGAAGAAGGACAAACCTGTCCAACAAGCTGTGTAGCACTCCAGCCATCAGCCACAAGATCCGTGATCACTCCCGAGACAGCCTCGTAGACTGACCCACCACTCTTGGGCTGCATAGCTTCCACAAGAGAATCCAAAATGTCATCCGGCAGCACACCAGCAATTTCCTCAATGCTGCGAACCGTAATAACACTGGAATTGCTATCAGCATCCGTCATCTCAGCATCATCATCAGCATCCTTTACAGCAGGCGGCTTCGTGGCACCGACCAAGCGCGCCGCACTTTGCAGATACGTGATAGCACGACGCAAATCACCATCTCCACACCGGATAAGCGTATCTACAACCCCATCCTCAAGCCGCAAACCCTCCTGCTCCGCAATATTCGAGATCCGCTCACCAGCGGCGCTATTATCCAGCATCTTGAAGCGGAACTTGCTGCATCGACTAGCAAGAGGCTCGATGATGCGCGTGACATAGTTGCAAACAAGACAGAACCGCGTGATCCGACTGTATGTCTCCATTGTGCGGCGCAGAGCAGACTGTGCGTCTTGCGTCATGCTGTCTGCCTCGTCGAGGATGATGATCTTGAATGGTGGGCATGGGTACTGTGCGCGATAGGCGGCGTCCAGGCCTGTTGGTTGGGAGAGCTGGGCTCGGGCGAAATTCTTCACTTTGTCACGGACGATGCCGATACCGCGCTCGTCGGAGGCGTTCAGTTCTAGGATTCGGGAGCGGTAAAGGGCGGGCCCGAAGAGGGATTTGGCGAGGGCGAGGATTGTGGATGTTTTTCCTGTGCCGGGGGGTCCGTAGAAGAGCATGTGGGGAAGCTGGTTGGGGTTAAGTTACTGTCTCAAACTGTTCGGAGCTGGGTGGGTTACGTTTGAAGCTTGCAGAGTGCGCCGCAAGACTTTGGTCGTGTGGTCTTGCGCAGCGACATCATCCAGGGTCTTGGGGCGACTAATCAATATTAGTCAAATGCCGGGTGAGCTTGAGGCATAGCATTGACTTACTATTTCTCAACCCACGGCTGGAGTCGAGTCGAATCTTCCTTGTTGTCGCCAGCCTTGAGCTTAGAGCTGCTGGATGCTGCAGCGGCAGCGGCACGAGCTTTATTATTGAAAAAAGAGGCAGCCATTGTTGTTGAATAGCCCGAAATCAGGAAAGTTAGGGTTATCTCGAGAGCTGGTCCGCGATGTGTTGAAGACCTCTCTGACGCCCTCCACAATTAAGACGCGTCTCCACGTGACACGCGCAGCACTTAAACACACTGACCAATGAGAGCAGCTTTACTACATAGGTATACCTCAACCTCATCACCATCGTCAATGCTGGTATTATAGAGTAAAAAGAGCAGTATTGCAGGGTTCATGATTGCATGGTATTTCATTAATGCATGGGTCAATATCTATAGCTCATCTCGCAACGGTTCCTCCATCCCAGCCTCGAACATCCTCTTTTTTGTGTTCCGGGGAAGCTCTGCTTGTCTTGCCCTCTCCTCCGGGGTGACATCGTCAATATCTATGCTTTTTTGTTTCTCTTGCTCAACCATGTCACCAATTTTGTCAATTACACGATTGCTTTCGATCGGTGCTGACGGCTCTTGCTCCCAGGCAGCGCTACTGGCTGTCACGGTTCCTGATGCAGCCGCCGTAGCCATTTGATGAATAGCGGTAGAGACATCCCCTGAGAGGGACTGAGAAGCAGATTGCACAACTGTAGTGGACAGTCCGGCTGCACCTAGTGTCGCAAACGCAACCCGCGCGGTGAGCTTCAAAGGCAGCCATACAAGCCACCAAAGAGGCCCATAGAAGACACGTCGGAATAGAAGCCAGCCAATTGTCCCAAGAAGAATATAGAAAGCAGTCTCAAGGTACCATGTATCAGACTTTTGGGAGCGGAGAAGAGAGTTAGCGAGGCTGCGGGATGAAGAGAGAAGTGTATCAAGGCCGCTATAGGACTCGGACAGCGATGAAATCGCGGCTGTGGATTGTTCTAATCAAGAAATATTAGCGTGTGGCAGGATCGGGGAAAAGAAAGAGGTGCTCACCAAGAGTCGATTGGGCAAACTGACTGCGGGAGAGCTCCGCCTGCATAAGCTGATGGGTTCTGCGCAGCGCAGATGTCACGTCGTTCGAGGCGTTCAAAACAAGATCATCCTGAGTGAACTTCTCTGTCGGCTGCTTCTTCTCGGAAGAGTGCGATCTTGACAGCAGCAATTCTCTCTCCTTCCGCTTGGCGAGTTCAGCATTCCGCTTCGCTTGTAATTGGGCAGTTCGGAAATCTCCTCGTGTTCTGGAGAGTTGATTAGGATATGCTTAAGATTTAAAGACTAGCCAGTGGACCACGACAAGGGTACTCCCCGGCGTGTGCAAGTCGTCCAAGGATATCTTACCTTTTGAGATCCTCGGCTAATCGCCCTGCCATAGAAATAACCCGCTCCCTCTCAGCCTCCTTTGGTCCATGGGCAGCAGGTGCCTTACGCCTGTTATCTGAGCCAGTTTCCAGCGCTTCGATCTCCACACGCAGCAGCTCTAACTCCTGCTCAGCTTCCTTTAGCCGGGAATGTATCTCACTCCCAAGCTCTAGACGGGCTTCATCGCCCTGTCCAATAGATGAAGTGAAATCGCGCAGTCGATCCACGAGGGGCTGGATTTGTCCTAGGGAAGCCGAGAGCTCTTTCACGCGGCCCTGTAGAGCTGTCGTGGGGGACATCTTGCGATAAGAGTATTTCTTGTTCGAATGTGACGCATTCAAGTATTATCTGTTCGAGGAGTTGAATAGATGTTTCTGAAAATACACACTGGCAGGGAATAACCTGAGAGATTTGAAGAAATGAATTGTTTCATAAGTGTCGAGTTGTTCAACTCAAAGTTGCCATGATGACGGGCGTCATTCGGCATGGTGTTTGCATCCAAGTCAAACATGCCCCATTCCTCCAACCGCAATTCGCAACGGAGACTCGGGTGTGGTTAGAACTTCCAATTGACCTTGCGCCATTACCTATCAGACTTGTCGCAGACCGGCTGAGATCTACGCAAATTTCTCCTTGGCCCAATTTTCCACTGAGGGTCATCTGTCCAACCGCTGCGGAATCAACCCCAGAAAACACCACCTTTAAAAAACTTCCCGCCAGCCCTCATCCACTCAGGTACGCAACAACGGAACCAAAACGGAGCTACAGGATATCAGTCGCTCTTGAAAGATCGAAAAGCTGATCGATTTACCAGGCCGCTAAATCTCCCAACCCCGCTCACCACCCCAAACCGCAACAATGACCATCCCCATCGCCACGATAACCAGCTTCCGAACCGCCTACAACCCCTTCTCCCGCGCTGCCCGCCCATGCCGTCTCTTCCTGGGCATGCTGCGCACACCAGACACTATCCCAACAAGCAGCCCGACCCACATCGATATCAAGGTGAAGCAGTTGCCGCGCGACTCCACCGAGTCACCGACCATGACTGTCGGTTTTAAGGGCGGCAAGGAGCTTACGCTAGATGTTGGAAAGCGCGGGCTGAAGATTGGCGATGTTATCGAGGAGGTGTCCCGTGTTGGCAGAGCTCTGCAACGGGAGGCCAGCTTGAAGAACTAGTGGAAAGTTGTGTTGTTTGAGCTGTGCATTCATGTATTATATTACCTATCATTTGTTTCATCTGACGATTTTTGGCGCTGCTGGGCATAATGGAATACTTGAATTATTCTTACTTTGGTAGAGAATATAGGCTGTTCATGCTTCATACCTGATATCAGGCTTAGTGGAGTAGATTTTGGAGATCTTGCACAAGCTGTTGAAAATGATGATTGTTTCATTGTTATCCAGTTGTTCAGATTTGCATTTGTCCATCAGATACTACTCTTCTCTACGGGATGGTAAGGAGGAAGCATTGGGAGCAATTCATTCACAATTTAAAAACGAGTCCTTTCCTCGGGAAATCGATGAATGTAATTCCCACCAGGTAGACGATCATAGGCTTGAAAGTTTTGGTTAGTTTTATATTTCTTTGACAAAAAATATCATTTATACTGCGGCACCTGAGATGAAGAACCACTTGTCAATGCTGCCATCAATAGGAGCAGGGGGGAGGGTCTCGTTGCGGGGGATGGCAGCGAGCTGAGCTTGGTCAACACGGTCGGCAGAGTTGTCAACGGTGGTGTTGGCACTGGTGCTGGTTAGCTTCAATCCCCTCAAAAGCAAGGATATATGTGTATGGATAGAACTCACAGGCTGATCTCGCCACGGGGGGTCTTGCCGGAGACAAGCTTCTCCCAGGCATCGGAGCACTCGCGGATGACATCCTCGGCGTACTTCTTGTTCTTGCACTCGCCGGAGAAGGCGAACTGGTTCTCGGGCTTTCCGTCGGGGATCTTGTAGATGCGGAACCACTCGTTGGTGGCGCGCATGAGGCCGGGAAGCTGGCGCTCGACATCCTCGATGTCGTTGAGCTTAGGAGCGAGGGGATCGTTGACGTCGATGACAATGATCTTCCAGTCGGTCTCCTCCTCGTCAATCAGGGCCATGACACCGAGAACCTTGACCTGCTTGACCTGACCGGTGTAGCCGACAAGCTCACCAATCTCGCAAACGTCGAGAGGATCGTCGTCACCCTTGGCCTTGGTCTCGGGGTGGATGGAGTTGGGGTCTTCCCAGGTCTGGTTCATATGTCAATTTTTGTTACCCCTCTTCCTATCCACGGGTGTGGGGAGGTCGAAAACTTACGCGAGGGAAGGCACCGTAGTTCCACAGGTAACCCTTGTGAGGGAAGCAGTTGCGGACGAAACGGAGCTTGCCCTTCTTGGTGTCCTGCTTGATGGGGTTGAGGAACTCATCCTTGGAGATCTGTTGATGCAATCAGCATTTGGGCGAGGGTCAATGGAGTTGTTGTCGTACCTCCTGCTTGGCGTTGGTCCAGCGAGGGATCTCAACGACCATGTTCAGGATGGTCTGCTGCTCATTGGCATAGAGAGGAATATCGTGGAAGGGGGAGACGGGAACGCCATCCTTCTCAATGAACACACGGTGCTCAAGGGTGTATGGGGAACCGATCTTGCGGACGGAGTAAGTCATGTTGGGCGAAGTAGACGAAAAGTGTCTAGATACTTGGGCCACACGGGATAAGGAAGAAGAAAAGGGAGAAGAGAGAGGGGCAGTAGAAGTGGGGGGGGAATGTTGCTGATGTGCGCCAAACAGAGCGGGCGGTGGAGGTAGTTCCCAGTCGGGCCAAGGGAGGATAAGTCATTGGCTCTATTGGAAATGGGTTTTAATGTCTTTATTGTTTTTATTTAGTATTTCTGATACAGAACTTGAAATTGTACCTTTACTCACGGGTATAAGTTTGTGATGCGTGGTGGTGTTACCCCTTGACTGTGTCGGAAGTTTGTAAAAAAAAAATCTATAAAAAAAACATGGCAGTTCCGAAAGTCGGCATCTATGATCATCCCGAATCAGATTGATATTCTGACTAGATCAATTGTCGATATTCATATACAATTGAAGTCTCGTGCTCTTACTACAAAACAAGACATGCTACTAGTATACATGTAGGTACATGTACGCTATATCTTTTAGGTATCTGACAGAATGTATACTGCATGTACCTACCCGAGCCCATACGAGACACGCCGATATCGGCAGTATATGCCTGTAAATCCAATTGCGATGTTCACTTCAATTATCGAAATGATCTTGAAATTATCATGCCCTCGAACAAATTTGTCTACGTAGACAATCACATTTAGAGATGTCGTGATCCTTGGCAGGGAATAGAGTCCAGTCATTGGTTATGATATCGGAAAATGGATGACCCGCCCAAATAGCTTAGTCAAAGATACCATACTTAAATTACAGAAATACATGAAATTCAGTTACCAGATGGCCCTGAAAGTGAGTTATCGCCACTATCTTCACGTGACTTTCCACCGGGAGTCTCTCCGACCAGGGAAAAAAAAAAGGACTGATCTATACTCCTCTCCCCCGCACCTGGGAATGCTTAGAACTCTCCGCAAGACAATGGCAACCCTCGCAACCACAACTGCAACCGCTTCTGCGCCGGCCGTTGTGCCGCGCGTGCCTATCCCTACCAACGGCGTCGACTACCGCAACAAAATCGTACTCGCCCCAATGGTCCGATCAGGCGAACTACCCTCGCGCCTACTGGCACTGAAATATGGCGCCGACCTCGTATGGGGCCCCGAAACAGTCGACCGCTCAATGATTGGCGCTGAGCGACGCGTGAACCCGCGAAACGGCACAATCGAATTCACCCGTATGCCCAGCAACGGCGGACGCCCCAACAAACCAGTCAAAGAATCAATCATCTACCGCATCGACCCTGTGCGCGAAAAAGGCCGACTCATCTACCAAATTGGCACGGCCGACCCGGAACTAGCAGTACAATCGGCGCGCGTCGTGGCCGCCGACGTCTCAGGCATCGACCTCAACTCTGGCTGCCCAAAACCCTTCTCCACAAGCGGCGGGATGGGCGCTGCGCTCCTCCGCACCCCCGACCTCCTCGTCTCGATCCTGGAAGCCCTCGTCAAGGAAGTCGGCGAACCCTTCCAAATCGGTATCTCGGTCAAGATCCGCATCCTCTCCAACCCCGAAGAAACAGAGGCCCTCGTCTCCCGCCTCGTGAAAACAGGCATCACAGGCTTGACAGTGCACTGTCGCACCACTCCCATGCGGCCGCGCGAACGCGCAATCCGCGACCAGCTCCCCATGGTAGCGCGCATTTGCCACGAGGCCGGCGTGGCCTGCGTGATGAACGGCGATGTGAGATCGCGTGACCAGGGCCTCGAGCTGATGGCCGAGCATGGCGTTGACGGTGCGATGATCGCGACCTCCGCCGAGACCAATTCGTCTTGTTTCCGGGCTAAAGAGGATGGCGGCGTTGCGCCATGGCGGGATGTCGTCTATGATTACCTGCAGTTCTGTATCGAAGCTGAGAATCGTCTCGGTAATACCAAGTACCTGCTCAATATGCTGATCCCCGGCAAGAACAAGGACTTCAGGGATACGAAACTGTGCAAGACGTATCTTGATATCTGCCGCGGGCTGAAATTCGATGATTTGCTTCCCGCTGCTGCGCGTGTTGATCAGATACTCGGTCTGGATGACAAGTGGGAGACTGCCCCTGGTGTGACCGAAACACCCCAGGTCCAGTCCGAGCCTAAGTCTAAGGCTGTGCAGAATGCCATGGAGTCCGAGGCTGCTCGTGCGGCCGGCGGCGGTGCCGTCCGGACTAAAACACCCTCGCCAGCTGTTCATGGAGGTGGTCCTATTCGGCGGTCTTCTGCTCCTCAGCCGGCCAAGGTTACTCAAGTTGACGCTGAGAAGCCAGCTGTTGAGGCTACTATCCCCGCTGCACAGGCTCAGGCTCCATCTCAGGTGACGGTTTAAATGTTGCTCTGTGCCTTTGGTTCCATTTATCGTCTATCATTGTTTCCTTTCACGGTTTGTTCTCGACCCACCATGCATAGCCCTCGGTTTTCTCTCAGTTTACTATTCCTTTCGTCTTGCTTGTACCTATCTGCATTCTGAGGTGTTTATGATTGCTTCCACCTGTTCTGTCTATAGATTAATTCTCACTACATACCTCATGCTCATCCTCGATGACTACTTTCCTATTATAATACATATCACTACGCTCTACAAAGCTTAGAAACATTGTGCACTAAATAACAGTTGGATTTTTGATCCTCTAATCTATCAAATGATATGCGATTCCCGGAATCGCCATGATATCAAATCAACCCCACCAAACACCATGTGTTAACTGTGCCATCTTCGGCACGGTATTAAATGCAGTATCAGCATCACCATGCAGATACCCACAACAGAAACTCCAGTATGAACCTTTTCTTTTCGTTTGTTTGTTTGTTTTTCGTTTTTTTTGTTTTGTTTTGCTTTGCGCTCGCTCAGTTGTCTGCCTTCACCTTCAGCTCGGCCATCATCATTCCCTCGACGACCTTCATGCCGGCCTCCTCGCCCTTCTTGGCGCCGGCCTCATCCTCTCCGGCGACGGCCTGGTCAAGTGCCAGCTTGGTCTGGCCCAGTGCGTAGATCTGCTCCTCGATGGTGTTCTTGGTCACCAGACGGTAAATTTCAACCTCGCGGGTCTGGCCGACTCGATGGGCACGGTTCTCAGCCTGCACATCTTCCTGTGGGTTGAAGGAAGAATCAAAGATGACCACGCGATTGGCACAGGCCAAGTTGATACCGGCACCACCGGCCTTTGTGGACAGGAGGAAGACGGGGATCTCGGTGCGCTCGTGGAAGGCGTCGAGGATGGATTGGCGGTCCTCGACGTTGGTGCGGCCATCCAGGCGGACGAATTCAATTTTCAAGGTTTCCAGAACATGCTCAAGGATGTCCATAACCATCGTGAATTGAGAGAAGATGAGGGTGCGATCGCCATTGGCGATGAAACGGGTGAGAAGCTCTTTGAGGTGCTCCACTTTGCCGGAGTCCATCCATTCGTCGTTCTTGAGCTTGAACTTGCCGAGGGAATTGGGGTTTTCCACACACATGTGGTGGCACTCGAAGTCATTGTATGGCATGAGCTCCTCAAGAATGATCTTAGGGTCGGATAGCGACCACTTGTCTTCCTTCAGGCAAGCTTTAGCCATCTTCTGTAAAATCTCATCGGTGTAGTGACGACGAGCAAGGAGGGGGTGAATAGCAGCCTGGCGCAACTTCATGAGAATGTTGGCCGACTTGGAGCCAGTCTTCTTTCCAGCTTCACGGTCTGCCAAGAGCTGGCGCACTTGCTCTTTTTCATGATCGTAGATCTTGACCTGGGAAGGTTTCATTTGGCACCAACCAACATAGGAATGCTTGGCCGGAAGATCAATGACCTGGTGCTTCTTTCGTCGGAGGATAAAAGGTTTCATCATGGACTTGGCGCGCTCAATGCGCTGCTGGGACAGGAGAGTAGCGTGTGACTCGTCAGTCGTCTTTGCCTTGTTGGAAAACACTGCATGAAGGTCTTCCTTGTGCTCCTGGAAGACTGAGGGAAGAATAAAGCCGAGAAGAGATGCCAGCTCCTGCAGGTTATTCTGGAGGGGAGTACCGGTAAGAAGCAGGCGGAAACGCGCTCGGATTCGAATCAATTTTTCATACAGCTGAGATTGATGGTTCTTCAGCATGTGGCCTTCATCATAGACACAAACAGTGAAATCCATGTCACGTAAGAACTTGGCATCAAGCTTCGCCTTGGCAATCGTGTAGGTGGTGATCACAACGTTGATTTCGTCACGTCGTTCCTCGATCTCGTCGCGGATGAGAGCACGCTCGTTGAGACCAGCGTAGTAAGGCATGACGCTCAAGACCGGACAGAATTTCTGGAACTCGCGAAGCCAATTCTCAATGGTCGAAGACGGAACGACAATCAGGTGAGGGCCTTTGATGCCCTTCTCAAACAGATGTGCGAGGAATGCAATGACCTGGCAAGTCTTACCCAGACCCATGTCGTCAGCCAGGATGCAGCTGAGCTTCTTTTCAAACAACAATGCCAGCCAGTTGATCCCCACAACTTGGTAATCCTTCATCACCAGGTCGTCAGCCATGATAGACGGCTGTGAGATGAAACGAGATTTGCGCTTCGAAACGACCAGTTTGCCGCTTTCTTCATCACTTTCAGAAGATTGGCGTTCAGATGCCGGAGTAGCAATACCCGAGTCGTGTTCCAATTTGGAAGGAGCAAGGTTGGTGATTTCCAAGTCACCCTTCTTTCCAAAGGTGTCAACACCCCATTTCTTCATCTCTTCGGCGACTGGCTTGCCGAGTTCCTCAACCTCGCCAACAAGAGCGTCAATGGCCAGGTATCCAGTCCACATATCAATACACTTGTCAACAATCTTGTCTCCAATGGGCTTAGGAGCCTTGCCTCCTCTCTTGCCCTTGGGCTTCACGGTCTCGACAACTGGGGCAGAGACCACACGCACCTCTTCGAGGGTCTCGTATGGACGGTTCGAAATGATGATTTGAGCGGTTTCTTCGGGGATAGAGGCAATATCAGCGAGATCTTGAACACGACATGTGTTGAAGAACTTCAAGACCTTGGAATCCAAACCGCCAGCGGTGGATTCTTGGACCTGGGCATTTGAATCGTCCGAATCACTCATCATAGCCTCGGGGGATTCGGACCGGTCGGGCGAAGGGGCTCTGCGGCCCTTCTGAAGCCGTCCCAGTTTCTTTTTCTGGGGACTGTCATCGTTGATTGTGATAGGACGAACAGGGGAAACAGCACGGGAAGAGCCGTCAGACTTGGGTCCACGAATGAGTCGGCGGCGAGGTTTTCCTTCGTCATCGGAATCCTGGCCCTTGGGTTGCTTCATTGCCGCCCACTTGTCCTGGATGGTGCCACGAGCTTTAATGTTCTGCTTGGCCATGGGAACCGGGCCCGTAGCCGGCGAGCCACTCAATTCATCATCGGAAGATTCAATCACCACGGGACCATTTTCATTGTCGGCAGCATCCATGTTGGCAAGGATTTGGAGGGCATCATCGTAGTTGCCCTTTGCTTTTAACATCGCTTCCATACAGATTCGAACAGTCATATGGGGCATAACTTTGAGAATGCGCTCAACTTTGACACGGAGTCTGAAGTCGTTGATTTCATGAAGCAGGATGTCTGGAGTTCCCACAGGTTGTGCGCGAGAGGGCGCATCTTGGCGCGCTTTTTTCGTGGCAACTCCCTTCGTTGCCGGCGGACTCATCTGGTCCGCAGTCCGCTTGATCGCGAGTGCAGTATTGTTCGGATCGTACATGGCAGAGGCTGTAATTTCTCGGAACCGATCCATTGGCCCGGCCTCAGGGCGGACGGGCGACTCCATGATCTTTTCTTTTTCGAGACTCCGAATGGTTTTCGCAAACGTAGACGGTTTGATATCTGTACTTTGTAGGTGAAACTCTTCGTCTGATGAGCCACCACGATATGTCGGTCCGTCGTCGATATCAAACTTTGGCGTTCGTTTTGTAGGACCAGAAGCAGGAGGTCGGAATTGAGTCCCAGAAGGAGCGATTAAGGATGAAAGTGAGCCGCCTTGGATTCGGCGGGGAGGAGAAGAGATTGGACCAATGGGTGAAGATGCAGCAACTTGAATGACAGTGCTATGGCGCGAGTAAGGATGTTCAAGTAGTTGTGTTGGTTGGGTGAATCTTTGCGATGGGGTTATCGCTGGAAGAGTGGCGATACTTTCGTAGTCTTCGGCCGGAGGGGTACTCGGAATGGTTTTTATATCTCGAGAGGGAGTATTATTGACAGATTCATCCATTGCTCCAGGGCTCACAATGCTAACAATGTCATTCAATAGGAGCCATCTAATTGTTCTGCATTATTCAGGAACGTTTTTTCTGCCAAAGCGGACACGCGCGACAGACGCGCCCAATCACGTGCGAGATCTGTCAATTAAGCAATAGGTACAAAGGAATATAGAACATTTGAATCACATAAATTTCATTGAGTATAGAAACTAATATTCAATAAACAATAAATATCAAATTTCCTAAAATGGAATGAAATAATAAAAAAATCACATGGGCATATATACATTCAATCCACCAATCAAATGGCATGTGATGGCACTAAGTTATCTGTTATCTCCGCACTTCGATAGCTTCAGTTGTTCCTCTCCCAACCCAGGCCTTTCATTTTCATCTTTTGGCCTTTGACTCTCTTAATTACTCCTAAAGAAAACAAGGATGTCTGCCCGCCGTCCCCACAACCAGTCCTATGCCGATGTTGCGGCGAAGCCTGCGCAAGGCAGTTCCGACGTGGCCCCAGCTGTTCCTGCGTAAGATAGCCTTAGAAGCTTAAGTCCTTGAAGACAGATTCTTATTAGCTTCGGTATCTAGAGATGTCATTTACAAGCTCCTTGGCTTCACAGCTGCCATGATCGCTGGCCCCATTGGCATGTATTTCTTGACTGTGAATACAATCTTCAGTGGTGAGTATTTTTCTAGCCCCAACTTACAATGACGTATACTGATTGAATTGATGTTATCCAGGGAGCTCGACACTCGCCGGAATCACCGCCGCCGTTACCGCCAACGTGGTATTGTTTGCATATATCTATGTCGCCTGGACGGAAGACCAGGAGGACAGACAGGCAGCCAGCAAGTCAGATTCAAAGAAAGCCCAGTAGGCTCGATAAAACTCGATCTGGAGGATTTTCGGAAAATGTTTACTATTTTTGGCGTTGCGGCATTGTTCGGGTGGTTGGGGGTTCTGTTTTTGTATAATTGGGATGGAACAACTTCGACCATCTAAGGACTCAGGTGTAAAACTACACATTGACCAAGCTATTCATCTGACTGGTAGATATTCTGGATGTTTTTAGGATATCAAGCTCCACACTTCAATCCCGTCAGTCAAGGCCCATATTAGAGTCGTGTTGTTCATGTTGAAGGAACCACATATAGAGACAAAAAAGACCTCAACCCATGCCTTAAATATAGACAGATACGCCGATATGCAGTTTCAAACAGAAACGACTCTCTCGCATATTCCAACTCCCACCTTACTACCAGCTCCGCATCAGCTTAGGTAGGTCTGCGCTTGACAAACTCCTCCAAGTCCGCTTTGGTAGCAACACCAAGCACAAACTTGCGCGCCACGTCGGTGACAACAGCAAACTGCTGCTTTTCGCGCTTCTCGCCATTTGGCCCCGACTCGCTCTCGAAGAACTGCTCGAGCTCCTCGAGCGGCGTCTCCATCGTAATGACTTGATAGATGCCACGCTTGCGGTTGAACCGTTGCATAGCCGCTGAGACTGGGTCGCTTTCTTTCACATTCCCGCTTTGCAGCAGCTCCCGTAGCCGTGGAATGCTGACGTAGCCCAATAGGGAGCGCTTTGTCGGGGAGATGACGGTGAGGTGCGTGTAGTCGCGCTCGTAGGCGGCCATTAGGGCTGTGGAAATAGGATCATGGGAGGAGACTGAGAGGGCCGGGGGAGGGTCGAGATCTTCAATTGTTGCCTGTGTTGTCTGTTAGTTTTGAGGTCTGGTGGATGATTGTATTGCGAGAGACGGACACCGCGGTACTTATCGGCCCAGGCTGCTGTAGATGTATTTGTTTCAGAAGTGGCTTGCTTCTCGCGAGTGAAGGCCTCGCTGCCGGTCAGGTATGATGCCATTTTGGATGTGATCGCGATGAGGGGTTGGTGAGGGGCAGTGGATGGATTTGGGGTGGTTGTCAAGAAGAAGTACAGGTAGGTGAAAGGTCAAGGAGGATTGGCCCAGATGTAAATATTGAGAAGTCAAGGTCCCTCAGTAGGGTATACCAAAGTGCAGGGTCAAGAGCTTTCAGTCGTTGCGGGATGACTTTTTGATGTCAAGCTTGGCATCTCTTTAACTCCACTACGGAAGACGCTTGCGGCCACGGAGGTTATCAGACCCATACATCCATGGATGTATTCTTTTTCTTTTTCTTACTTGATAACAAAATATAGTATACTCTCTATCAGAAAGAAAAGTAGGGATGCACCTTGAGAGGGCCCTCAAGTTATGGCCTCGTCCCGCTATATCAAGGGAAAATATCCAGGATTTCCAGGCCATAAGAAACTACTCCGTACCTAGTCATACTAATAGGAACATTGAAGTGATATAGTAGATAGCAGGCTAGCTTTTTTGGATCTACTTTCGGAGCATATCTTGTTAAGTGCGTTAAGTCCGATCGTATGCCACCCATTGACCCCTTGGCCCCTTGGATTGTGATGCCAGTCTTGGTCCAATTACGTCTATAGAGTATTAAGACAGACCCATAGGAAGAACCTATAAGTAAGACCAATCTTTACGAGTGTTAATTTGAAAGAATCGGCGAAAGTAAATTCCCAAAGGTGCTATAAAGTACCTCGTCGGACCCTCGAGCCTCTTACAAGCCCCACACGTCATTGCCTTAAGAGTCCGTATCTCCGTCACATATCCTCCAAGGCTGTTTCATCCCAGTGCTATTTTATCCTTCAACCTCTCATACAGATTCAATCGGAAATACATAGTCAAAATCCACTTGGTGGAGATCACCGGATATCCAAACCGACTCCACTTATACCCACTACCCGAAGTACAGCCCGAAGTACACTATGATTCCCGACTGGATCAACGCTTTCGCCGCCCAGCATCCTCTAGGTGCTGTAGGTGCCACTGCAAGTCCCACTGCAAAGAATAGACCGTTCTCAGCTTGGAGTGCACTCGACGACGTGAAGACCAAGGCCGACGACATTGCCCACGAGGCGAGCCGGGAATTTAATGCCGCAAGCCAGAAGGCCCAGGAGAAGACCGGCAAGATCGAGCCTGGCTCTCTGAAGTACTACACAGCTTGTACATTTGGCGGAATGATGGCATGTGTCAGTACCTCCTTTTTATCGGAATTGTGATCGCTGTATCGACGAGATACTCACATATATACCAGGGCCTTACCCACACTGCCGTGACACCCCTCGATCTGATCAAATGTCGCCGCCAAGTCGATTCGAAGCTCTACAAGAGCAACCTACAAGCCTTCCGCACCATCCGCGCAGCTGAGGGTATTCGTGGCGTCTTCACGGGCTGGAGCCCTACCTTCTTCGGCTACAGCGTAAGCCCGGGCAACATATGGATCTTTTACCTTCCTAATCATCTATACTAATTACAATTATAACAGGCCCAAGGAGCTTTCAAGTATGGAGGATACGAGTACTTCAAGGTCTTCTACAGCGACCTGGTCGGCCAGGAAAACGCAAGCCGGTTCAAGACTGCCATCTACCTGACAGCCAGTGCCTCGGCAGAGCTCATCGCAGATATAGCGCTGTGTCCATTTGAGTCTGTCAAGGTCCGCGGCCAGACTACCATTCCCCCTGAAATCACAGGTACTTTCAGCGGTATCTCGAATGTTGTTGCTAAGGAGGGCGTTGCTGGGTGAGTTCGACACCCATCGCCTTTCGTTCTTCAGTCAAATCTCTATATGCTGATCTTCAACTCAGTCTATACAAGGGTCTTTATCCACTGTGGGGCCGTCAAGTTCCCTACACGATGATGAAGTTTGCTTCCTTCGAGACCATTGTTGAGATGATCTACCACAATCTTCCAGGTCAGAAGTCCGACTACAACAAAGGTGCCCAGACTGCCGTTGCGTTCTCTGGTGGTTACCTCGCTGGTATTCTGTGTGCTGCAGTATCTCACCCTGCCGATGTCATGGTCAGCAAGTTGAACGCGAATCGACAGGCGGGTGAGGCATTTGGCGCTGCTATGAGCCGCATCTATGGTGACATTGGCTTCCGGGGATTGTGGAATGGACTGCCCGTTCGTATTGTGATGATCGGTACTTTGGTGAGTCGTTCTTATGTTCAATGTGGCTTAATTTAGGTGCTAACAAAACTATGTATAGACTGGACTCCAATGGATGATGTATGGTCTTACTTTCTTTTGGTTTATCTGCTGGGTGTATACTGACTATTCTTACAGCTATGATTCATTCAAGATCTTCATGGGTCTTCCTACCACCGGTGGCGCAAGCGAAGACAAGAAGACGAACTAGGGACATGCCTGGTTTGATTTCGGTAGCATGCGCAGCCTCCATTCTATTTACCATCTGGGCCGTGACTACGCTGATCTTCAGGAATATATTAGGCTCAATGCATGTCTCTTATTATTGCCCTAATTTATATAGTAAACGCCAAGCTCGCTATCGGCCAATTGCCGTTTGTCATCGGCTCCACCAATCGGAGGCTGTTATCTTATCAGCGACGTCACGAACCAGTGGACATTTGCGAATATAAATGTTCAATGTAGTTGAATAACAACGATACTCCGTATAGATAGAGAAATAGGGAACCTACGAACCTCTTGGCTCGGAATCCCTTTTATTATCTAGCCGAATAAAAAGGGATTATACTTAAAAGATCTAGATCCCCCAAAATCCACTTGTCCATATCACTCCCTGTACGACATCTGAGATTCCTAGAAACAGTAAGCTTGCAGATACACCCTCCCACGTGGATTTCCCCGCCATCATATCTCGTACCTGCATCTATCACCCCATCGATAAGTATCTTCCTACCTGCCCAAATCTTTCTTCCTTTCGCATCTACCCATCTCACCATCTCACCTACGAATTACCTCACTTTCAAAGACACACTTCCAAAGACACACTTCCAAAGACACACTCCAAGATCTGATTAAAAAAACAGTCAAGATGCCCGAGAAACCCGCAAAGACCGAGTCAGAGGCACCAATGGTCTCTCACGGCCGAGGAGGCAAGCTAATCCCCCCCCTCCCCCCAGCCCTAAATGCGCTTTCCCCCATGACCACCAGCTAACACAACATTAGGTCAAGGCAACATTGGCCAAGACAACACCGAGTATGTTAAATTAGTCGCGCATATGCGACAACATACTAAAAAACCATGAACAGATATGTCGATGGCGAGATCGTCCGTGAAGGCCCCTACGGTGACCAAGGTGATGGCGCTTACTCTGCCGGCGTGAGTACCTCTCACCCCACCAAACTGTCCCCCAACTCCCACTGACGCACCCGATTCTACCCAGCGAGGCGGTGCAGGAAACATCGGCTCCCCAATGGTCCGGCCCATTTCTAGGGCTCCCCACGACGCCGATATGATCCCCGAGCTCGCAGTGCGTGACTCAGTTGACGAAACATACCACACCGGGGTAAGCAGAGAGCTCTTTCGCTTGTTTATCTTTGATCTATCATATGATTGATCCCTACCCAACCCACGCCTTTCCCCTATGGTCTTCCTTCTTCTCCCTTTCAGGATGTGATGTCTATTGCGATTGCTACTCTTGTTTTCCCCCATCGGATTCCCAGGCGACTTTTTCAGATGACAATATGGCTGACTTTTTTCGGGTAGCGTGGTGGACAGGGAAATGTTCATCTTGATGCAGCTTCGCTTAAGGAGAAGAAGCATAAGAAAGTTGCGCATGAGGGGCTGGCTGATAAGCTGAAGTATAAACTGATGGGGCGGAAGTAGGGTAAATCGGTGCTTTTTTACTCTTTTTCCCTCTTGTGCTTCTTTTGTGATTCCCATTTCTCGTGCGGTGAGGTTAGTCTAACAATTAATTGTCCGATTTCCAGATTGTATAGAATTTTCAAGGTGGATCTTATATACCTATGCTGGAAGTGTGCTAATGGTGGTAATATGTGTGGATATTTGGGGAGAAATAGGTAGCCATGGAGTAAATACAGATATGAATAAAAAACAGTAAAGAAAAAAAAAAGAGAATAAAACAATAAACAAATCCCAATCCATGACGTGTCCCATGTGTCCATGTATCATAACCTCATTACAGCATGCGATGAAAGACTAACAATAAAAACATCCCGCATGCTCCATACAAAATAAAGGACAACGCCAATCTGAGCCCGAAAAAAAAAGGATGCATCTCGAAATGAAGTGTCCAGATACAGTATCAAGCATTGTGCATCTCAATCTCACCCGAGACGTTGAGATTTATTTAATCTTTGCTGAACCGGCGTTTGAACCAGCTCTTCCTCTTATCCTCTTTCTCTTTGCTGGCCGGAGGTTGATGCACAGTCTTGCGCGCAGGCGGTTGTGCAGGTCCAGCGCCCGTAGAAGTTGGAGGACCTCCAACAGGTCCACCCCAGCTCGAGTCACCGACGGGCTGAGGAGTCCTGGGTGCATTGAAGCCATACTCAGCTTGAGAACGCTCATCGAGACGTTGTTGCTGCAGGGCCTGCTGCTGCAATTGGTCGTTGGAGCTGTTCATCGAGCTGGGGTCTGCGGACTGGCCGTAGGGGTTTGTGTAGCCAGAACCAGTGTTTGACATGGCAGCCACGTTATCGCGAGACCGTTGGTAGCCATATTGTGAATTGGCCATGTTTGGGTAGCCCTCGGCGGGGGTCATGGGGGCCGAGGGTGACCCGCGTGGATGATGGGATGGGCGTCTTCTGCTATTTTGGCTATATCCGCCCGGGTTATATCCGGTCTGATTGTAAGGGTTGGAGTTCTCGGGTGAGAGAGGTGTGTTTTGGTACGCATTCACGATACTATCTGGTCGCGATTGGGGTTGGCCGTAGTGGCTGCTTTGTTCGTAGTTTCTCTGGGAAGGGCCGCTGTTTTGACCTATCGGTGAAAAGGTTAGAAGTAATTGATGAATGGGGAATCACAGCAAACATACCTCCATAGTAGCTTGTTCGTCGGCTGAAGTCGCCCATCTGTGATGCGGCATCGTCTATCAAAGAAGTCAGCTCATATTCCCACATTCCTGACTTTTTCGTAAGGAATTGCCTAAGAGTACCTGTCCTGGCGTACGACGCACGGTTATTACTGTAGGTGCCATAGATGGCTGCCTCAAACGATCGAATTGTATCCAAGGGGCGCTCCAAACGGGGTCGACTGGGATTTGACAGGTCGGGATCGGCTATGGTGAAGCAAGGGTTAGCAATAATGCCCCAAGAACCAAATAGTGCCAGTGAGTAACGAACTGATGACATTCCCGTATTGATCCTTGAATTCAATCTCACGCAGCGAACCCAAATTGGACTTTTCCAGCGCGACCGCCACTATTGAAATGTCAGTTGGAGTAAAATGAGAAGGAAATGCGACCGGGCCAAAATCAAGGCCCGACTCAACCGGACGTACTAGGCTGAAGTTCGTTCATGGCGACGAGAGGATCTGCTTTGGTGTGTAGATTGCGACGAGCTTTCTCTTCTGATGATTCCGAGGGTCCACGTCTGTGACTTGTTGATCCCGATTTGTCCGACTTGTCAGATTTCACGCTGAATCCACGACTCCTCTTGGGAGAGGTGGGAGATTGGGGGGCGGTCATTTTATTAGGAGTTCCACCGTAATTTTTTAGCGTCCGAGATTCAAGGCAGGTCTGAAACGGATGTGATCTGCTGAGCTACTGTAGTGGAGCGCGGTGGATCCAGGCGCGATCACAGTGTTGCAATATGAGTTACGGTGAGGTTGGTCACTATCGACGGGATGGGGGCGACTGGGTGACTGGGTAGGTGATTGAGGACGATGATCTTATCGGTCTTGCCCAAGGGTAAATGCAAGATATGAGCTGTCAAAGAGAGTGGAAGATTGACAGTACAGGTAAGTAAGTCTGAACAAAGTGAGAAGAGTTCCTAAGAGGCAAAAGGGAAATGGATGGTTTTTATCTGGACCACGCAATCCAAGGCTTCCATTCTCTTTGGGATTTTTTTTCTCTTTTATTTTATGTCCTATTTTTTTTCTCTCATTATATACCTAAATGTAGATAGAATACCATAAAAAATCTCGGCAATCTACTCCATGGTACTCCATACGGAGTACACAATTCGGTCCTGAACAGCGATTGGTGATGTTCCTCCACTTAGTCCACAATGTCCGAGGTACCTGGATTGTATATTCTACAATCAAATATTCTGTGGAATATGATATTGAAGTTATAAGTACATGTTCCTCTCCCCTTACATAAAAAGCCATACACTTTTCTGCTGTTTCCCAGCCTTTCTAGAAACGCGTGATGCACATCCGGCCCGTTCCAATTGGCCACATTACCTTCGATGTATCTACCGTTGAGTGCATTTCCTTATGCCCTCTTGTGCAAACCTTGAAGGCTTAGCAACTGAATGAAACAATGCTATACATACTTCCGTGCTCCGTGCTCCGTACGGAGTACGGAGGATGTGCATAATAATCTTTCCCGAGGTATAGCCCTTAGCCAAACTGGGTATAGGCCCTAAAAAGCTAAGACCACACGTGTTCACCTCGGGATGGTATCGAGTAAGAACGGACCGTTAGCTTGTGGGCTTTTTTGTGGCTAAAAATAGCCCTAACGAGTCACCTCGGTATTTGATATTATGCTAATGATACATTCAGAACGTATTAAAATAAAAATACAAACCTTGGAAGGTTTCATATGAGGCTGGCTCACTCGCTTATTCTGATTGGGAAGTGTACATTATGCACACGGCATAAATACTGCCTATTTTAATAAACTTAAGAATAGCCGGCTATCCACTTCAAAATATTAAATCAATTCCCGTTCTTTTGAAAAATGGGTCAATATAATATCTTTGTCAGAAGAACCAATAATACAGCCCGCTGACAGTCCCCACCTCATAAGTATATCACACTGCCAGATCGTAGATTACGCAGCTAATTGATATATACGTGTACATCGGGGCGACCTTAGTTAAATCTAGTCTCGGGTCAAATGCTGACAAGTGACAGTGCGTGGCTAATGACGTAGGAGAGGGCGATTGGCAGGAAATCTTGCGCTTGGCGTTCAATTTACCGACCCATTTCGCAAATGGAAGGTCTTGGTCACGGGTAAAGGGCTGGCGGGAGGTGGACGCGTAGGATCTTGCTGAAGATCACGGAAGTAGGGCAATCGCCGGTAATCCATTCGCTCCTACGATTGAGGTCATATTTCGGACATAGAGTGACGATGGCTATAAGGCGGTTACTAAACTAGCCCTGGGCTGTGTATGATAATAGGCACGTTTCAAGCTCTTCGGACACACGTGTCGTCACATGGGAGCCTATATAACTCGTTAGTATTATGTTGAACTATATGTAGACCTGATCTATGTCTCTACGGAGAAAGCAGAAGAAGACGAAGGTGATAATCTACCTACTGCCATGGAGCTCCCTATGTTGCTTACAAAACATTAATGCTCCTACAAGAGTTGAGAATATAAATCCTTCTGTAAAGCTGCAGATAACCTTACTATTTGATTAGCAAATAATTTTAAAATATTTATCTAGTGTACAATTTAGACCTCTATATCTGTAACGTTTGTTTTACATATCTAGGAACGATATTTGTTTTAGAATGAGAAAACAAAACCCAGCGATCTAGCAAAAGGGTGTAGGGCTGAAGGGGAAATTATGAGCCCGCTTCCCTCGATAACCTTGTGGGGAACATGCACGCCACAATATATGCGCAAAGTATATCCTCACCTGACGCTGGATGATAGTGGACACTATATAAGAGATCCCACGAAAGTCATACTCCGTCAGCTCTTTTCCCTTTGATATTCAAGTCCCGATTACCACAGCTACTCGGGGATAGTCGGGGGCAGGAAAGGCTTTGATGCATTCAAGTTTACCTAACATTGATATAAAGCCTTGGGGGGTTTAGTTGACAGGGATAGAGTGGGTTATCTATTATGTACGATTAAACCCTACGTGCATAACCCCTGTCTAACATACGCCAACACATATCAAGCATGGTCGCATACCCTGGTCATACTCTAATGCAGGATGATATTGGTGGCTTTTTGACCCCAAACTTAATTTAAACTTCCCGAATGGTCTAAACCCTTATATAGGATTGATTCTTAAATATAGGTATTGGAATATACTAGATCTCAATAGCTCCATACTTGTTATTCTAGAACTAATCCCAATTTAGTAATGGGTCAAGTGTTACAGAGATCCTTGGAGAAAGCTCAAATAAAAACAGCCCATCGGCTGGGGCCCATTTCCCAGTTTGGTCTGGGAAAAGGTTCTATACATTTCTTATACATAATGCTCGGCGTTGAGTGGGAGCAGGTTGGGGGTATCTTATCTATCTATTAAAATAAAAACGTGAGTTCCCGGGTTGAATCCGGAGAACCAAGAAGATCGAAGAATCAGATGACTCTATTCGAGTGACAAGCTTAGGCTGTTGTATCGCCTGCTGTCTTGGGCGCGACGTCCTCCGCGGTGACCTGCACCTCGTGGCTGTGTTCCAACTCAGATAGAACAATCCACGTGGGGAAGAAGGCAAGAATCGTGATTCCAAAGTTGAGACCGATGCTGACGAAGTGGTTGGCACCACCTTCGGTTTGCATGGCCCATGCAATGGTTTGTCCCAGAGCCTCGAATCCACGCAGGATTCCGCAGTGGTAGGACAAAGATGAGATGTCGGTGCTGTACTGGCCAACTAGCCAGTAAAGGAATTGCTGGAAGGCTTGGCCACTGAAGGTCCAGAAGAAGATCAGCGCGTACGCCTTGTTGAAGCCGCTTGTGAACCAGTCGAACATTGGGGGCTCGGGTGCATCGTAGAACTGCTTCTGCAGGATGGTAGCCCAAATCCACGTGCCGATGATCAGGGCAACGATGGTGCAGAAAGCGATCCTGGCGCGGGTCTTGATGAAGATGGATTGGCGATCAAGCAAAGCTGCCATGATGAACGAAGACGCGATTCCGGCGAAGTTGGTGAGGAACGAGGAGAATGCGCGAGACCGGACGGTGAAGTAGCTGGTCAGCCACGTGCTCTGGAAGCCGTTGTAGAAGTAGCTGATGAAGAATGCGGGAAGGAGGAGGAGGACACGGCGAGTGAAGATCAGAGAAAAGGCAGCCTTGAATTCCTTGGCCCAAGTCTCCTTCTTGTCCACAACCACGAGAGAGTGGTCCTTGCGCTGCACCTTCTCGGCGGGACTGAGTAGGAGCGCAATCGGCAGACCGAGACACATGATGACAATGAAGACGATGTAAGTCGCAGCGCTGACTGTTCCCTTTTGGGAAGTCGATGCATTCAGTCCCAGACTGATTGCACCGCCGATAATCGGACCGGAAGATTTGGCGGTCTGCCAGATAGCAATGTAGAAAGCGCGATCCTTGGGACTGGGATAACCAATGATAATAGCAGCCTCGGCAGCCCAGAAAAATCCAGCTGAGATACCGCACAGTGCGGAGCCGAAGAGCAGAAACCATGTCGTGGGGTGGTAGTTGTTAGTGTACAGACCGGCACCGTAGATCGGGTAACCGATCGCGCCGAGAATCAGACCGTATCGAAGACCAATACGGTTGTTGATTGCACCAGCGGCGATACAAACAACTGCAAACAATCCGTAGACCAGAGCGTTCGCCGCGGAGACAGCGTAAGGCTCAGCCGCACCACCTGCTCCGAGGTTGTTCAGTGCATCCCACATTCCAGGGGCGGTGAACGAGACACCACTAGCAACGGCAATTTGGAATGGGATAGAGCGGTACCAAGATGACCGAGACCAGACAGTTGGAGAGACATCATGGACATCCTCAGAAGTAACTTCTGGCTCAATTGAAGGGGCCATGGTCAATCCCTCGTATATGCAACCAAAACAATAGAAAGAAAAGAATAGGGATGTGAAGAAGATATATCGATAGAAAAAATTAAATTAAAGGTGGATCTCCCCAATGTCGTGCTTGATGCCAAGGAATTGTACGGCAAAGCCTTGCTTGAACCACGTTTTGCCCTTCGGTGCTTGGCCGGTTGGATAACCCTAAAATGGCTTTGTGCGGGTTCTAGCCCGGACTTTGTTTATATACCCAATATACTCACACATTATCTCGTTCTTTTCGCGCGTCCCGATTCAGGAGGCGATTAAGCCAACACTTAATTGTGCAATAGTTGATCAGATTCGAGGTGAATCCCGAAAGTTCGGGGCAGAAATAGCGGGATAAAAATCTGTGTCCACGCAGCCATGGCCTGACCGATCGAATTCATGATTGCCCGTGACTATAGCACGCTCCTCGGCGTCCTTGGCCATGGTGATCGTTGCCGAACTCATCGTGAGCGGACTAATTGCTGTGATAAGAGTCAATATCGCCAATTTCTTTTAATATGAGAAATGACAAATTAGAAGAGAGCCTGTGTTCGGAATCCACATACCGCCCTCGAATGCGGTGGTGATAAACCCCACCAGTCGCCCCGTTGCTCCAACATTATTATAGACGAGCAAAATAACACCAACCAGGACGGGAATGCTGCCACTGAAAGAATCCAGAAATTTCGCAAGCGGTCCGCGGTAACCCCTGCTACTAGCGCGGCTACAACAGACAGTGCCGTTGCGATTGTCGGCAAAGTGTTCACCCGAGAGACGGAGTAGAAATCTGGTTTAGCCTTGAGCTATAGGCTAAAGGGAGTCAAGTGTGGTGTGAAATTCTGGTCCATTAAGGTCCAATGCATGACAAAGACATACCAATGCCATCGTCCGGAGACTCGCTTGCAGATGGCCCGAGAGACTTATAAATCACTTGGCGCTGTTAGACCTTTCAGACTAACGTTGGCAATATCGTGCTCGGTCGCTGTTAGGAACCGTGGTTTGGAGCGGTGAGGAACATCGGGGGAAATGATATATCCGCTGGTCTGTGTTAGATGAACAGATGGAACCACTCCAGGGATATAACTTACACTATGCAAATAGGAATCGTGATAATCGTACAAATAAACAATCATCTGCCAACCGGTCAGTTCCAAGAACACCCAAATCTTTGATATAATTAGAGTCAAATACCTCCACCCAGGCAATCCATGCCTCCCCTCTAAATTTGTATCAGCAGACTACTGCAAATAGCACGCGAACATAGTCCCAAGTGGCGAAGCGGCAAAGAAAAGCGCAACCGACGCGTCACCTCGCCGGGTTTATACCACAATCCAATGACATAGATGACGCCGGTGAAGGAGCAAGTCTCGCAGATCCCGATGAAGAACCGCATTGCGTATATTGTATCCAAGTTCTGCGCCCAATCACAGCCGAATGTGAAGAGTCCCCATCCGACTTCCAGGGTCGGTAGCGCGATGTTGATTCGAGTGCGCGTTAGCCAGTAGCAAGCTGGTATTATGGCGGTGCAAGAAGATCGCTTCTATGTAGTTCAATTCGTTGCCGTGCAGATTGAGGTCTTCTTTCATGCCTCTATGATAGGTTCTTAGTAACCGTTTGTCTGCAAGACTGGGGGTATTGCATACGATACATAGGCATTGGTGATTGCCTACTGGTCGCGATATTTGGTGAAGAATGAAAGGCAGCCAAAGACTTGGATCATGATATCCAGTTTGAGAACAGCTTCTTCTCTGGGTGTGACATGTCTTCTGGATACCATTTGGTATGCGTAAGGAATCGGAGCCATAATCCATCATGCGATCCTGGAATGGAATGGGCTCCATGGCCGGATGCTTCATGGGTCGTCTTGGTGTCAATTGCGTGTACATTCTCCATGTTTGAGTATTTCGGTCGCCTGGAGTTCATACGCGATGGATAGCTGGAAGCAACAATCCAGGGCTGACCTAATGTCTATATGACAGTGATCATCCATTGGTTGGGGGTAATCTCTTATTTTTCGTCGTTCTTAGCTAGGTAAAAGTCTCGGTAATGGAAGATGCGATGGTTATCACGCCTGATGGTGTCATTTGTGCATCCCTGCACCTACTGCTTCTTCTTGTGTAGTAGACATGGGTGCGTTCTCATTACTCCGTACTGGTAGCTGACCTCGAGACATTGACAGCTTATCTTAAACGGTGAGATACATAATATAACAGGAAATTTGGAAGAGTGAGATGATTCGTCCTTGTTTTCAGGGGTTGAATCCTTGGCAAATAGCTGACAAGGGCCGGAGTAGCCGGACTTGAGTATCGATGATAAGAAAAATCATGAAATTGCACAACTGGCATGGATAATATGTAACGCTTGATGTGTATCGACGTGAGGGAAAAAACCAAATTAAATGTTCATAATCATACAATGTACCCCTTCATCCTCAACTCTTGATGTCGAGCTTGTACTGCTCGGCCCAGAATGTGACATTGTTATCCACAGAGTAGACTTCTGTTCCGAAACTGAGACTGCCGAGGTAGTCGTTTTTAACTGGATAGTCATCTCCTTCCAAGTTGTACAGATCGGTGATGAGAGGATAGATGTCTCCAGTGAACCGCTCGACGACCGTTTCGGCTTCTGGGACCCAGGACAAAACCTTCTGCCCGTTGTCATTTTCACCAGAGTAAAGCGTGCTAATGAAAATGTTAGCGTATGCTAGTATAAGTCAAGTACAAGTTCAACTTTCAACTCACAATTTTGTCCCTTCCAAGGTCCTATTGATTAGCGGGTGCCCCCAACCATGGGGCTGGGCCTCCTCATTTGACATCCAGAACCAAACCATGACCTCGAATTTCGCTTCAGTTCCATTCTTAGCTTTGTCGGCATCGGTATCCAAGAACATATCAATGGCGACGTTCGTGGCAAGGTTTTCTTTCTTCAACGCTTGTACATCCGTTGACGCGGCGGTCTTGTCGCCCACTCCGTATGTCCAATGCAAGTCAAGATTCACCTCCGAGATCGTGTTCATCTCCTTTGGCAAGATGTCGTCGACACGGATATTCGGGTATCCGTGGACGGGCATCGACGGTGGACCATGGTCATATTGCCAGGTGATAGAAAACTCGGGAGCGGTTTGGGCGGGATAAGTCTGGTTGACTAACGTCGTGATCTAAGTCAAGATGCCGTGTTAGTAGCCCCTTAGTAAAAGTGCGGATGGGTATGTTCAACGCGTACATTCATGCAGAGCCCATTTCCTGTCGAGTCTGATGTCACACCCCATTGATTGGGATTCACTGTAGTCTCGGTTAGTCGTCGTTCAAGGGTCAACAGCGCCTGTGCCGGTAGCTCGAGGGTACTCACGGGTGTATTGTTCGGTTTTCGACGGTGGGGTGATTCCCCAAGACAAATCGCAGTATCGAGTATGCTCCACGCCGTTGTCCGTGATAGTGGGATGACCGCCGCCGCCACCGCCAGTACTGTCGCCGCCTTTACCGTTCCCAGTGTTGATGCCATCGTCATTGTCTCCGGTGAATAAAGGCTTCTGACCCGTAGCGGCTCGATGGGCATCCAGGCCCATGAGAGCTCCAACACTTCCCCCAACGGGGATGGCTATAAGGATCGCATTGACCAGCAGTCCTACTCCGACGACCATGACCAAAAGCAAGAGGTGTATAAAATAAAATAAAAACCTAGCAAGTGAAAATGATCCAAGATGAACCTTGGGAAAGAGAAAGGGAAGAAAAGGAACAAGTCAGCGAATAGCAACGGCGAAATTCTCGGTATTACATCCCAAGATGTGGAGGCAAGATGCATCGGGTTAGTACGTTTTAGGGGCGATCGGAAACTAAGCGTTTTGACCAGACAAGTCTTGTTGATAAGGGAAAGGCCCCTTTGTGGAGAACTTTTGTTAGCGTGGTAATGGTGCGTTCATCTATGAATGGGGTTCAAGGTACAAGGTACCTGAAAACTTTCATTTGTATCTTATGATTGGTTCGATTAAGGTAGTTTTTGGGGAAATCAAATTAGAAACCTTGGTAATATTACAGAAATATACATGAAAATGAAAATAAAGAAAAGGTACGATGCAAACAGAAAAAAAATACTAGAAAGTCAGACACATTGCGTAAGAAACCACTGTTTGAAGTGAAACATTACGTTGAAAAATTCATAAAAAAAATCTATTTTTGCTCGCTCGGGCTCAATGCGGCGATGCACCTCGGCCCTTGGCGTGCACTAGCCTCAGGGCTTAACCATCGGGTTCCTTAGAGATCGCTGGTACCGTATTCTAATACTACGAATGTAACCTTTTCTCTTCCATCCTTCCATTCCAGTTCCAGCTCTTTGAGCTGATCACACTCGTTTTCAACAGATCCCACATTCTTGAGTTCATTTTAAACTTTACATAATCTATAACATTTCTCGAAATGGACAGACGTTATGGTCCTGAGGACCAGGACGAAAAGGTAGAACTGAGTACCTATCGAGCCTACCATTCAAACAACAGCTTCGAACATCCAGAGCCCTTCACCCCCTCGGGACTCTCTTCAAGGCCTCTTACTCCAGTCAGACCGGGTCATTTCCCTACCGACGAGTACGGCCAACCGGTTTGGCTTCAACCCACCGCTCGTATGTCGGGTCACTCCGATTCTATTCACAATTCGCCATGGAACACTCAAACGCCATATGATTCCCGGTCGGCATCACCAACTCTAGTTAGTACACCGTTTCCTTTCTCTTTGTTCTCTTTGTTCTCGGTATAGATCACAGCCTAACGAGTTTTTTTTCTCCCCCGTACAGTACCAAAACCATGGAGTGCAAGAAAGTCACCAGAGTCTTGCTCCCCTAGTGAGCTCACCTGCTTCTCCAGGATTTGAAAAGGATTGGGTCAAATCTGGATCGATTGCTCGCCTCCACGACCGTGATGATGCGGAAACATGGAAAGGCTGGAAGAGATGGGTGTTTGCCCTGGTACCATTGCTCACATTTGCTAACACCGGAATCTACTTGTTCTACCTTGGTCTGAGAATTGCCTGCATTATTATGGCTCAAAACGTTGCTGGGGTCTCATATGCTGGAGCTTGGGTCTTTGTGGCCATCGAAATTACCGTTGCGATCCCCTCCCTCATGCACAACTGCTGGACTATGATGGCTTTGAAGAAGAGAGGCCGCCCCAAGCTGAGATTGACCGGTAATGAATGTCCTACAGTGGATGTGTTTATTACTTGCTGTGGAGAGGATGATGAAGTCGTTCTCGATACCGTCCGTGGCGCCTGTGACCAGGACTACCCCCGCGACGTGATGAGGGTTATCATCCTGGATGATGCCGCGTCCCCCACCCTCGAGGCTGCCTGCAACCAACTCGCCCTGAATCATCCCAACATTATTTACATGGCTCGTGAAAAGATCCCTGGAAAGCCCCACCACTTTAAGGCGGGTAACCTGAACTACGGCCTGGATCAAGTCAACCTTTTGCCTGGAGGTGCCGGCCAGTTCATGGCCGCGCTGGATGCTGATATGGTAAATTACAAATACCCAGCCTACATTGAAATCGCAAATTTGTGTACTGACTGATAATCTGCAGATTCCCGAACAAGACTGGCTTCGTGCGATCGTTCCCCACTTGCTGGTGGATCCCAAGATGGCCCTTGCATGCCCGCCGCAACTTTTCTACAACACCCCTGCATCTGACCCGCTTGCCCAGAGTCTGGATTTCTTCGTGCATGTTATCGAGCCGATCAAGGATGCACTCGGTGTGGCCTGGTGCACTGGATCTGGTTACGTCGTTCGACGCGAGGCTCTCGAAGAGATTGGCAACTTCCCGCTTGGCTCCTTGGCCGAAGATGTCGCGACATCGACACTCATGCTTGGCAAAGGATGGAAAACCGCATACATCCATGAGCCTCTTCAATTTGGTACCGTGCCAGAAGACTTTGGTGGACATCTTAAGCAGCGTACGCGATGGGCAATTGGAACCGTTGACACAGCTGCCAAGCTGAAGTTCTGCCTCTGGGGCGACGCCGTTCGACAGATGACCGTCGCTCAACGCTTTTCTGGCTTCCTCTATGCAACCCTCAGTGTCTACACCCTCCTGTTGACCCTTTCCCTCTTCGCCATTCCGGTTATCCTCTTGTGGGGTAAGCGCCTCGTCGCCTTCGCGACGGAAGAACAACTCCGCTGGCTTATTTGGGCCTGCTTTGCTGCAACCATCTCCAACCGTCTCTGTGAAATGGCTCTATTCATCCCAGCCGGCTACCACACCGGCCAACGAGGCTCCCGCTATCAACTTTGGATGTCGCCGTACATCGCTCTCTGTATTGTGCGTGCCTTCTTGCTGCCCACTTGGCTGGGTGGTCAAACCCAAGCCTTCAAGCCAACGGGCTCTCTGGGCTCAGCTCTGAACGAGCGCGATGCAAAGAAGTCCAGGAACATGTTCGTCCGCCTGCGCGTGATCCTGCTCAACTACATGGCCAGCTTCCACCTTGCCTTCGTCTATGTCACCCTCGTCGCAGTCGTCATCTCCTCTTACCGCTGCTTCGCCCAGAACACTAGCTTCAAAGATATCATCCTCTGCCTCATCACGCACGCTTTCTGGCCCCCGCTTACCTTCCTTTTCATCTGCACTTCGCTGTGGACCCCCGTCTCCTATGCGATCGACCCACCAAGAATGCCAGAACGTGAGGAACTTCTGACACGCGACCCTAAGACTGGTGTCGCGCATCCGACGAAGAAGAGTAAAAAGATCGCCTTCGGTGGCCAGGCCGCTTGGTTCGAACTTGAATACACGGTTGCTACCGTAGCTACGATTTTGGTATTTGTCTATTCGTTTATGTTCTAATTTTTCATGATTTCCCCAGATGCGATTTTTTGGGGGGATTTGTATAGCTAACGTGTCACATGCTTCAATTTCAATCCTTTGCTATCTTGTTATATGTATCTATCTACTTGGAGATTTGGCGTTTATCTCTGTAACTTCATTTCGGGTGTACTATGTACACGTACTGCATATTGGGTCTTTATTATACATAAAATACATATGTTAATCTCCAAAAAAAAAAAAGTGACCTATCGCCGAGGCTGTGTACACATTGCGTACATAAATAGTCGGTACATGTAGATCTCGGCCAATCACTTGGTCTAAGCGCTTGAATTTCGGACCGGCGAATGTTTGCAATATACCGAAATCAAATTCTGCATTGACACCTGATATCCTTTGCCGTGTCAATGTACCCTCCCTGCTTTATTGCTTATCTAGTGCCATTGATCGCCAATGCGTCTTGACCTGGCTGTTTTATCGGACATGTTTATGTCTTGTCACCGCTGTTTGGGTGACGTTGCTTGGTCTAGACCTTATGCAGGGACATCACCTTGGAAAGCTTGATGTGATCTGATTCGGGATTTTCAAACTTCAGATAACAACTTGGACGTTTCTTTTCTGAAATACAACAAAACAAGGGTCTGTTACTAGCTCAGACATTAGCGCTGAGGCTGCGTTTTGTCGAACCCCTGATCGCCAAAGTACGGGTCTTCCTGGAACATCACTTTGATTGGCAAATGAAGCTTTCTCTTTCTGAATCTTTATTAAACAGGTTCAGTCGAGGAATCTCTGTTTTGATCCTGATGCAACAAACTGGTGGATGTTGGTTTCATCGGAACGCGTCGCAAAAGCCAAGGATCACGACCCCTGCTGGTTCTCAGTGACTAGCTAGTCTGGCGCCGGCGATGCCGGAAAGGAGTTCTATCTCTCCATTACCATTGGCTCGTGTTCATCCAGAAAGTCTTACGCCGGAACTCCCCATACCCCGGGTTGCCAGCCCCTTCACTTGGCCATAAACACAGCCATATTAAGGTACGTGGACTCCGTAAGGCGCCAGGGTCGGATTTACCCCGAACCGTCAACGGTTCGGGGCTTTATCAGCTGCCCGTCTTGCCACACCCCAGGAGTCCTTTTAATGAGAGGCGTGTTTGATAGGCTTCAAGCCACTCGGTCCGGTTTGCAGTCTACCGATCACATGATCGGTGTCCATGTATATCTCCCCCAAGAAATGGCCATCTTAATCCAATGAGCCTCCAACTATGTCATGGGACTCGGATTCGAAAGGTCGAGATCCGGGTTATACATCGGATGGGGTGTTCCAAGCTCCGTGGTTCATGAGTTGGCTGTGATTGTGATGGCTATTTAGAAGAGTAGATGTTCTCCGAGTTCAGATGTAGTCAATAGCAACTTCACTCTCAGCCTTCTTTACTAAATAACAAAGACAACTCTTTGGATCTGTATTCACAATGTCCTTCTTGAGGAACTACTTTGGTACCTCTGCTGTTCCAGCGAAGGACGAGAAGAAGCCTATCCGTGCTTTGCCGGCTTCCTGGTACACATCCAAAGATATGTACGAGCTTGAACGACGATCTATCTTCTCCCGGAAGTGGCTTCTTACTACACATAAGCACCGAGTCCCCAACACTGGTGACTGTGTTCGCTACGACGCCGCAGGCTACGAGTTCATCGTCGCCAAAGACAACAACGGGAACATCAACGCATTCCACAGCAACGATCTCTTCCCTGCCCATGTACACATTGACCGAAATGGATTTGTCTGGGTGAATCTAGACGCTAGCGATACCCCCGAAGTCGCCTGGAAAGACGATTTCGAGGGTGTCGACGAGCAGCCCCGATTTGAGCACTATAACTTCGAGGACTATGTCTTCGACCACACATGGGATATGGAGGGCGAGTTCAACTGGAAGATCCTAGCCGACAACTACAATGAGTGCTACCACTGCCGAGTTGCCCACCCCGATATCCCCACCATCGCCGACCTCAACTCCTACTATGTTCAGACCAAGGCCGGCCACATCCAACACTATGGTGCCCCGCGACCCGACCAGATCGCCAAGGGCTTCCGTATAGCAACTACCTATTTCTGGCCTAATGCCTCTTTCAATATCTCGTGGGTATATTCCTCCCATAAGACTACATATTAAAAGCTAACCTTGGGCCCCTCTAGTCCCAATTTCTTCTTCATGCAGCGATTCACACCTACCAGCCCGACGCAATGTGTAATGCGCTACGAAGTCTACCGCCACAAGGACGCCACTGATGAGGCCTTCAACCTCATCAGCGACATGTACAAACGAATCATGTCCGAGGACAAGTACCTATGTGTGAACTCGCAGAAGAACCTCAACGCCGGTGTCTTTGTCAACGGCCAGCTTCATCCAGAGATGGAGAAAGGTCCGCTTCACTTCCAGAAGACTGTGCGTGAGGTCGTCACAGAACACCATGCTAAGGAGGAGGCTGCGGGTCATCAAATCTGGCCCGCGAAGCATAGTCTTTCTGGGGATGTTGCTATCACCCAGGATCAAGATAATATTGCTCTCCGTACGGGTGTACACAGCTACGGCGCTGAGGTCGACACTTTCAAGGACTCCATGGGTACCGCTCTCTCTACTGTCACGGCAATCGCTGTGTAGGGCTGGTGAGGAGGGACGAGAGAACCTAATTTGCGATATATATAGCTTGGTTTTGCGTTCTTTTTTTACCATTGTGATGATGATAATGATTTAGAAATTAGTTTGCTGTGGAATTTAGCCTTGACAGAATGGATAACTTTTATACTTTCTTCACTCTAACCTTCAAAAGTATGGATGTCTCCAGCACTGGCGCCCCCAGCTTGATTACTTCACTGTGGCTATTAGGTCTTAGCAAGCGTATGAACAGAAATTGTCAACAAATTATATTATAAATCAAGTCTATCCGACTAATAATTACATTCATATATATATATATATATATATATATATATATATAAACTCCCCCAGGAAAGAAATGGACAATCAATCAGCCCAATCAACAAGGAACTCATCCAGCAAATCATAATTAGGCCTCTCTCTCTCCCTCCGTCCCCGAAGAAGATCGGCAGCAATATCAAACTTGGGCTCGGGACTAGAACGATCATCCTTCTCTGGTGACGAACCACGACTCGGAACATTCAGATCTCGAACGACATTGGTGTGTCTCAATTTACTATCCCCAGAAATATGCTTGGTATTGTGTGTCCCAGACTCGGGATCTACCGAACCAAGCTCGAACCCGGACTTTCTCTTTGCGTCGTGTACTTCGCGCCCATGATCGGATTCCAAGATAGTTTTGGCACCGGGCAGAGACGACCCGCGCCCATGCGTCGTCCTTGGATGTCGATATGACTCATGCGATGACACCGGCGACTCAGATCTCGTCGCACGGTTATCACTGTGATCAATCGAATCAAAGCTCCGTGGAGACCACGGCAGTCTCTTTTCAAGAGAGTCCTGCGCCCGATGCCTACGACCAGCACGCATATAACTCCTCCCAGGGTCGCGGGAACATTGGCGATGTTCACAGCCATCAGTCAACAACTCCGTGAGAAGAATGTTTAACTGCGCCAAGCGCTTGACCTGTCTCGTCGGGATGGTGTCTTCAGAATACTGAGGCAATTTCCTCTTACGGGATGTCCGTGCCCCCATCCCGATGTGCGTATGTTCTGGCAGTTCTCTCACATCCCTCAGCCCACGAGATTCAAACCTCGGCGACTGACCAGCCTCCATCTTCAGCGCCTCCTCCTCATCATAGGCGATAGCGGGCTTGAAGCCGATGCCGTGGTCGATGAGGACCTGATTGAGATAGTTGACTCGGCTTTCGAGAAAGGCCACGTAGCTGCGTGGGACCTCTTGTTTGGTGAGGGGGTCATAACCCACGCAGCGTACTTGGGCTTTTTCGCATGATTCACAGCGAGGGAGGCGCTGGTCGCAGCGGTGTTTGCGAAGGCGACATCTGTTGCAGGCGGAGACGCTGCGGAATGGCGGGGCTGGGGGCTCGGGGGTGATTTGGTCGTTTGGTTTAGGTGTTTGTTCTGATGTGAGTACTGGGGAGGTCTGGAGAGTTCTGCTAGTTTTCACTGAGCCCTTGGAGGGGAGTGGACTCCGTTTTCTTTCTAGGGAAGTTGGGGATAGTTTCAGCATTGCGAGTGTGTTAAGAAGACTTCAATTGCAAAGCTTTCTATAGATTGGGCTTTTTCTATGATAAAGGTTGAATTCCGGGTTTATACCGGAAGTCAATTCTCGGGTATCCGGTTGAGTGAACTCCGGGAGCTCTTTATCTGATGGGTAAAAGGCCCGTAGTACCTTATAATACTATAAAATGGTATGTAAAGAGCTTCCGTATGTACCTATACTATTCTGTTTTTACTATTTATACAGTGCTTTTATACAGTACTCACCTCTTCTATGTTGTATGTACAAAGAAGCTTAGAAGACCCTGGGTAGACCCGGGAGAATGTGGGGACCAAGCGTGGATAAGGCTATGGAGCTATAGATACGAACTTTGCAAAACCCTCGGGGAATTAGAATTGTTCGGGGGTTTAAGGGTTTTTCTTATAAGGTATCGGCCGAGAGCATAAGAGACTAACCGCCGAAGGCAATTTATATAAGTTTTAGCAGTGGCTTAACAGGTGTAGCAGCACCTATATTATTGTATGGGCCTTTTTCCATTCTCCCTATTAGCATTCACTCTATATCTCGAACGAAAACTACAAAAATAGCAGTAATGTTGAATAGTTGAGTATTCAGAACTGGCATTGAATTCAAAAAGATCCAAGTGGTAAAGAAGGGCGTTTCCTTACTTGGTTTAGAACTCTCCGTGCGCTTAACATGGGCCATAGCAACGTTCCACATATTAACGCATAGAGAGCATTATATTTTCGTAATTAGACATTGGTAATAACAGTGAAAATTCAGTCTCACTTTACACTGAACCTAGGACGCTATTCATGTCGATGTGAATTCCTCGCGATAGAATATGCAGCTCATTTATACATCCACTCACTCATAACGCCGATCCGGTAATTCAGTGCGAAGTGGTTTTCCACCAGCATCCTGGGACAACTCCGAACGGAAACCAGTCGAGTCGGTTCCATGCATCTCTCCTGTATTCATGTTGGGACCTCGTTGTTGCGGCATTCCCGTCCCATGAGAAGCTGCCACGCTAGCTGCCAGCTGGGTTGCTTTCAATTGCCTAGCCTTCAACCAAACTAGTGCGCCCAGTGCGGCTAGTATAGGGATACCTATGCCAAGCCCAAGTCCAAGTGCAAGCTTTGCTGTCGTCGAGAGTCCTGTCGATTGACCGGTCGGGTTGGCGGTTTGTGGATCGGTCGGGTTGGCGGTTTCTGGATCGTCCGGGGTGGCAGTAGGACTAGGAGGTGACGAAGGTGCCAAGGTTGAAGCGGTGGCCGTTGCAGTCGATGATTTCCTAACTATATTGAAATAGGCCGAGGGAAACCCGCTTGGTCCTTTGGGGTTGATCCAGAAGAAGAATTTGTTTGAATACTCCAGATCAAAGCTGTAGATTTGGACAGTCCAGGTGAAGTTTGACACTTGATACTTGTCATTGGTTTGAGCTGGCTCTTGTCAGTCTTGCAGTTTCTTGTTGGTTCTCCTTCTAGCCTACCAAATGCGTTGCCTCCAGAGATGGCGCCATCCCCCGTTGGACTCTCCTGCCATATAGAGACGTTGTACACCGGTAGATCGGTTTTCCATTCAACCACTTCCTGGTCACCCAAGGTCCAAACAGGACTTTTGTTGTTTTCGTAGACAGGGTTGATCATATAATTTGTCTTTTCGGCTCCATTGACAGTCGAGATGAGGCCCGAGACGAAGATAAAGAGCTGAAAGAAGCGTAACATACTTTCGATCTTTAACAGTGATATAGAGAACTTAGCCGGAGAATGTTCAAACTTCTTATCTTGTATATTTTGAATGGAAACCAAAAGAAAAAAACAAAGTTGGTGGCCCTGGGGGAGTATGCGGCTGACAGACACGGGTAGACTTAATATAAACTGGGTCAGAAACCCACAGGGCTGTGTTAGAGGCATTAGAAGGTGTCAGGCGCAGAGGCTTGAGCGTAAATGCATTCAAAAAGAGGACCCATATTCGTATTAAGACGGGCAACCAGCTCAGATCAAGACATGATTGACAGTCTGTTCCCAGGAGCTTTGAACGCTAGTCCTCCAATGTAGTTAGGCTTTCCCCATTGTCACTTTTTCTCTCTGCCTTGACTTTTGATACCTCTCATCATTACTATATATATAGTTTTATATTATTCAAACTTTTGAACAGCTTGATTACCTATAATCAGACAACCTTGGAATTAAATGTATATTATTATTTCTGTGAGGTTCATGTCTCAGTACGTCGTCTCCGCAGATCCAGGTACTTGGCAGCATAATCATTAGCCAATACTGGATCGCCCGTAAGATGCATAACAGTGGCCTTCTTAGCCATCATCTCCGTCTGTCCCTTGATATCCTCGATTTCCTCGAAATGATCATATGCCGAGTCAATGTATCCAAGAGCACGGTTAATATACTCTTTTCTCGAAGACGTCGAGTCCCGGCCCTGCAAGCTCCACAGCTCACCCGCCATGCCCATATTTGCATCTACGAGAAGTGAATACGCCTGTGCGATGAGGGCGTAATGTTCTGACTCTAGCACCTGGGGCATGATGCTCTCGACCAGTTCGCCCGTGGCTTCAAATTCACGAAGACTCAGCAACACTGTCGCTAGGGTGCAGATGGCTTCCCAGAGGTCGGCGAGGACTTTCGAGCGATGCGCGATGTGGGCTGCACGCATGGCGAGGGAGAAGCCGCGTTGCGGTTGGCCGGATTTGCCGAGGATTTGTGCTTTTAGACAGAGCAGCCTGACTTGGGAGTGGACGTCGAAATTCTCTGGCTGCATGGAGTGCGCGGCTTGCTCGACCATTCTCAGAGCGCGACCGTAGTCACCTTGACGCATGGTGAATTCTATTGAATGGAAGGCTAAAAGCAGGCGCATGTCGAAGTCGCGGAGTTGCACTGCCTGGAGTTGGGATAGAATGTGTTCGACCGCCACCTTGTCGTCGCTGTAGGTTGTTAGGAATGGATGTAAAATCAGTACTATAGTTGGGGGTTACTTACCGACAGATTTGTCGCCGCAATTGCAGTAGCCCTGAGAAAAAGGTCCAAGTGTTGTTGTATCTGAAAGCTCGGAGCTGCTCGGGGTCGATCTTATTCATCCGTGTGAATGCCTCCTTGTAATTGCCTTTTTGTGCTAACTGAAGGCGATGAATCAGCATTTGTGTCATACGCTACCAGAGAGAGCCATGACTTACTATTTGGCAATTTCGGAATGTGATCTTGACAAAGTCATCATGGGGTTGGCCCTCCGAATAACATTCGCGGAATATCTCGGTATTCAACCAAGCAAGGTGAGTAGCTCCTGTTAGCTGTATTAGCACCATCGCAATTACTATACACTTAGTATCATACCTATCCTGGCGTACATGGAGCCCTGTAGCAGCATGTATGCGCCTGTGGGAGTCGTAAAGCCCTTTGTCACATTGACGTGGGATGCTCGCACGAAGGATTCGACAATTGATGCAAGACTCTCTCCCTGTTCATCATTAGCGCCAACTTGATCAAATGGAAACAAGAATCCTTACTTGCTGCATCTCTAACTTAGCTTCGCTGAGTAATGTGGTACTCATGAGAGACCACATGTCAGTCTCCTTGGACTTGGCCTTGAGGAAAGCAAGGCCCTCTTTTTCATTCCCCAGCATGCCACTATTCTGAACTTCCCGCATCTGCTCTGGGAAAGCTTTGCCGAAGTGATAGAGCCAGCTCATGCAGAAGTTCAGGCAGTTCATATCGTGAGACTCGCGAGCAATTGCAACGGCCTCTTGTACGGCCGAGATAGCTTCATTGAAACACTCAAAATCTGCTTGCATGATAGCTAGGTTCAGAAGGGCAAATTGATATGCACTTCGGTCGAGATTCGCGTGCATGGTGTAGTCAAAGTAGCGGTGGAGATTGTCGAAGGCCGAGGTATAGTCTCCGGCCCTCCAGGCGTCAAGATATCTGGCATTTTGTCAATCACAATGTACATCGATAATAATGTATATAAAAACGTACTCCAGGTAGTACATCATTACTGGGACTGAAGATTCTGAGGTCATGATGCGTTTCAGCTGAGCCCTCATTTCATCCGGAACTCTGCCTCCCATTCCTGTGTCCGTTAGTTAGCACATGGGCATGACAGGCCGGAAAATAATTGCATACTTTGCAGTTCACCAACTTGGAACTCGATCAGCCGCTCTGCATCCTTGGCGCTGACCTCTCCCTCCCCATCCTCATCGTCTTCGATGTTACCATACACCACCTGTGAAAGGTGGCTGGTTGAATCCAGTCCCAGGTCGCGTAGATTAACATCAATGGCGATTTCCTCTGCCTCGCGATGTCTTCGACTCCAGTAGCTGTATGTGGGTAGACGGTATTTGACAAATCCTGTCCAGAGCTTCACGGAATCGTGAAACTGGAGCCGCGTATACTCAAGATAAGCTCTCCGTACGAATGCGCCAAGCGGCGAACTCCTAGACAAGCGCATGCGATCATCAGCCACTGGTTCAATTCCATTATCCCTGTCATGGATCAGGTCCTCGCGTGATTTAGCCAGGAGCGACGGGATAACCTCGCCGAAGAAAGTTTCCAGCGCATCCAGCGAGTCGATCGACCAGAGGTTCTTCAGAAACAAATCCCAGAGCGTACGCCCAGGAATAGAGGACTCATGGCGAGACAGGCATTCTTCAAGCTCTGAAATTGTCGGCAAGTAATGCTCCTCCCATTGCTTATCGGCGGCATCTAGTGGGAACAGACCCGCTGTGAGGAACGAGAGGACGTGAATAGCAGAAGAATTGGGCACGACCCCTTCAGTGTAGAGGGTGACCAGACACAGCAAAGAGACTCTCCATGGAGTCAAATAACGCGTCATTTTGCCTTCCTATGGGTGCCACATCTTACTGTGTTCTTATAAACAGTATTGTTCCAAGGGTGCGCGTGTTGGGGATGATTGATTGACACCTGAGGCTGTAAGGCTATAAGGCTGCAATGCGGGACAAGCACTCGGGAAAAAAAGATGACGCATAACTTTCCTCCGCAACTCACCAATTGAACGATTGAACAATGGCTCAAGCTCTGACTACCACAGATTTGCAGGGTGCCTTGCCCCTTGTCGCTAGAGGCAAGGTCCGCGACCTCTATGAAGTCGACGATAAGACTCTCCTCTTCGTTGCGACCGACCGCATCTCCGCGTACGATGTGATCATGGAGAATGTATACAATTCCCCACACCCACACCACAAGTGTCTAAGGAGACTTGTTGCTAATGCTAGTATTTTGAATACATAGGGTATCCCTAACAAGGGTGTTCTTCTCACCCTCTGCACGCAGACGTGGTTCAAGGCCCTGACGGAAGCCAACCCCTCCCTCCGCACCCACTTTATCACCCTCGACCTCCCGCCCCAGATCCCGGAATCCCTCCGTCCTATCCTGCAGAACCGGAGTATGCAGGTGCGCAAGCTTCGCATTCTCCCCATTGAGGCAATCGTCCGCGGCTACATCACCGGCTCAGCATGGAATGAATACAAGAAGTCTGGGACCGTGCATGGAATTCAGGTCCCCGCCGGTCTGCAGGAGAGCCAGGCTTTCCCCGACGGCCCTATGTACACCCCCAGCACGAAGGCAGAGCAGGGCGAGCACGATGAGAATATTCATCCGGATCAGGGTATGTTCTTTTCGTCGAATACATTGGCTTGAGATACCTGTACTAGACGTATAGTATACCGGGACAAGACCTCCACCTAACATTTGTCATTCACAGCCGTCGCCATCCTGGGTGAACCCTACGCCTCGACTGTTGCCAAGATGGCCATTGAGCTCTACAAGACAGCGCATGAGTACGCTCTCGCGCGGGGTGTGATCATCGCCGATACCAAGTTTGAGTTTGGAGTCGACGAGGAAACTGGTGAGGTTGTGCTGGCCGATGAAGTCCTGACGCCCGACTCCTCTCGCTTCTGGCCTAAGGAATCTTACGCTATCGGTCGCGGCCAGTCCAGCTTCGACAAGCAGTTCCTGCGTGACTGGTTGGTCAGCGAGGGTCTTAAGGGTAAGGAAGGTGTGCGCATGCCTGATGATATTGCCCTTAAGACGGCGGAGAAGTACAAGGAGGCTTGGGAGAAGATCACCGGTGGTAAAATCTAGAGGTATACGGTTAAGCCCTCTTTATTGGAGGGATATATATGATTCAAGTTTAGACTTTTGTGCTTTATAATTCGGGACCAAATGAAATTAAAGCATCATGTCCAATGGTTGTGGCCGTGGCGGCAGCAGGGATTATCATACAAATATATGGCCTTATCTTGTACTTTTACTCCTCCCACTCAGACTTCAACCCCTTGAGACCCTTCTTATTCGAATCTCGATCCTGCTGCTTGCTCTCTTCCTTCACGGACTTCTCCACAGGCTGATCAGCCCAACCAGAGCTAACACCCTCATCAAGAGGCAGCGCATGTTCACCACAAATACGCCGCTCCTCTTCAATTTCCGCTTCACTGATGCCATTTGTGGCCCAGATCTTATGAATGCGTAGATCAAACGGCCCATCAACGCGGTCCGTGAGACCAATACCAATACTCTTAACACGCTGCTTAGTCAAAGAAGTCTGAGGCTCAATGACAAAGCCGTAATTGGTGCGCACAAACGAGTTAAAAGGCAAGAGAACAGTCTCCCATCCATTTGAGCCAGACGTCGTTGTACTGGTAGAGGTAGAAATGATCGTCGATTCAGGTGGGATGTCTGAAAGCGCAGCGGGCATGCCACCAGGATATAGGTCCTCAACGGCATCGGGTGAGTCTGCTTGGAAGTCATATTCTTCCTGTGATTTTGGCCTGTCGAGCAGGCGGTGGTGTCGTGTGTATAGTCTGTGCTGGTGAATATCCGTCTCAACGACCGCGTCTGTCTGCACGTTGACAGTGTACCGGCGGCCATCGGACTTGATGCGCAGGGCAAGGTACGCATAGGGATCGACGTCCCAGAAGAGCCGGCCAAAGAGCCAGAAGCCTCGATCTTGGTTGCGGAATGCGGCGTAGCCTGGGTTGCGGGTGTTAGTTGTTTTCTTTTTTCTTCTTTTTCTTTATTTTCCGTGTTCTAGACCACTTGGATGTGTCGCTACCTAGGTAGCAGGTAGTACATACCAGTTCTTTCGACGCGCCAGTTGTCGGGAAGCTTGGTTGAGATGCTACCGTGGAAGCGGGCATGCGAGGGAGTATTTGAAGAAGGTTCAGCAGGTTCGTAGTCTAGGCTGGCTGTGCTAAAGCCTCCTACTGCACGGTCGGCCATGGTCTTGCATCCCGTAACGGTGCTCTCATCTTCGAAATTCAGGAGCGTATAAGGTTTAGTCGGAGTGTGGAGGGCTTCCGTGTTCCAAGCTGCGGCAAATTAGTTGGAGGTGCAAGACTGACGGCATTGACACAACTTTACCGATCTTTGATAGACGGCCGAACTCATCGGCACTGCGTTTGAAGAACCCGCCTTGGGCTAAACGTCGAGTTGGAAACATATTGTAATTGTGAGAGGGAGAAGCCCAGTATGCTTGGAGCTGGAGCAGCTGGAGTTAATATCTGGGCAGCCGGCTTCCGAGGTGGCGCGGGCTGATAAGAGATAGATAGTGTTTGGGATGTTTGGTTTATCCGTTAGCTCTCGTTATGCTATACTTCATGTTCATTCTTCCTATAATATACACACTTGGAGCTTTACATCCTCTCAATAATATACACGTCATTATGTTGCTACTTACCTTCCAGGGATTCGGAACTCGGGATCCAAGATTTGCGCTAAATGCACAAACCAGTATCTTGAAGACTTCAAAAGATATTCCTTTGTCCTTGTTAGGCTTAGTACTGCTATCAAATGCCATGCATGTGCCGATGGCTGACGGCATTCTGATCCTCAGGAGCATCTTGTATACTTCGCCAGGCCGACGCCTGAACCGGAATGACGCGTATTTCCTTTTTGGGAGGGACGTCCAAACTTCATGGCCAACTTTATCTGAAGAGTCATGGATAATATGCGCGATAAATCTCTTCTTGAGGGTCCGGCTCCGATTCCTGTCCTGGATATCCGACTGTGAACCAGTAGTTGGCTGGTTTTCTGGACTGCATAGCCCTGGATAAGGCTTGATTCTGAGTCAAAATCGCTTCATACTAGTCCTATGAGAGCACTCCCCGGAAATATACCGTGGTTAACTTCATATCTACTTGTCTCTGCTGGGGAATCCCATTCTTGGAATCGGATATTCTCATATTTATCCCAATATGGCGACGGAGGTGGTGTTCATAGAGGATATTCCCCGTAGTTGTCTTGATATCTCGTTCTTTTCTCTCGCCCTTTTCTATCATACATCCATACCACGCTCGTTTTCCCCAGTTGAATCATTCGTTTACCGCAGTACAAATATCTAGTTACTCTTGTTGATTATATACCTCCCCAATGGCTATTCATTACGTCAAACCGAATGGCTCTGTGCCTAGTGTTTCTAGGCATAGTACCCCAGAGCCTGATATCCCAAAGCAAGATGTCCACGAACATACAGCGTCGGAGTCTAGTGTCACTGGGTCTAGTAGCTCAAAGCCTAGTACCCCAGAGCAACCTGATGCCAAGCCAGCCGAGCTAGTTACAGTCGAGCCAGCCGAACCAGTCAAGGAAGCCAATCCAGGCAAGCCAGACAAGCCAGAGGAGGAAGAGAAGCCAGTACACCTCCCGCGTGCGGATCGAATGAATCAAACTCCAACCAAGGGAAATGCACAGGGCCTCTTTCTTCCTGATTGTTGCGTTTTTGTGGGAAAGTAGGTATTGCCCAGTCCTATCTGATAGTATATACTGACCGAATTAGCCTCTCTATCAAAGTTTCTCTTGAAAAGTTGGAAGCAGATCTTACAGACATGATCTCTACATTTGGCCGGTGTCATGTTAAGATCAAACTGTCACAGGGTTTGAAGAAACTACCTGTTGCATTTGTACAATTTGAAGTGAGTGCAGTTTTTATACAAAGATATGACATATACTAACATAGTAAATAGGACATCAAAGCAGCAAATTCTGCATTGAAACAAAATGGAAACCTGATGCTTCATAATCGGGTGTTGAGATTGGAATCATCTAGGGCTAGACGTGAGTTCCCTTTTGTTGGACTTCATTGCACGTTTACACGTTCGCACCTTCACACTTTCTCTCTTCTCACACCTTCTCACATTTCTCTTTTACTTAGGAACTGCCCACTTCGGTTATCTTACTGACGAACCCATCGATAAATCTGTAATCGTCGATGCCTTGAAGGGACTTGGTAGTCTTGAGGGCATAATCATTGAAGACTACGTTAACCCCCAAGGGGACGACTCTACCTTTGGCGTTGTCACTTTCGCATACCCTGACGATTACGCTGATGCCCTTCAGGTAAGTGGACTATCCAATTTTGCTCTGAGTCTACTGACCATTTGACCATAGCATTTTCAAAACCACCCCGAGTATTATATGACTAGACCTACCATGGACCCCAACGACAATCAGCTTCCTCAGGATTACCCTGCTCCAGGACACAGGCCTTCTAACCAGCCTCCCCCAAACCGTGGCAATCAGCAGCGGTACAACAACGGCCGCAGATCGTTTCACCGTCCATGGTACAGTGGGAACAACAACAACAGAGGTGGATTTCGAAATGCTCCTGGCGGTGCCCCCAGACACCAAAACCCATCTTTTGCAAATCATGGTCACAGTCAAAGCTTCAATGGCCAAGGCCATTCACCTCACGGTTCTTTCTCTCAGAATTACCCAGGTGGCAACGGTTCCCCTCATAACAACTTCAATCAGGGCTATCCCAACCCTAACTATCAAAACTTCCCTGGCAACAACTTCCCCCCGAATTATCAGGGCAACAACTTCCCCCGAATTATCAGGGCAACAACTTCCCGCCAAACTACCCAAATCAAAACTTCGTAGCTCCGGGTGTCTTTCCCAATCCCCCTGTCATGTTCATGCATGAAGGTCCACCCCCACCATATCACGCTGATTACACTGCTATGCCAACCCCGGGGTTTCCTGTGTTCATGGGCAATCAACCATATCAGCCTTCTAATCCTCTTCCTCCAATTGGCACTCAGCCTCAGCCTCAGCCTGTTGCTGGTCCTGTTCCCGGCCGCCGGCGATTGCCTCCTCGTCCCGACTGTCCCTTGATTGTCTCCAGTCAGCCCCAATTTGACACTGAGCATCACCGGCAACTCTACTACGAGCCCTACCACGCTGACGACAACTTCGCAAATATGCAGTCAAGCTGGGTCGGTCTCCCAGGCACTTGCTTCGTGCAGCCTGACTACAACCAGCCCTACCCCCCAACGCATATCCTCGTAGTCGCCAGTCTAGCATGGAAAGTCAGCAAAACAACAATTCGCCGCCCAAAGTCAACGAATCTGAATCACCATTGGCACAAACTAAAGTCCAGGCCCCTGAGACTGAGAGAGGTCGCCAACTAGTTCGGCCGCGCCACCCAAACACCGATGGAGGCTCTGACATGGCTCCAGTGTCTGCCCCTGCTAAGACCCAGAGTGAACCCATCTCTACGCAAGCTCTGGATTGTTCGCAGGAAAGAATTAGCACCGCCAACGTGAGCAGGTCAACTGAAACTCAGAACAAACCCACCGAGCCTGAGAATGAGCCCAACCCATCTCAGACCGAATCCAGCTGTGCTCCAACTCCTGATCAAAAGAAAGAAGAGTTGATGGATGACACCAAACCACCATTGAGAATTGACACCAAGAATGAAGAAAGCGCCGGGTCTTCCTCCGAGGCTGGCCCTAAGACACCAGACACCGATGAGTCTCAGGAAGGCGCTAAACTTCAGACTCCAGCCCAAGCTGACCTGCTGAAATCAGCCGATACCAAGATTTCTGATACCACCGAGACCCTCAAGCCAGTCGACAAGAGCACCCCAAACAAAGGCAAGTCCCCGGAAATGGCAACAACCACTCCAACCAAGAGTGGCAACAGAAGACTCGAGCCCGCAGTGCCAGACAACAAACACCTACTGGCCCGCCATGCTTTCCAGCATCGCAAACCCCTCAAGAAAAAGTACCAACCTAAGACCGACACCGGCAAAACAATTGAGCAGTACACTCGTGAGATAAATGCGCAGCGTGCCTCGCTTTATCCTGACTCGCGTGTCCCTGAACATCTCTTGCAAGAAGTCATCCAAGAGCTAGAGAATGAGCGCAGAGATGCTATACGGAAGAGCCGAGGTCTCGATCCCAGTGATGAGAGCAGTGTTGACAGTGGTACTTCTTCGAAGAAGCAGGTTTGATATTGACAGATGATTGAGATGGGGATAAAGTTATTCAGTGTGATTTGCTTGCTATGACGGGTCGTTTTATTCTTATCTTTTCTTGCTCTTTGTTCCGTGCTTCTTTTATAGTCTGTTCTTTATTCAAATTTGTGTATTTGCTTTTGAAGGAAAAAGAAAACACTTGAAAAAAAAGGGGAGCATGTATGTTACGATGAACATGCTCGAGTCAATTATCAAATTTCAAATTTTATTCTGCCAGATTGCTCATTCCTAAAACTAATCCAATGCACCGTATACCAATATCAGTTCTTAACAGTGATAGTCTTGGTAATAGATGCTGCCAGAGTCGGTCATAAGCTGCCCCTGCGGCCCTAGAGTGTGAATATACAAAGATAAAGAATAAACTGGCTCATCATGATAATATTATCTGATTTGATTGACATGGCCGAACGGCAACTTGATCCCCGCCCATGTAAACGCCGAGACCGAAAGCTGGTTTATATGTACAAAATGCTTCTCGATGCCAGTTTGCATGCCATAGATGCCGAAACCAAATGCCAGTGGGGGATAGTGATGCACGCCGAACAAAAAGACAAGAACGCAGAACAGAAGAAAATGACGAATTCCCATATGCAAACGCTCATGGTTAGAAAGATGTGGGTCGTGAGGATAGAGAGGATACATATGCTGTGAGGGTGATAGAAGGTGGAGGTGAGGCACTGATAAGTGATCGGATATAAAGAAGATAACGCTGGGAATCAAATCGGAGGGGAAAATATGACGAGAAATAAAGGGAAGGGAGGGGAAAGAAGGCGTAAAGTATGTATGTATAGGAGTGTGGCCTCTCCCAAGGAATTAGTGATCAGCCTGATCATCAAGCTCTCACACGTCTAGCATCGAAAAAGCCCAGATTGACAGCTGTATCATTGACGCCCAGGAACGGCGCCGCATCCTCAAGTAGTTCCCAAGGACGGACTGGATAGGGACCGACGACACGACCGCGGTGTTGAAGACGAAGTCGATTGGCCATACAGTTCGAGTCAGGCAGTCCAGTAGACAGTCCCGATGCCGCTGCGACAGACTGCTGCGCTGGAGATGATCCAACAATAGAGAAAAGAGCAGGTGATTGGGTCGGGGTTGACCCCGATGCTGCCGGAGAGGGGGCTGAGACCTGCTGGGAATTTGCGGAGTATTGCTCTGCCATTGGGCCCAGAAGGTAGAGGAAGCGAGAGTCGTTCATAAATGGCACAAAGGATGGGCACTTCTCTTTCAGGAACCGTGCACATTGTTGGCGGACTTCATCTGGGAAGACGTCGATTAGGGAGGCGGCCACGTCTAGAGCGTGGGTCTGTAGGAGGATTCCTGGGCAGGGACGGAAGCCTTCGGCCGGGGCTGGGTGCGGGAAGTAATCGGCCGCAGGGAATAGACGAAGAACATCTCCCGGGAGGCGCGAGAGTGCAATGCAGAAGATTGATGTCAGAAGTCGGAGCTGTTCTTGTAGAGGATTGATCTTGAGAGCTGCGGGCGGTTGGGAAAATGCAGACCGATGGAGGACGATCATCCTCAGCAAAGCGGAGAACCAGAATGCGAGAGCACGCTCGAAGTTTGAACGACTTGTGTTGGCCACACCCTTGGCGGGGGTCATGTTATGCATGGTGATGATCTTGTGGAGAAGGGAATCCATCTTTTCCACAAGCACTGGAGCGACGGATGGAGCTCCAGAATCAGGGATGCTACTCGCAAGCTCTTCGATAATGGTAAGATACATCTTGGCAGTTTCCAATGATCCCATTTGGCCAGGCGAACCAGTAATATCACCTATTGGCTCTTCAAGCAGAGGGATGGAGAAAAATTCCTTCTCGGCACGTTCTCGGATTTGGCGCACAGCGTCCGGGCTCATCAGTGCAACCAGGTCAACCCAGTGAAGCCTGTGAGCACGACAGTCTGATACGGCAGTTTTGAACATAGCATCAACAATATTGGTTCGGTCTTCAGACCCCGAGTCCGCATGGAATAGAACTTGGAGCTTCAGCTGGCAAAATGGGAGCGAGAAATCGTCGGTCATACATGCAAGCTTTTCGACCTTTGAGAGGACTGAGTTGCCGTCGGACTGTGACTCGACGCCCAATAAAAGGTCAAGCGCTTTCTGGACAATACTTAAAGCGGCTGGGTATTGGTCGATGAGCTTTTGCATGCCATTCTGTGCAGCACATTCGGGGTGTCGCACAAGAAGATCACGTAACAGCATGACTATCGAGTGCTCCAGCTCGATGTGCCCAGTGGAAGAGTTGCTGGCATTGGAGGATGCGGCGTCACAAACAATCTTGAGCGCTTCCTCTGAGTTCTTATTGAGAAATTCCTGCTGTGCCAACTGGAACCGATAGGACACCAGATCAAAGGACTTGCTATCTTCGTCACCAGAGACAAGAAGTTGGACAAGGTCGGCAGGTAGTTGAACTGCATTGGGGACCGTTGCTGGTGTAGAGACTGTGAGTCTCTTTGCAAGGGCCAAAAAAGCTCTAATAGTAACGCATCCGACACCAATTAGCGGCGGTAGAATCCGCAGCAAGGTGGTACGTTCAGGAGATCGCAAATGACCACAGACCCAACGGGCGAGAATACCATCGAAATGCTTTGGATGGAAAGACCTAAGTTGTGCAAGGTAACGGCAGGTGTCATTTGCTGACAGGTTTGCATGGCCATCATCAGACTCCAGGTGCTTTATCAGTGTGTTGAAAATTGCGTCCAGAGTGGGCTCATCCATAACATTTCCTGATTGCAAAAGCTGATCTAGCTTCTCTCGGAAGAAGGGGTCGACGCCACCAAAGCCATCTGGAATATGGTCTGAGACTGGAGAAGATGCGGCCACGATTGACTTGTTCTCCATGCGAGAGAGATCCTGCCGAAGAATGGACACAGTGTTGAGTTCACTCGGGATGCGCAAACCAAGTTCAATCAGAGAGAATATCAGATCAAGGCTTGGCATGCCAAACCTCTTAATTCCAGCATAGGCATCAATGAGTCTCCGGAATAAATCAGTTGTGGCGCCAATCACGCAAAGAGAGTCGAAGTGGCAGTTTGTGGTATCTGCAACTGAGGCAAGAACAGTGCTATCGCCACAACTAGACGCAAACTTCAGCACATCTGCTAACATTGAAATGTCGTCAAATGATTCGAGAGCATCGCGGACTGTATAAAACTCGGCAGGAGTCAGCGCAGACACCACAGAGGCAATCCCAACGGGGAACGCTCCTCTGTTAGTTGACCTATGAGCGAGTTAGTAAGATAGGTGACGACAGGATTAGGAAAGAAGAATTCGAATGCTTACTCTGCGCTCCGATTGTGTTCCGCAATTGCTCTGCGTAACCACTGGCCAACCTCGGCCTTGACAGCCCAAGGCAGGTTTGATGGCAATGAGTCTAATGCCATTGACGCAGATTCGTTCACGCCGAAAATTCCGGGTAAACGTTGACTGATAATATCTTTCACATTATCAATAGCTGCGTTCTCTTCCGAAGCAGAGAGCCCAGTACGAGCCAGCAGAGTACTCCGCAAGTTCCCAACATGTTCTGGAAGACGGGCAACAGGAAGCTGTGCTATTAGTCCGATATCGATTGGCAAGTCCTTCACCTACACATATATTAGTGATCAGGAGGATTTAGCAGGTAATTTTGATCTTACCTTGCGCTCCTCGGCCGAAGAAGATCCATTGGTAACGCCTCGTGCCATGAGCCATTGAAGATAGCGGCCGACTGAAAATGTCTGTGACCTGACAAGTTCAGAAACGACATGATAGATTTGATCCATGTTGAGCTTTTGCTTGTTCTGTCCACGTGATAGAAAAGTGAGTATGTAACTGTCTATGTCGACACCAGCCATTTTCCACTTGCGGAGCAGGCGAACACCAATGTAAACCCGGCAGAGACCGTGGCGGAAGGGCGTAGAGAGCCATTCCAATAGCTTGAAGACCAAGATAGCCTTGTCATCAAAAGCGTCGAGATAGCCAAAGATAGAAGTGAGATCCTGAGCGGAGCGTATGGAGTCGAGAAGTCGGACGATGCGTTGATGGGGTGAGCGTTGGGTTGTCTGTTTCGAGTGTCTGGGTCGTTGTACCCGAGCATTGCGCTCTGCGAGACTCTGGAAAAGAGCCTTTTCTACTTCATTTCCTAAATCAAGGGCAGATGACACCTGCTGTTTATACGTCTCCCAAGAATTTGGGAGTATCATCGAGGATGTATGGTCAAGAACAAGCTTTTTGATAAAGCGAGAAAGACGGTCGATAAGGGGTTGAAGTTGAGTCAATTTAGCTTCAGTTGCCTATTGCTAGCGGTCAGTATTGACTGCGGGCACAAAGTAGTTAGTGAAAATTGGACGCACCTGTCGCACTTTTTGGAGCAGTAGCTCAGCCAATCGTCGTCCCCTTCGTCTATATCGCATGATACTATTCCAGTATATGCCGAGCATCAAAAGCCAGATTGGAATCGTGCTGATAGAAGCAGCCTCAAAGGATGACAAGAACCATTCAAGGAAATGGTCATGGTCCAGCAAGTTTTCGGAGAATAGACGAGCAGTCAACCCGACACTGAAGATAAAGGTTAGCACGCTGCTTAGGATTGCCGGTAACGCACGAGCACGTACGCATATGTTATCTTCGCCTTCCAATCCGAGGACTTGGGGGCAGCAAACACCCCTTCAACGAATTGCTGGACATTGGTCGTCCAATCTCGGACCCATTTCGCCTCTAACCCAACAGCCAGAGCACCACTCGTGCCTTTTCGCTTGAACGCACGGATTTCATTCGCACCCACACATTTTGCTAACCAGACAGCACGTGCAACAGGGATCCATTTACCAAGGCACTGGTCCAGGAGGATCTTGCCGCGGATACCATGGGGAATTGTTCGGCTCAATCTTCGCAGTGGAACAGACGGGTTGGCGAGATCTCGGAGCCACGCCTCGCGTTTGTTATCGGTGAGCGTAACTCGAGGTGGCGGTTTGAATGTTGAAGGAGCGTGAAT